CCCTCCAGTAACGCTGCTGAGCAATGTATTCAACGTCACCATCCCACCCCCTTCGCCATACCTTGCCTTCAAGCTGTCGGTGGGTGACGGCGATCTTAAGGTCTACGCTACGCCCACAGGATCCAGGTGGATTCAGCTGGCGATATTTATCGTGCTAGCAATTGTACCTGTCACCACTGCTGTCGGTGCGGTGTATGTTTACCTGAAAGCCTTTTCCCAGGTCAAATTCAACCAAATCGGTGTCACCGAGAAAAGATCAACCTTCGCTCCACTGGTGAGCGTCTTTCAGAAGGCCGCTCATCGATCTAGTGACAGGAACTCCAACCCCGGACTTGCTGTAACCAATGTGGGCCCGTTCCCATCTGAAAGTGGAGGCGTCGTCGGTGCCACGGTAAACACCCGCCGACGAACCGTGCTCATTGCAACGATGGAATACGATATTGAGGATTGGGCCATTAAGATCAAGATTGGTGGGCTCGGTGTGATGGCCCAGCTAATGGGGAAACATCTGACCCAGCAGGATCTCATATGGGTGGTCCCATGTGTTGGAGGAGTTGACTACCCTAAGGACAATCCCCGTGAGCCGATGGTAATCACCGTTCTTGGAAACAACTACGAAGTGGACGTCCAGTATCATCGGCTGCAAAATATCACGTACGTCTTGTTAGACGCGCCTGTGTTCCGAGCTCAGTCCAAATCAGAGCCGTATCCTGCCCGTATGGATGACCTGGATTCGGCTATATTCTATTCTACTTGGAATCAATGTATTGCCGAAGCTCTTAGGAGATTTCCGACTATCGACCTCTATCACATCAACGACTACCATGGCGCCGTTGCCCCCCTCTATCTTCTACCACAGACGATTCCATGCTGCCTGTCTCTGCATAATGCTGAATTCCAAGGACTCTGGCCAATGCAAACCCCACAGCAAAGTCAAGAGGTTTGCAGTGTCTATAACCTTGACCATGCATTGGTGAAGAAGTATGTGCAATTCGGCGAGGTATTTAACCTGCTTCATGGAGCTGCCAACTATCTGAAAATCCACCAAAACGGATTCGGCGCTGTTGGTGTCTCCAAGAAATATGGCAAGAGATCTTACGCCAGATATCCTATTTTCTGGGGTCTGAAGAACATTGGGGCGCTGCCAAACCCCGATCCATCTGACATCGCCAAGTGGGATCATAACGCAAACAACAATCTCGACGACGTTATCATCGATACAGAGTTTGAAGCCAATCGTGCCGCACTCAAGCGACAAGCGCAAGAATGGGCAGGGCTCAAAGTTGACTCAGAGGCCGAGCTGTTTGTGTTTGTTGGTCGTTGGTCTATGCAAAAGGGCGTGGATCTGATTGCAGACATCTTCCCCTCCATTCTAGACGCTCATCCGAAGGTCCAGTTGATGTGCATTGGTCCAGTCATTGATCTCTATGGAAGGTTTGCCGCCTTGAAACTGAATCGACTCATAGAGCTCTATCCTGGGCGGGTCTATTCTAGACCAGAGTTTACTGCACTACCGCCCTTCATTTTCAGTGGCGCTGAATTCGCCTTGATTCCTTCACGTGATGAACCGTTCGGGCTGGTGGCCGTGGAATTTGGACGGAAAGGAGCGTTGGGCGTGGGATCACGGTATGACTGACCTGGCTTGAATCTACCGCCAGTGCTAACCTATGTTTCTTTAGTGTTGGTGGCCTTGGGCAGATGCCAGGATGGTGGTACACAATGTGAGTTGTCCTTCCCTCACGATATGTTCAGACTAACCCCTTCTAGCGAGTCTATGACAACCAAACATCTTATCCAACAGTTCAAGATGGCCATTAACGACGCTCTGAAATCATCTCAGGAGACACGAGCGCTCATGCGTGCACGATCCGGCAAGCAGCGCTTCCCCGTAGTACAGTGGGTTGAGGATCTGGAAATGCTACAAACTACCTCAATAGAAAAGCACGCCAAGCACTCTAAACCCCACGATCGCAATTCATGGAGGATTTCCCGTGGCAGCACCCTTGTCCCAGAGAGCAATCCCAAAGTCTCGTCGAGCTCAAACAACAGTCGCGAACAGAGTCGATCACGCAGCCACACCGTGTCTGTCCCGCCGAGCAGGCCGATGATGACTGATATGAGACTTTCTGGACCTCGACCAGGCTTTGACCACGTTCTCTTGCCGACGAATCTGTCTTCGAGTCTAAGCATGTCCGACAACGAGCCCGATCCAGATACCGACCCAAGACGCAGACCCTTGTCCTCCAACCCTCTCGCAGACTCACGAATGGTCTACACTGCGGCAAGCGACGGAGAAGATCTCGAGCCCTTTTCTTGGGCCGTCCAAGAGGACGGCAGTGTTCGTCCGTCGCCATTTGGAACACCGACTATGTATTTTTCTCGATCAGGTGCCAGCACACCAGTTCTCGGTGTAGAAGACGGCCTGTTGGGCCGAAGAGAGGCAAGGGCATCAATGATGAGTCTGGTTAGCGTCGATGGTATAGTAAAAGAAAAACAAGACTACAACCTCCAGAAAGTTGATCCATTTTTCACGGATGCGAACAACGAGTACGCGGTTAAGTTTGAAAAGAAGCTTGCGGATCTGAATGGCAAGAACTCCGATGACCAGCTCTGCATCGAGGAGTTCCTCGAGAAGAGCGAAAAAGACTGGTTCAATCGATACCGCAATGTCAAACTGGGCAAGTCCCCCTTGCCGTCTCCTGCACCCTCTGTCTTTCGCTTCAAGGTTCATGACACCAGTCGACCAGAGACCCCGACAATCACTGGTCCAGGTGCAGGCCCAAATACCAGGCAATTCCTTCTTCCAAACGACCATGTTACCCCCACGGGTTTGAAGCGCTTCATGTTGATGAAGCTCGGTGATTGGCCTGTGTACTCCATCTTCCTCGCTATTGTGAGTTAACCTCCACCATAAACTTTCATTATAGCCGTTGACAGCATTCTTTAGGGCCAAATTCTCGCTTTGAACTCGTACCAGATCACACTCCTGAACGGTGAGATTGGACAGACGGCCGAAAAGCTATACATCCTGGCATCCATCTATCTTGCCTCTTCGATCATATGGTGGATGGTTTTCCGTCTAGTCCCATCAGTCTATGTGTTGACGATTCCTTTCTTTGTATGTTGACATTCCTCTACCTGTCATACAAGGTCACAAGCTAATTACCCGCAGATATACGGGTTTGCCTTTTTGTTTGTCGGTCTTGCCGGTTCCATCCACGACAGCACAAGTCAAACATGGCTACAAAACGTGGGAACCGGCTTGTATTCGTTTGCATCTTCGAGTGGTTCGATTTTCTTCGCCCTCAACTTTGGAGATGAAGGTATGCAACAACCCTCCTCAGAAGTATGGAACTTATCTGACTTTATTCTCCAGGTGGAGCACCTCTGAGGTCTTGGATATACAGAGCCACCATCATCCAGGGCACCCAGCAGTTGTTCATCAGTTTCCTTTGGTACTGGGGTAGCTGGATGGCAAGTCTCAATCAAAAGGGTAGCACGCAATTCAGCCTCGCCATGACCGATCCAGGCGCTTTGCTCGGGATCGGAGTCGGACTCGCCTGTTTTCTATGGCTGTTGGGAGCCCTGATCTTCTTTGGACTTCCTGCATATTATAGACAAGCACCGGGTCAAGTGCCGACATTCTACCTATCACTCTTCCGCCGTCGCATCATTCTTGTACGTCTCATCCAGTCCCTCCCTCAAGCTAATTTTGATTGCTGACGTTGTATTTTGCAGTGGTTTTTCTACATGGTGTTCATATCAAACTACTGGCTGTCGGCACCGTACGGACGAAACTGGCTCTATCTCTGGTCCAGCAAGCATGCACCCGTGTGGCAAATCGTGCTCCTTGTCCTCTTCTTCTTCATCGTCGTCTGGGCGGGAGCTCTCTGGGTCTTTCACGTCTTTTCCAAGAGACACGCCTGGTTCATCCCGATATTTGCCATTGGTCTTGGTGCTCCTCGATGGGCCCAAATTCTGTGGGCAACCTCCAACATAGCCTCTTATATCCCCTGGGCCGGTGGTCCCGTGGCCGGAGCTATCCTTGGTAGAGCACTATGGCTCTGGCTAGGAGTTTTGGATTCCCTTCAGGGTGTCGGTAGGTTTTCATCTCGCGAATTAACCATAACACAAACTAATTCACGCCAATACAGGGTTTGGAATGATCCTCCTCCACACAATGACTCGATTCCACGTCACCTTCACACTTCTAGCCGCTCAGGTGGTCGGTTCCATTGCGACTATGCTCGCCCGCGCGACAGCACCGGATAAGTTGGGCCCTGGTGATGTGTTCCCTGATTTCTCCGCTGGCGTCGTAGCCGGCTTGGAAAAGGCAGACTTTTGGGTCTGCCTCCTCTTCATGCTATCCATCAACGTGCTCTGCATCTTCTTCTATCGCAAGGAACAACTTGCAAAGCCTTGATGTTTCAACCTTGACTAGCGTTTTCGTTTCTTTTTTTTGTTTTGCATACACTTGAACTCGTGGTGGGTATTGTCAGAGGATTAATTATACTATAGTGGGTTGCATTTTCTGGGCGAGAGACTTTGTAAAGGTCGTCCCATGCTTTTGTTGTATATAGTGTATAAAAAGACTTTTTTACACGTTCTGCAGTCCAAAGTTAATGTTCATGTTCAAATGATGCTGAATAGGCATGCTTCCCTAAATCAACTTAATCTCTACCTTGAAGCCTATTTCCCTTGGACTGTCAAGCGCGTCCGGCGCGAAAATGAAGATGGAGCTTACGCCAATATAGGAGATGATAGGGTCTAGCCTGATTTGGTAATTATGCAAGGGTCTGTTTTAGGTCTAGTCAGGGGAACTGATTATTCCGATATAAGCAACAACCTTCGATGTTTTATATCAGCATCATCCTGTTTTGTTTTGCAAGCATCTACTCGAGTTGTTATTCCCGTCACTCTTTACAGGATAACATACTCATCCATTCATTTATTACATTCATTTATTACATTCTTCCCATCCAGTCTCTCATTCTCACCCAATGTATCACCTTCTTTTCTCGTTCGTCGTGGCCTTGTGCCTGTACACGCGCTGCACGGTCGCTGCTTTAACCTCGAGTGAAATTGCCAACTCCCTCAATGAACTAGCACAGCAAGGATTTGCTGCCAAGGATCTCGTATTGGTAATCAATTCCACTGCTGGCGCTGGTCCAATTCCAGTAAGTGGGATTTTTACAATATAGCTCTATGAATGACAGCTCATAATGAAACTCAGGATATATATACTCAGATGGACACGATGGTCGCTGTGGTTCTAACAGATGTAAACTTTATGACGAACACGCCGATCATTACCGGTCAGGTGGAACAGCAGGATGTCTACGAGGGATACTCAAATGTAGGTTGATGACAAAATAGAAGTCAATCAGAGTGACTTATGCTTAATTATGCTAGTTCGTACAATCACTCCTCCAGCTCATGGACGCCTTCTCGAGCAGCGCAGCCCAGTTGAAATCCATCGACCAAACAACCAAGTACAAAGTCCCCTCTGAAATTCGCATCATGGAAAGTGCCGTTGACGTGAGTTTCCTCTTTGCTACGACCTGAGTAGATTGCTGATGAGATGCTGACACCTCACAAGGCCTTCTTCTACAACATTATCGGCCTCTTCCCAGCCAACAGCCCGTACAACGCCCAGGCCACCAACCAGAAAGCCCAGGTGGACACGCATTGCTTCCAGGCTGTCTGGGCATTTGACCTCGGTGATAGCAAGGGTAATCAGACTACTTATCAAGCCCGCAGCCGCTCCCTTCACTCTCGATGGACGAAGCGCAGCTCCTTGTGATTTTAACCATGTCTATCTTTGAATATCACCTGGTTCAATAGTTTGGTGGATGGCCGTTAGTAGAATATACTAGAAGAGAGAATAGAGAATCCGAGAACAAAGTCATCGTTGAATTTGACATCTAGACATGAGTTTCAAATTCAGATCCAAATTACATTCAAGTTGACGCCGTCATCGTGTCGGAATGAACCAACAGAGGTAGTGCCTATACAAATTGCAAAATTCTAGATAGTTTGTCCTTGATCAAACTATCAAACCACAAACTCTTCATGCTCTACTTCTGACTTCTTTTCGTGGCCCAGTTTCAACTCATCCATGGAGTCTGCTAGGAAAACATGTGTTCTCCACAATCGTACTGGGATCTTTTCAGTAAAGAAAAGAGATATCTCCAAGCTGGTCCGACCCGCCGTTTCTCCAACACAGCACCAAGTCCAAAGCAGAGCGAGACAGGTGGTGCCTGCATAAACAAACCCAACCATTGGCCCAAGTCCAGCATCATAGTAGAGGTAAGGCGCGGTGAAAGAGATGAGCCAAGTAGTAAAATAGAAGACAACAATGCTCGTCGACATAATCTTGTTTTGATTGACGCCAACGGCCATCTCTCGTGCAACGGTATAGGCCAACGGACCTAGACCGAAGTTAAATCCGATGACGACGACGAATGAGAAGACGACAATCACGTATTGTGTTGCAGTTATCAAGGGCTTTGTGCCGATGCCTCCGATCACAAGGAAAGCTACGAGCATCATGCAGCTGGTAACCATAAGATTCACACGTCGGCGGGTCTTGTTACCGGTAATGACGGAAGCACCAACAGCGACAATTTGGACCACGTTGACGACAATCTGCACAAGGAATGGGTCTTGGACTCCAATTTCCTGCACAAATACCACACCATAGACGTAGAAGAACAGGATACCGCAGACTTGTTGGCTGAACATCGCACCTGCTGAAAACATGACTTTTCTTCTCTCAACCGGATCCGTGACCAACGATTTCCACGAAGAAAACTCAGAGTGTTGCTCTTCAATGCGCTTGGCGTTGTCTGCTTGCGCCAGATCATCAGTTGGGTCATAATTGGCTTGACTCCGGTTGATTTTTCGAAAGCTCTTCTCGGCATCTTCTCGGCGATTCTTGGACATGTACCACGTAGGACTCTCCGGGATGAGCGGCAAGAGAGCGAACATCATCAAGGGCAACAGGACAAGGCCACCCATGGGGATTTTATATGACAGTGAATTATTATCGAGGTTTTCTGTGCCTTGGTTGATGCACGAGGCAATCAATTGTGACCAAGACTGAAGGAATTGGAACATCATCAAAGCTGGACCACGAATTTCCGAGGGCGCAACTTCGCCAATATATAGCAAGGATGTCACGGTAAATTGACCGACTCCAAGACCCATAAGAATGCGCCCAACAGTGATGATCGCTTCCACATGAATCGTATCCGCAACTTGACAGATGCCGCCGATCAAGATACAGAATGAAGCCAGCCAGAATGTGGCTTTGCGACCCCAGCGATCATTAACAGGTGCAGCAATGATTGCACCTAGCAAATCGCCGATGTAGATAGCCGAGGCGGTCACTGCCTGAAAGGAGGACGACAGTTCAAGGTTGCCACTTGTATTGCGTTGTGTTGCATAGTCATTTTTGAATTGTTGCATTGCCAGGACGCCATTGAAGTAGGTATTATCGTAGCCGTAGCAAAGAGCGCCAATTGCTGATACACCACAATAGAAGATTGCCCACCCGTGGCGTCTCCAATCAAATCTTAAGAATTGAAACATTTTGAACACCTACACTTGATATGGATATTGTTCTACTCATCAAAATAAGGAGTGAGGTTCAAGTTTATATACTCCAAGTTCGGAGAAATAGAGGAAATCTAAAGAGGGGGAGCGGGGATATCTTGGGGGCGATATCTGGGGAAGAAATCCGGGGAAGGATTTCACGATGCCGGAAACGGAAACGCTCGTGGGGTAACGGGAAACGTGGAATCACGGATTGCCAGAAACGAATGTCCCGACCTGGCCAAGAGTATTTACAGCCCTAAACAGGCTGGGATCAGCGTGCCCCCACGTCGGGAACCTGCTTCACTGTGGACTTTCAATTCGACACTTTAACACGAGAGGGTTTCAAAGACAGCCCTAAAGTTGACTATACAACATGTCGTAATATCCGTAGGGACTGATATGCGCAAAGCCCTTCTACTAAGTGTGCCGAAGCTCCTTTCCTTTGTATCTTCAGCCTGGTGTTCTACAATGCTAATTCACATTCTGAAAGGTGTCTGTACTCCATCTTTGCTGTCATAGTAGTTTTGCTGTTATTTCCACTTTCTAAAATACACTAACTAGCTCAAAGTCGATCACGAAAATCTCCCAGAAGCACTAATGCTTCATTGCAATTGGAAAATATCCCTGGTTCGAGTTAAATCGCTCCTCTGTTTCCAGCTGGAAGTCCTCTTCGGAACCGTATGTGTAATGAGATCAACATCAAAATTTGGATAGTAGTCACACTATGTCTGGCCGACTGAGAAGGCATTATCACCCGTGGGCGTCTGCGAAAGTTAGTAAGAGCTTTTGTAAAGAAACAGTCGAAAAACTATGCCTCGGCATGTTTTTCTCTTGTTAGTATTAACAGAAATCAATAAGGGCTATTGTACTAATTGGTGATATATCATGAACTTAGGTTTTAGTGGCTACACCGAAGAGATCATCTTTTCAGGGGCTTTTGCTTATTGCTTGGATTTTTGCTGCTATCAATCTGCTTTGGATGGTCGAGTCTCTGATTTCGAGATTGGATTTCTCCCACGTTATGAAAGAGCTCGGTCTTTCCTGGCTTAGAGAATTTCGAAATATGAGGCGCCTGTTGTTTCACCCCATTGGAAAGTAAAATGAGCCGTGTTTCTTTCGAGTGTCTATCCGTTTCACTCCCGGTAAAGTGGTGAGCGAGTTTCATAGAAGATTTAATAATGGGAGTAGCAAATTTGACGGGCTCAGGGCGTTAATGTGCTATGGTGATTGTTTTGTTGTTGTCGAGGACAGATTGCTGCTGGAGCTGGGTTCGGAATCAGCGATGGGGTATGATGATAGATGGACAACTTTGTATCCAATAGCGTTAATAACTGTATCGATATTGACTGAAGTGTCGAGAATCTTCCTGATATGCTTTATCATTTTGGTCACTAGCTCATGGTGAGTCCGAATGATCGCATTAAGAGTATCGCACAAAGGCTTGAAAGTTGATAGAGCCTCCATTTCGTGCAAGGTCCAAATTTAGATTTTTGGGGTTTGGAATTGACGGCACCACATTATGAGATAGATGCACGCTTTGTGTAGAATGTAGAATAACTATAGGTGGATGTAGTATGAAGTGGCCAATCAGACAAGATTTGATTTTTGCCACGTGACCACAGCCGTACCTGGCTTATCGATAAGAGTGCCAAGCCATCAGCAACCCAAAACTTTTCCGCTCATTCGATATTTTTACCCCAAGCCATTCTGCCGATCATTCACTACAAAATGTTGAGAGAAGTGTAAGTTATGGCAATCCATCGAGATTGTCATCCTAGTCTAATACCCTGCCCTACAGAAAAGCCAAGAACCCGCGCACTGCGCGTATCCTGAAAGCGCGCGAGCCGCAACTCGTCGAACCCCCCAAGAAGACCCTGATTTTCCACGGCGCAAAATGCCCTCAAACTCTCGACACCGTGTTGAAGACCTTCCACGCTTTGACGAAGCCCTACAACATTCTTTTCCACAAGAAGAACGAGAACTTGCACCCATATGAGAACTCTGAGAGTCTGGAATTCTTGGCCAACAAGAACGAGTGTGGACTCGTAGCATTCGGAAGCCACAACAAGAAGCGACCCAACTGCGTTACATTGGCTCGGGTTTACAACTCAGAGCTGCTCGATCTCGTTGAGCTAATGCTCCTTCCCCCCAGAGATGGCGAGGTCATCCCGCCTATCAACGAACTTGTCATGGATGTCGGTCTCGGCCTGCGACCTATGATGATGTTCTCTGGTAGCCCCTGGGACGATCCTACATCTACTGCGCACACTATCCTCAAGAGCACTCTTCTCGACATGTTCAGAGGCGAAGAGACGACCCAGGTCGACGTCGAGGGTCTGCAGTACGTGATGATGGTTGGTGCGGAGGAGCCCCAGGATGGTCTCTCCCCCGTCATCCACATGCGTTGGTACAGAGTCATCACCAAGCGCAGCGGTCACAAGCTGCCCCGCGTTGAGTTGCAGGAGGTTGGTCCCAAGTTCGACTTCAAGGTCGGTCGCACACGCCAGGCTGCTCCTGAGGTGCAGAAGGAGGCCATGAAGCAGGGCAAGCGTCCCAACGAGGAAGCCCGCACCAAGAAGAACATTACCATGGACTCTATGGGTGACAAGATTGGTCGCGTTCACCTCGGCAAGCAGGATCTGTCTGACATGCAGACCCGTAAGATGAAGGGTCTCAAGCGTCGGGCAGGTATGGAATCATCAGATGAGGAGGAGGAGCCATCTGCCGATATGATGGAGGAGGATATCATCTCTTCTGATGAGGAGGTTGAGGAGAAGGAGAGCCACAAGAAGGCACGGAAGAACTAAGATCGATCGATTTGCATGATTTCTTTTGCTAAGGAGTTTGGGCCGGACGGGATTTCGTTTTCTGCGCCTGTATGAGCAGTCTTAGGCATATGAAAAGTTATTTTAAAACCTCTACATCTAATAGAGACATTTCCTCCATCCATTATCTTCCACTAGACTCAACAATAAATGCCCGTGTGCCAAGGTCTTATATACAGCCACGTGACCATGACGTCGGCTGTATTCTCACATGCCGAGGCCCCTTCTCGATGCGGGAGCCGATTAAGTGCCGTCCCCTCCCCCAACATCTCCAGCCGTGGGAAATCTTTATTTTTACTTTGTTTCCTTCTCATGATTTTGTGACGGTCTCCTGGTCTCTTCTCGTTCTTCATCGCCCCTATAACCACCCCGAAACGAGTCCGACCTCTTACCGAGGCCCAGAGACGCCATGGATACCCTACTCGTAAGTTCCGCAGCGCCTCCGACAATAAAAACAATATTGACAGGTCTCTCCACAGTCCCAACTCGATGCGCTCGTCCTCAAACCCGAACTCGCGCCGCTGCTGTCATTAGTGAAGGGTGCACGCAATGGAATCGTCTACGGATCGAAAGTCCGCTTTCCACATGCGCTGGTGTATGTTGGGCCTCGGACAGCCGGAAACCCCGCTACAAGACACAGCTGACCGATACCGACTGCTTCTAGAATGATATTTTTGTTTAGATCTGGAACGTATGTCACTCCCAACGCCCGACCTTACCTCTGCGCAGAACGAAACTGATCGACTCGTTATCTAGATTACGCGAAAAGACAAAACTCGTTTTGAAAGCGACCCGCCAACATGCGCGGAACCTCTCCGTATTCGCCATTATCTACAAGGCCTCTATGATCCTTCTCCGGAATATACCAGGTGGTGCCGGGAAAGAGGGCCGATATGATACCTTCTTTGCAGGCCTGCTGGGCGGGTATGCAGTTTTCGGACGACAGCCGGGCAGTATTAGCCAGCAGGTATGTGATTTGGATTTTCTTCCCGTGGAAACAATTCGAACTTCGGTTCCCGAATACACTCCAGCTTTTCTACAGAGCTAACTCGAATCTAGATCGTTATTTATGTTTTCGCGCGTGTGATGCTTGCTCTCGCCAAGCTCGCCGTCCAACCCAACATGCACCCCCTCTCCTCCCTCATCACATCCGATGCACGCACTCGGATCACGAATAATGCCTACCCTGTTTTCGCCAGTGTGACCTGGGCGATGGTCATGTACATTTTCCGGTGGCACCCGGAGACGCTGGCGTCGAGTCTGCGGAGTAGCATGGTGTATATGTATGTTTTTTTTAACCTTTTATATATGATTCTGCCGAACGCACACCGTTTCTGGGGGCTCGGAAGTTCGGACTTGCTTTTCCCAATGCTAACACTCATCTCAACCACAGTTATGGCGACTCAGATAATTGGGATTCCCTCCGCACCCTGCTTTTACACAACAAATAAGCTCTCAGTGGGACCGGTTCTCTTAGCTTTTGTGTGTATTACGGCGTATAGAGCGGTTGTCATTTTGGCGGTGTTTTGGTGAGACGCATTCGAGGCGTGTATTATTCCGGGCCCTGCTCATCATTACCTTTTCACCCTGTATTATGAGGCATGGGATTTCTTGCATATTTTCAATCACAATATAAACAAATAAGACTTTACTATGTGGAGACTTTCGTAATTGGTAATATGGTAGACTTGTCAACTCAAACATGCCTTGAACTTGGTTGAGTGGGTGGTGGGTATAGAATTGTTGGTGTTTACACTCTCCTTGGAATACTGATCTCAGTCTTGATACGCTGTTCAATATTGTGCTGCAAAAATATGACTTAACAGGCTAAACATTTTGAATCTTCGATATAATTATGCGGAAGGTGGAATATATATATCAACAGTGTTCACACGAGGAGGTCTTGATTCTTTTGTCTCTTGCCAGATAATATAATTATTACTGATAGTCTGGTATATTTCTCAAGTCATCGTGGTGAGAGTTGGAGAGTTGAAGTTTCAGTGTAGGGGAGGAGGAAGGAGATGGGGGGGTGAATGCCTCAAACAAGAAGCAAGAAAAGGAACTCATCAAAGCAAAAGTAATAAAGGAAGAAAGGAAGAAAGGAATCAGAGAAATAAGATCTAAGATGAATAAAAGGGAAGGTGTATAGTGCATCCCCAAACAAACCGCCAGAACACCAATCACCAAGTGAATACACCAACATGAAAAGGAACAAAAAAAAAAGGCCTTAAGTGGAGGCACCTCTACAACCTGGGCGCTCTGCTGCCGACGGGGTATGACTGGCGGTCACATCGGCCAATGACTTACATGCGCCCTGACCATGGGAAGAAGCCGTGAAGTCGTGTGTCGCCTTTAAGTTGATCAAGTTCAAAGGTGAGGGTTGAACCCCAGGTCTCCGGTACCCTACACAAGTAGTTCAAAGTCCGCCAAAACGGGCAATGACTATGGCGTAGAGCCTTATGTGGTTCCCACTGGGCTACCTGGGGCGAGGCATTGAAATATGTTCTCTGATTGTGATACTTATAGGATGATATTTCCCCCAATTAGGACTAGTGCGACCCACTTTAATTATTGACTCCACCTTTTATGTTTCTTGCCGTAACCTTGGAAGGTTATGTTGACTGACATCCAGATACATTATATGTACATTATACATTGCATGGATGTATTCAAGTAAATTGAAGCTTTTAAATTGAGGGTATAACGATACAAACTATCCAGCATAGGAGTAACAGGGATATAGGAGGAGGAAAAAAATACAAAATGACGCTACTGTCTATCCCCTTCATCAATTTCAACAAGAACCTTCAACTCCCCATCCATCCAGTCAACGGCATCAGCCGAAAGAACCGCAATAGTCCAATCTTTCTGGTTCTGCACAGGTAGTAGTCCATCCGATAACCATACCTTGACCTTCCACCCATTCACAACAGCAGATTCGCGAGTTTCATGCCCAGCGCCCTGGAACGCCGGTAAACCGGGTATTTGACCTGGGTATCGACGAAGAATCGCCTGCTTGACTGTGTCGATATTAGGACACTGTCCCGCCAACATATCGAATCTGGGAAGAATGCGCTTTCCGTTTTGCAGAATATTGACGCGAAGGGAGGTCTGGCCTTGGCTGTGAGAGGTGGTTGTGCTGGCCGGTGTTGATTCAGCGAGAGGAGTGAAGGGTTGGTGGAAGTGAGGGTCGGGGTTTTGAGCAGGTTGGCCGTGTCGAGCGGCGATGTTCTCGCGGATAATGCGAGACACGTCGCGGGTGATACTGCTTGCGCTATGGGGTTGTTAGTTGGTATTTCACTGTTTGGAAAAGATGGATGACATACAATTCGTCTCGGGCTGGGAGGTTACGGGCTCCGCCAATGCGCCATTGGAGATTTGAGGTAGTGTCTGCGTGGATGATGCGATTGATATTTGCATCTTCGCATTCCGGTGGGCAGCCGTAATCTCCATTGTGGACGACGTGGTAATGGCTGTCAACTGCGGCGACGACTCCACGCCAATCGGGTTGCTGGAGACCGGAGAGAGACCATAGGTTATCGAGCTCGTAGCTCTCATTATAGGTATCATAGCATCGGGCGATCTCTTCCCAGTCGACTGTGTATCCGTCTAAAAAGAGGTCTGTCAGACCGACTTCCACGGGCTGGGTCGGATCCATTGCTGATTGCTGCATTGGCGGTGGAGGAGGGGGCATTGACTGTGACAGATCATCGCGATGGGACGTCTGATTTTGCATTTGGAGATGCTGCTCTGGAGAGAATCGCGGGCTATTCAGATTCGAGAAATCCTCCGTTTTACGACGACGGCGTTCTTCAGCACCACCTCCTTTGCGGGTCTCGATTGCATATTGGCGTTGCCTTTCGTTGGTGACCATCCGTCTGAGCAAAGGAATGACCAATGAGATGATCTTGTGTTGGTCACGCGGCCAGATGTAGGCTCTCGGGCCCATGCCTTCATTAACGACATTCTCTCCAAAGAACCGTTCACCATTCCCCTCGGCTTCGAGGAACTGACGAACACAATTCCAAAGGCGAAGCTTGACCATTTCCGTATCTCCCTTTCCACGCTGACCAACACAATCCCGTCTTTCAGGGTGTTCATCATTCAGCATGTAATTCTTAGCAGCAGCCTGGAGATGCAAAAAGTTCTCCGGTGAGATCTCAAGGGACGAAAACATCTTCGAGATCGGAGGCCGTGTGTACTTCTTGTTGCCAGAAGGCTGGCGGAACAGCGCCGCTGCAGAATGAATACCCACGGCACGAGCATCCGACAGGGACTGCTGCTGCTCGGGGCGAATGTCCATACCGTCTCCGGTATAGCCATGGGGCGTTTGTTGTGCGGAATGCGACTGGTGCTGCGCGGAGAGACCCGCGCCAGCCAAGGCCGGGTCGAGATTATCGTCATTTCGCTTGCGCTTTTTCGTTGCTGTCCGTGTAAGCCCCGAGGACTGAGAATGGTCGGTGTGACTAGGTACTCTCATGTGTCTTCCGCTGCTCATGCCAGTTCCGAAGTTTGCGTCGCCGAACCCGTTCTCAGAGAGATCGATGTCTGTGTATGAATCCATCTGGTGGTGGTGGCCGGCTGCACCGGCTGCGGCAGCGACCGCGGCGGCGGCTGCCCATTGCGAAACATCTTGGTCTGCGGCGGCGGTGGCTGCCTCGACTAATCCCGCGAGCTGGTTGTCATTGGGTGCATATCCACTGTTGGCCAGTTGCGCGTTCGGGTCGAGGTGCGGGGCAGTCGCTGTCTGCTGGGAGGGTAGGTCGGAGGAGGTTGTGGGGATATGTTGGTTGGTGGAAGAGCTCATGGTGTCGATTGAGGGCTAGATGCTTGTAGACACCCGGTTCGATAAGCTGATAGTGTCGGAAAGTTGTGAGGATTGAGATAAAAAAGAGTGGCAGAGAATTTTGCTTGACAACAGCGAACTCAGAAAAGAATCAAGCCGCGCGCAAGATCCTCAATATATCTCTAGAGGGGTATGTCTTCTAAGTTGAAGCTCTTATCCAGTCGTTATAGAGAGCCTAATGAATAGCTTCACCCATTAGCAATGCAACTCAGACAGACAGAGGTGTCCCAGCGCGCCACACCCAAGAGGGTGAGAAGCGCGTCACAATAGAAACAAGGTCAAGGTAAAATAATAAAAAAAGCTTCGACAGCTTTAGTTCGAGTTGGCTGATAAGAGGCGCGACGGTTGGAATGATGTTTGTGCAGTTTGAAGGAACAACAGACAGTGCAAACTGAAATCTTCGATGCTATCACGTGACTTATAATTTTCCACATCTGCGTACATAACCCATCATATTAGCATCTTTTTATACAGATTATAAATTACAGGTCTAACTTGAATTTGAGAATATGAAGTGCTTGATCATCTTTCTATCCATTTCTATTTTTAATATAGCCGTATTATAAGAGGCCCGAGTGAAAAAAGAATAAACACTCTATAAGTACATTCGAATCAAGAAATCAGTCACCAAATAGTACAAACATCGAAAACAGTGCAAGTAACCATAGCAGAATACATGCTCCTGTCAATTAAAACCGTGAGCGTTAACAAATGACAGAACATGTGTCCAAAAGCAGGCCTCGTGCGAGAAAATGGCAAATATATGGCATATAGATCATTGGCCCACATAAACTTTTGCAGTGGCAGTGCAAAAAGACGAGTGAGAGAAAGCAGCACTTGATCCAGTCAAGACAGCTTAGAACCCATCACCCTCTTTCCAAGCACGACCGGCCTCCTGGGCACGGTGCTGGGGATTCTTGCCACGCTCTATAGCAGCAGACAGAATCCCAACGATCTCCTGCTGCTTCTCCTGAAGTTGGTCCCAAAGGAGATTACCCCCTTCAGACCCAATGTCATCCGGTCCAACAGAGTCATCAAAGCCAATGCCATCAGACAACCACATCCAATTATCCAATTGGCGTTGGAGCTCATTCTTCTTCGTTTCAGCTTCTCGGTAAATATTGAATTCCTCGTTTCCGCCAAAACAAAACCCGTACCCGTCACATAGACACACATTCTCATCAACGCAGAGAACTGCCTCCCCGGTGAAGATAAACTGCCACAGATATTCCCAGATACGACCGGCGATATAATCACTCAGATCTGTTGACAGCAGCCAGTCGCGATAGAACACAAACCGGGCCCGCGGAATGGAGCGAATGCGATCGCGCGACAGGGCGAACTGCGCACAACACGGCTGCGCCAGGACAGACGGGATCGGCTGGTCGGGGAATAGCTCCCCCCAAGCGCGGGCCAGCATAATCTCCTCCTGCTTGGACTCGTCTTCTTCGACCGCGCCGGGATGCATCCAGGCTGGACAGCCCGGGCCGAATCCGCAGCGAGTATTCATGTAGCCCTCGCGGATGACGCGGTTCAGATTGAGACGGCGGAGCAGCTGCGCGGCATCTCCGGCGAACAAATTATCGTTATGCCAGGCGAATTGGTGCGAGTGCATGAACACCGCCACATCTGGGAGCTTGTCATAGTGGTCAACGAGGTAGGTGAGGTAGATCATGACCTCGTGGCCTTTGTTCTTGGGAGGGTGGAGTGGTGCTGTGGGGTCATCTGCAACGTAGATGGCGTGGTTCCAATCTGGCAGCTCCTGGGCGATCCAGTTGGTTTCTTCCCCCTTGGTCCGGGTCACGACCAGGGTCTTCGTGTATTTGTAGCCCGGGGGCTTCGGGGTGCCGGGGATGAAGTCCGGCGGCGGGGCATAGAGGTCGTTGTTTTTGTGGCCGTAGGTCGTATTCCAGGCTCCTGTTGTATTGGATGACGAGGAGACCAGGTCACCCAGGCCGATGACTTGGGGTACGTCACGCCATGGTCGTGAGAGGCTCCGGGATGTGAGGAGCAAGACGAGGAAGAAGCAGACGCCGAGGAAGAAGACCGCTCGGCGTGGGAGAAGCATGGACGGAGGGTTGGACAATCGTACACGGGATTATTATCTGTTGCACGAGATGCTGGTCAGCTGCAATGTCACACTGTCTGCCACTGTGTCGTGTGCACAGGGATGAAGGTGCAGGAGATCGTAAGGTGCAGAAGCATTGGAATGGAGCAATTGAGGTACACAACTTACATAGTTTAGGATATCATTGCTCCGCGAGTGTAAGGGGGTGAAGGAGAAGAAACCCGATCTAGATTCAAGGGACTAGGGTGACCCTGCCTCTGGGGGAGTTGGACAAATCAGATGCAAGTGGAGTCGGGGCTATGCCGCCATGACGAAGCTTCTTTCAATGCGATGTTATAGCTAGTACGGAGTAGTAGACAGAACTTCATATATAATATACAATATAAGAGACCGTTGGTCAATGTGGTAAATATCAGTTTGAAATGAAGAATTGCAAATATAAAATATTATGCGTTATTTGAAATTGTCCAACCAACGCGGGAAGACGATGATCTCTCCACAAGGATTCCAAAGCTCAGCCACGCGGCCTGTCTCAGCCGCCACAAGCCACACTTTTATAGTCTACCGAGGTCTAAGGACTTTCCTACTTTACAATGCATATACATATTTTCATTTGAAAGTAATCATTGAGAGAAAATACCATGAGATTTAGTGGTATAAAAATCGTGAAAAGAAATCTGGGTATGATCTTTTGCTCGCGAATAACGCCATGCAGAAACGCTGGTGTAAATAACCGGACAGAAAGGGCTGAGCAGACCCGGTGAAAAAAAAATACAAAGAGGGTTATCAAACGAGGAGCACATGATCAAGCTTCTTCATCGGGCGTTTCTTCAACTGATGCAACCCGGCGTTTGCCGTTGGATGCGGACTCAGGAGACTCGGCTTGACCAGAAGCACTATTTGCAGATTCCCCATTGCTACCCCATGTAGTAGGAATGGAAGAAGATGATTTGGCCTCAAATGACCCTCGAGGGGCAACGTCGGTCCATTCTTGAGACGGGGAGTCTGCACGGTTATCCGAAGGGACGGTGGGCGTGGGTTGCAATACCGGTAGACTAGAGGCCCCATTTACGGGAGAAGTTTCAGCATTGGTGGTGCCGTGGGCATTTACCCCGACATTTCCGCTCGTCTGATCTTGAACAGGCATTGGGAATGTGGGGGTCTGAGAAGTTATAGCACTGGCCACGGCTGGCGCAGATGGGGATATCACTGTAGTAGGCGTGGGCTGTACTGTCTGTGCCAGACTGTTGGCACCATTATCCACGCGCTGGAGAGGTAGGAGGGTCCAACCAGGGGGAAGAGTGAGTCCTTCAGGTAGACGAGGGTCTCCCGAGTTTAGAACATCACTGCTTGGGTCTGTGCCATATTGGTGGCCCGTGGCGAAGACCGAAGATTCTGGGATCACGTTGGGAGGCGGGACTGCTTGGCCGGCAGCATCTTGGTTAACAGCCCTTGCTTGAGCAAGCAACCGCTCTAGTTCCACGCGAAGCTGTCGCACGTGATTTAGATGTTCGGTGGCAGCTCGAAGAGTGGCAATCTCATGATTGAGCCGTTGCTCGATCTGCACCAACTGATCATTGATTTCAGCAGCAATAGATCCCCCCGGACCTGCACCTTGTGGGGCAAGAGCGGGGGCGGGGGCTTGGGGACGGCGCCCGAACCCGAATCCAAACCCAATTTGTCCTCCAGGCGCATTCGCAGGCGGGTTTGCCCCAGGCTGCGGGCCATGACCTTGATCACCCCGTGGCTGAAGGTTGTTGAATAGATCTCCACGCACAGCCCCAAAGCCGACACGGAAGGGCCCAAACTGATAGACCCGAGCACGTGGTTGTGCATCTGCACCTTGTTGACCTGGCTGGATGCCATTCTGACCTCCACGTGCGTTGTTGCCTGCAACTCCAGCAGCACCTCGAGTTCGCGTGGGCGCGATAACTGGACGTCGACATGTCGGGCAGTTTTGTTGCCTCTCAAGCCAGCTTCGGAGGCACGAAAAGTGCAAGATATGGCCACATGGGAGCTTCTTTGGACGTAAACGGTCAGGAACACGCTGGCTTCCAGCGGCCGGCTGTGGTGCAGGTTCTCCAGCAGCATCGGCCGCTGGTTGCGGTTGCGCTGGTTGGACTGGGATCATTTCCTCGCGGCAGATGATACAGACATCTTCCCGGGAGACTTCCTCTGCCGTTGCATCCGGATATCTCTGGTGCATATCCCTTGTCGCATTTCGGTAACGCAAGAAGTCCATAATGCGGCGGGCAAACGAGCGGATGGTCACAACAACGTCCCGCAGGATGTGGATGGGGAGGCCATAGAAAGTGAGCAGAATACTAAAGAAGCTCAAGTAAATCACAAGTTTCAACAAATCGGTCAAAAGATCCAAGTAGAAGACCCAACGACCCTTCTCTTCCCATCCGGGCACGTCAATCTCCATCTCGTTGATATCGTTTTCGTCAGGCAGATCGTCAGGGGGGAGGTAGCTCCCAAGCGGGCATGCTCTCGAATCGCCTCGACACGCGCAATGCGGATCTCATCCCGACGTTCTTGCATCTTAGCCTTTATCTGCTGGCGAGTTATGGAGATCTCGGTCAACGCGATAGCGTATCGGAGGAGGGTGGAGCTCGAGAGGATCGTCAAGATGGCGAATTCGAATCCAAACATGACCATCATATCCGGCCGTGCCTGGGTAATGACGGTCTGCACACAGTACCGCAACATGAAGGAGTTAAATAACACCGTTAGCACGAGAGATACCGCCAGGCGAGCATGGAACAACCGAGGATTAGCCGGCGGCTGTTGCTCTAAGAACTCAACGCGGCCTTCGCCAATCCAACCCCAGACTTTGCCGACCAGCAGCGAAATGAACATGACCAGGAACCAGCCTCCAAGTTCGCCTCGGAAGATGGTCATGGCCAGACATGTCTCTGTGACGGCGAACCAGGCCCGCTCGTATAGTTGCTCGGTCTCGATTGGTCGTAAGGGTCCGTACAGAAGTCGCTGGAACCAGAATAGTACAAAGCCGGTAACGAGAAGACATAAATTCGTGAGGATCTGGAGATGGAACTTAAGTTAGGGACTATGATGACCAAGCGCGATAACCCAAACTGGACAACTTACCATAAGATTCGCACTACTCTGAGAGAGATAGACGCATGCCGAATAGAAATTGGACCTCTGATGAAGAGCTTTTAGAAACACACCAGTGGCTAGGACCACTGAGGCCTGTAAATGGGATTCCGAGGTTAGCGGGTGTCTCCCCATCAACTGCGGTACTACTTACCCCAGTATACGCGGCCAGTCTCATGGCTATCGACTGGATCGGACAAGCCGAAGGTCATGGACCGAAGGGAGGACAAAAAAAAGCGGGCGTCTCAAGGTAGCATTTGGCGGAGCAACGAAGTGAATGCCGTTTACTTGGGAGGAGTAAGTAGCTTGATCTGGACAGCTTTCCAGAATAACCCGCAGCCGCCTCTCCGCATCTTACGTCAGCTACCAGCACGTGCCCGCCACCCAGATCTATATCAGCCTACAATACATGGCAACATTCGATTTTCACTATAGGAAAGCATAATATTTATGAATCCTGTATAATCTAGAATAATTTTGTTGAATTCAACAATTTAAACCTATTTTAGGCGTCCGCACATGTCTGTCGATCTTCGGTGTTTATCTGATCTCCGTCATGTGACGTCCCACATTGTCCGCCTTGGAACCATTGTGACACCGTCTAGGTCATACTTTCTCCCCAATCTGCGAACGAAGGGATATCATCATCTCTGAATCCCGCACTCATCCTTACAATTTAAAAGAAATGAATCATCTCCGGTGATGGCTTCGTCACCGGCATTATTTACTGCCTCGCGCAGCCAAACATTAACCTATCTCTTGGCGGTGTGCCCCTTCTCCATCGCCTTCCTAGTTTACATCAATTCATCCATCTCCTTCGTGGTAACAGATTTAATTGGGCTTCAACATGGAGAGGGAGACGCAGTGGGAACTCTGGGGTTCGCGGATGAACTCCTTGCCCTGGTTGCCTGCCCACTTTGGGGCGTTCTTTCGGACCGAATCGGAGTCCGCCATGTAAGCTTTCTACTGGTCCATATCGGAGTAATAACATTCAGAGATATTGACGTTAGATAGGTATGTACTGCAGGCTATGCTATTGTAGCACTTGCACTGGTGGTCTTTGTGCAAGCCACGAATATCTACCCCCAGCTTCTCTTGGGAAGGTTGCTTTTCAGTGTCGGTGGCTCAGCAGTGTCAACCATGGTCACTGCAGTTTTGCCGACAGTCACTGGCACGGCCTTTAATGCCCAGGCATATCGCGCATCTGTGTCTTCAGAGTTGACCATCACGCCGGAGCGTGCCAGGAATGGTCATTCCATGCACGTTGGTTCCAACGCATCGCCGTCTGCGCGACTCTCCGGGTTTGTTGGCATGTGCGCTGGCTGTGGTGCGCTCCTGGCACTGGTTGTTTTCCTGCCGCTTGCAGCCCGATTTGAGAAGATGGGACTGTCGCCATCACAGGCGATCCAGCGCAGCTATTATCTGGTTGCTGCAGTGTCACTTGTTATCAGCTTTGTATGCTTCATTGGTCTTCGTGATCTTCCCGGAGAAAAGGGCAAATGTTGGAGTGTACTGTGGAAACAGTGTGATGAAGACGATGAAGATGACGACGATCTATCCATCCATGGCCCAAGATTGCCATACTGGAAGCAGTTGTCAACTGCCCTTACCTTGGGATTCCGAAACCGTAGCATTGGACTGGGCTACGTCGGAGGCTTCGTGGCCCGAGCCTCTTCTGTGGGAATCTCATTGTTCATTCCCCTCGCGGTCAATCACTACTATCGGACATCGGGCCTCTGCCACGAGGAACGTGAACCGGTTCCTGGGTCGGGATTAGGGGAGATTAAGAAAGCATGCCCGCGCGCATACATTGTCGCATCCATACTGACCGGGGTGTCCCAATTGGTGGCATTGATTGCGGCTCCAGCCTTTGGGTACCTGACAGACAAATCACGACGATATAATTTCCCACTTCTTTTCGCAGCATTGGTGGGAATCATCGGCTATGTTATCTTCGCTATGCTCCCAAACCCTTTATTCGAAAGACCTGACGGCAATCCGGGGGTGTTTGTTGTGATGGCTCTACTTGGAATCAGCCAGATCGGGGCAATCGTCTGCAGCTTGGCGGTACTGAGCAACGGCATCCTGCGGGTCAGTATTGACAATGAAACACTAAGAAAATTATATGAGGAGCGACTTGGTTGTGGGGACGAGAATGACGCAGAGCCTGACGAGGCCCAATCTCTTCTTGCCGGGTCTGTCAACCGGCGATTGGAGCATCTGTCCCACCTTAAGGGCTCCATCGCAGGCGTCTATTCACTATATGGTGGGGCAGGTATCCTGCTTTTGACTAAAGTGGGTGGACTGCTTTTTGACATCCTATCATCGGGCACACCATTTTATATCATGGCGGGTTTTAACGGCGTGCTGCTTGTCATAGGGATCGTGTGTGGGGGCCTCAACCACTTCGGATCCTCGGGAAGGACTCGGTGATCAATTTCGGTTTTTAATATGAAAATAATCTTCCATATCAAGATCTTCTCGGATTGGTGAATATAATTTATGAAAACAATCGACATTTTTCGGCTAGCAATATCTGAAGGTAACACGTGGTTTAGGTGAAAGAAAGTGGGTAAAAACAAATTAAACTATAGAGGGAAAAAAAATGGTTCATAAGATTATTTCATGCGCTTTCAGGCACGGGCTCTTTTCACCGGTAATTTGAACTGGACCGTAAGTCTGGGCAGGGGTCAGTGGCTGAACTGGGGAAATTACAAGATAAGAAAATGGTCATCACTTAAATATACTTGTTTTGAATAGTTAAAATACATACTTTGTATACATCAAAGTAGTTGAATTCTTATATATAATTTCATCTTCGAAATTGGTTCATTCATAGGTTGATCTTTCATCTCCGACTTAATGAAGAGCAACAAACAACTTTCCCAAATAGGCATTTGACCCAGGGGTTGGTTCGGCCCCTAGACCCGGATCAGCCTAGTTCCACCAGAAACTTTCCACTAAGGTGCTCCTAATGTCGTCCCCGCCAAGCTCGGACGGAACTTCAATATGGTAAGTGCTAAATGCCCCCTTTTTGAGACCTTTTGAAAGCCCGAACCCCTGGGGCCACTGTTCTTGAACGTGTCGGGCAGATCCGCTTGGACCTATGGGCCAATCCCTGTCCCAAATTTCATCTTGGCGCCCACGGACAATAAAATGCCGAGTCAATAATATGCGCGCCTAACCCCCAGGTTGTCTCTCTGACATTTCTTCTTCTTCTCATACCTTCAGGCTCAAGCAGTCCGTCATTCACTCTTTCGTCGTTCGACAGTCTTTCGTTAAATCCAGTCCTTCGTTTTGAGAAATTGTTGATTCTACTCCCAAGTACTGTGTACTCTCATTCTTTGTGCGATTCCATCTTGATTATCATCAATTATTCGATATAAATACCGATCCAATCTATTTCAAACATGCGTTTCTACACCATCGCCCTGTTGACTGGCGCTACCGCCGTCGCCGCTAACAGCGCGACCCTCCTCCTACCCGGCTTTGCGGGTCAGGATCTCAAGGCTAGCATTGTGGACACCGTACGTACCAGATTCAGTTGCGCCAACGATGCGCGCTTCCGTCAACACCGCTCTTCTGTCTATGCACTTTTAACTAACCACCTACAGAACGGAGATGCGACTACCTACAAGATCACCTGCTCCAAGACCGCCGATGCCTGCGGTATTGTCGGCGAGGGCATGACCGCAATTGCCGCACCAACCTCCATGCAGCTGATGAACATCGACCTTCAGGGAACGTAAGTACCAGCACCGACTTTCCTTGCGCGAATCGCATTCTGATATCAAACAGCATTGGAACTGTTTCCTGCAACATTGCCGGCACCACTTATGCCTCCTGCCAGGCCTCCGCCGGCACTGCCACCCCGACGGGCACCCTGGGCCCAGATGATCTGAACTGGATGCCCGTGACTATCTCCACCACCCACACCCCGACGTCGACCACCACCTCCACCAAGGCCCCCACCAGCACCACCAGCATCACCACGACCGAGGTGACCTCCACCACTACCCCGGCCATCACTTCTACGTCGACCCTCGTCACCTCGACCCCCAAGAAGTCCTCATCTCTCATTGTCTCCGCTACTGCCTCCTCCACCCCCCTGGTCGCGGCACCCACCAACTCTGCTGTCATCGGAACCGGTGCGCCTGCCTCTTCCTCGACTCCCTTCAACGCCGCCGGCCAGCTGGCAGGCAGCATCTGGACCGTTGGTGGTGCCTTCATGGCTCTTGCCTGCGTTTTCGCGTAAGCCTGACGCGTGATTTGATCCGTCTTTTTCCTGTGCGGCTTTTTGGTTGTGGGAGTGATGAGCTTCGTGCTTGTCGATTTATTAATTTCCGGGGTTTCTGACGTTGCTTCTTATGGATGTACTCATGTATCCCTATATGTGTCCATCTATTATTTTTTAATGATTTGATACCTTTCTCCACGACAGACTACGATCTAGCGTCTATTTTACACATGTATCTTCAGTTATTGAATATACCTTTTTCCGCCGCTTTAACTTTTGGGTCTTTTCTATGTTTCTTTCATGCCCCGGACTGGGAATACCCCTGTAGATTGTATCCACTGAAAGATATCCACATGCGCCTCTTTGTCTCATTTTTGGGTATGCTTTGGGGTACTCCACTGAGCACGGTCCCTGGCTTCTACTTGTGTGTGCCACCAAATTCAAGATATGTTTTAACACTCTGTACCCCCACGGAGTACGAACTATATGCGCAAGGAAGCGTCAAACCGAGGATTATCTACAAGGCTCGAGCTGTCATTGAAAATAGCGTGCTCAGCCCCGCGAGGCGCAAGAGTTAGGGCTAATGTACTTGATATTTCAAAGATGTGTGACAAGATATATCTTGCTACCTGAAAGCTAGACGCGTTTGTACTCTTCGGTCACTTTTATTTCGGCTCAATCTTCATGGTACTATGACGTGTAGGCTTTATTAGTTCAACAGTACTTTTGATACCATGATAATAATGTCCAGATGTCGACATATATATGTTTAAACATAATTAATTTCGAAATACCTTTTGTGCATCCCAAATAGAAGTGCCTGCAATCAAATATTTGCATTATACAACATCTAACAGCAATTTAGCCCAAACCAGCTGGTTGCCCCACATCGTATGGCCCCCCAAGGCCAGAAATAATCTATAAGCGTAGTAAGCCCGGTTCGCTCGGGCCGGGGAATCTATGTTGGGGGTCATCCAAACTTCCACGCACCTCGACATCTGCCCTGCCCTTGCTGATTTTGGACCGGCTTACTCTACTCTGAAAGAGGATGCTCCTAGACTCCTTCCTCGACCGAATATATTTTCCCTCTGTTTTGGATACAAGCAGAATATATAGAGATATCAAAGCGTGTGACGAGCATGAGTAAGTAGAAGTGAACAGGTAAGAGGAATAGCATTCAGGAACTTGATATAAAAGACATATATAGAACGCATGTACCTAAACCCAAGCATCAGAGATACCAACGAATAGAAGCATTCTCAGTGACATCTCCTCTGCCTGTGCCCGTGAACTCGACCGTGGCATTCCCACTCACCCTTGCAGAGCCACTCCCATTGACATAGACACGGGTATTTCCGCTGGCCCAGACAGTGCTATTGCCATAGACAAACATGTTGCCATTACCAGAGACGAAGACATGGCCGGGACCGTGGATGACGGCCGAACACGCGCCATTTGGCCCCTGGTAGCATCCGTAAACCCCCATATGGTTGTTCAAGCTCACATCCCATTCTTGCCGGGGCTCTGACTTCGTAAGACGCATCTCCTTCTCCCTCTTATCTTTCTTTGAGGATTCTTTGGACTTCTTCTCCTTCTCATACTTATCTTTCTTCGCGGACTCTTTGGACTTCTTCTCCCTCTTCTCCTTCTCATACTTCTTCGACGACTCTTTAGACACCGTGGGGTGGTGTTTCACAACTTCAACCGATGGGTAGATCAACCCCAAAGTCTCCTTGTCGCTTTCAGAAAGCACAATATTCTGAGGAATATTCATCAACCCGCTCTGTGTATCTCCCCTCGCGATAGCGTAGTGCATAATCGACTTTCGATCATATGGCCTATCCCACCTGGCGTTGACGGCGCTATGCGTATCGTCATTGTAGTTGTGACGCACCGTATCCAACCCCCACCCATTGTTATCCATAAGCTGGCTGTAGTTCCACTTGGCCTTGCAATGGGGGTGCTTATGCTCGTGTATCAGACCCAAAGCATGTCCGAACTCGTGCAGCACGTCGAATTGCACTTTATCTCGGACCGCGTCCTGCGTGTGCAATCTAGGATGCATGTTCAGCCACATGGTGGGCTGGTCTGGGTAGGCCTCGGCTTGACGTCCGATATAGGATTTGGAATTGTCTGTGAATAGAATACGAATGTCGGGAGGGCTTGTGTCCCGGAATTTGAAGCGGAGGCGCATCGGGATAGAATTATAATGCGTTCTGACCAAGGATTTGACCGTGCTTTGTTCATAATCGCCTCCGTTTAGGAAACACACATTGAGAATCAGTTTGTCGGGTGGCCAGAATCCGGCCGCTGGGCCTGCGCCCATCGTTTAGCTGGTTGGGGATTATCGGCGACTTCACAATACTTCAGTTGAAAAGACAAGCTGGATGGACCAGCTAGAATTTCTTTGTCAGGGGTAGAAGGCAAAAATGAGTATATTTTGGGTTGCGGATAAGAGATGTCTGTCTCAAAGAGTTGATATGTTGGCGCCTGAACCGCGGGCAACAAAACACCTAACGAGAGGGGACCGTCTTGACTCACAAAATAAGAATATATCAGAATATGCTAAAGATGTACGGACTAGCATGCACTCAGAACGAATGAGATCAAGCCGAATCGATTCAGGGGGGAAGTACGTGAAGAATCAAGTGGGAAAGAGCATGTCGAAATACCCCTCATGTCAGCTTGTTGAATACGATACTCGGTAGTTACAACAGGATCGCAAGTTGTCGCAAGTATACAAATAAAGAAATATAGTCTAAGATGTGACCAACCGGTTGTCTCAGAGCTACTGAAATCGAGTATAATAAACAATCTGCCTTGTTAGGCGTTTTCCTCCCTGTCTGAGCACTGCCACTGTTCAGCACACAGCCGCCAATTATTGCAGCCAAGAACACTATTATTAAGCCAACCTGCAGCGCGCATCTAGGCACCTATGATAAGAGGACTATATCTGTTACAGAAGTCGGTCGCTGGCTCAACAGATAAAAGGCTATGGTGTGTCTTTAAGAAGGCAATATAAAAGCATGGTAAAACGAGGGGACCACTAGCATCCCAGTTTCTGTTCCCGCGACGGCAGATGAAACGGCAGATAGATGACGATGCATTGGCCATTTTCTAGGGAGCTGAATCTCCAGCCTGTCGTCATAATCCTAGCGTTCCTAGAACGAATTAGATTTCAAATCCTACCCCAAACCGAGGAAGCGGCTCTGACGGTCGCAGTATAAAAACAACACCCACCCCTCAATTTCTCAAATAAAGCAGACCGAAAGCATACATACAAAGGTTAGCCGCTGTGTCTTTGCGGTATTTGCAGAGGGATCATGCTCTTTGAATGCAGCGAAAACGCTTATAGATTTCTCATACTCTTGCGTTTGGTTATAGGAAAAAGTTCGGAATAGGTTTGTGATCCAACATCCCTCGCTGTTCTTCACAGCATTGCTAAAGAGTGGGACATGCTTGACCTCCTCTTTGAGATAGATGGGTGTGCTAAGACGATCCATATTTGTGAGACGCTAAATGTTGCGTGGGCATTTGATATGCTCGCTAGCAACTGCATTGTCGAGAAAGGCGTACTCTAAAACTTCTTGGATTACACAAAGGCCTAACTTATCGTTTCGCTTAGTGTATGTGAAAATAGGCATGTGTTAGATTACGACATATTGTAAAATGGAATGTTTCCTCTTACGGTACTCCTACTCCTTTATTCCTCTTGCGTTTGTTGAGTCGGTGTTTGACTCTTTTATGAAGAATTTGACATTTGGAATCTCTAGGATGTATTACGTTTTACTATATGCAATCCGATATCTTTCTATTCGAGGGCGTCGTTACCACTTATGTACCTGGATGCCTCGACAAGTTCTAAATGTACTATACATCGCTTTCTGTCACTAGGCCTTATTCGGAAATTAAGCGACGCCATGTTAAAGCGGCGAAGCCGGAAACACCACGCTTTTCCAACAAAAAGCCACGTACAATGACCTTTTGCCATGACCTCGATTACTCCGTATGACCAATGCTGATGATTAGGGTACAAAGTGGAGTGCACGCATTATTAATACATATCAAGCGGGGTACTAGAGACTAGCTGTTATTTTAAAATTATTTAGTTATACCAGTTTTTTCAAGAGTCATCTGTACAAGATATACGCATATCATGTCTACCATCTTGATTTCCGGCGCCAACAAAGGTACGCTACTGCATAATTGACCTCTCACTCAATTTCAATTAACAATTCCAGGAATTGGCCGTGCCCTGGTTGGGAAATATCTGGCGCGCGATAATGTGACCGTGATCGCCGCTGTTCGCAACCCAACCTCATCGGAGTCAGCTTTCTCCGACCTTCCCACAGGGGCGGGTAGTCGGTTGATTGTAGTTAAAATCAACGCCAGCTCTGATACCGACGCCAAAGCCGCAGTGGAATCATTGTGTAGCCAAGGCGTGTCGAAATTAGACATCGTCATCGCTAATGCGGGAATCTTCGACCGAGCCGCTTTCACCACTGTTGCTGAGTCTAGCATTGCCCAGATTCAATCTCATCTAGACGTCAACACTCTTGGTCCCATACGTCTATTCCAGGCTACTCTCCCTCTCCTTCAAAAGTCATCGTCTGCTCGCTTTGTCCTGATAAGTACTCTGATGGCAACGATTGGAGATATGAAGGATGCTCCGTGGACTACTGCGCCGTACGGCGCTAGTAAGGCTGCGGCGAACTTCTTTGTGCGGAAAATCAACTTTGAGAATGATGGGATTGCTACCTTGGCTGTTAATCCAGGGTATGGAGATTTGGACTCTTTGTCTTGACGCGTTGACTAATATCTCCTATAGGTCTGTCAAGACGGATTCTGGAAATGATGCTTGTCGAACATTAGGCTTTGACGGCGCTTTTGTAGAGATTGACGGCAGTGTTAGCGCAATTGTCAACAAAATCGATGGGTTGACCAAGGAGAACGGTGCAGGGGAGTTCTGGAGCATCGATGATTCCACTGTTGCCTGGTAGACGGTGATAAAAGTGGGTAAATCCTTGACCACTGAAGATTTGTGCAAATAGATGTATTATAAAGCTAGTTTCTCTGGCACTCATATCCTCAAGGGATAGTGTAACTAAATTTAAAGACATTGAGTGAGGTCTCGAATAATTTGTCTGTCTAGAATGTGTATACATCACCAAGGGGCTGCTGCACTATTAAGCCAAGCTTTTAATAATGATAATCACGCTACGAGGTAGACCGGCCGCTACTCGCTGGAGAAATTGAGACCCAAGACAAGAAGGCAAACAATTAGGATAGGCTAATGCACGTTACATCTGCTGAACTTGTCTCCAAGAGCCATATACTCAAGTTTCCTCGAATCAAATAGATCTAATATTTCTTTCCATTCACTATCTGAGTTTACTTGTGTTAGGGACGGGTATATATATGATATATATGCTTATCTAGGACTCACACCCTATATGTAGTATAGCACTAGAGAGGAAGATATAGCTACATGGATAGACCTCTATAACCTGGAAAGTCTGCACATGCAATACACCAGGATCAAGCGGGTGACCTTCGGGTCTGGTTTGCGCAAAGGAAAAAGACACAGATTAGCACCCTTATGAGGGAAAGAAATGTTCCTCCTATTTCTTTCGTATTTCTCACGTCATTCCAGGACAGCCGTATATTCAATCCCTGATAGTAGCTCATTTATTTATTTCCCTTCTCTTACCTTTCCACCCCTCTAGAAACTTCATATTTTGCTAAGTACATCGTGTAGGAACCGTGGATCCAAGGCTCGACTGCCTTCGGGGATGTCAGATACTCCCTAGAATAATGTTTTTTTTTCCTATTCCTTTCTGCAAACGCAGGAAGGGGTCCTGAATCTAAATTTATAAGGCTCGGGCTATATTGGATTGATCTGTCGCTATCTTTGCGGGGAGTTAGTATACCGGCTTTGGAAATCAAGAGTGACATCATGCTCAAGTACCCTCATCTCCCGGGTGACCTGGCTGTGGCAGTCTCACTTCTTACATCTCTCGCTCAGAATCAGTTGAAATAGAGTTATTTTGTTAACACCATGGAAGCTGCAACTTATGAAGCCATCGTCGTGGGTGCTGGGCCCGGCGGACTAGCCACGCTTGCAACACTGCTTGATGTTGGAGTCAGGAACATATTGTGGGTGGATACGACCTTTGGGGGTGGGAGATTGAATGAACTATACCGGGAAATATCATCGTGCGTAAAATGTCGATTGGTCTGTGCAAAGCCTGTTCAGAACTAAGTTGATCAACACAGTAACACTAAAGTTGGTATTTACCTAGACGCAATCTACGCCTCCCCTACCTGCCGTTCAATCATTCAAACTACCTCTGCGCCCAATGCGATCACACAACTAGAGTCATTGGACAGAGAATCGACCTGTCAGCTCAGTTTAGCCGGTGATATGATTTACATGCTACGGGATGGGCTGCTACAATTCCCAGAAGTGGAAAAGAAAGTGAGCAAAGTGGAACAGATTTTTCTCGATGTGAGCTCTTCTACTCGACCCTTGGACTTGACTAACGGAATTTTTAGGAAGGGACTTGGACAGCCTCAATGGCTGACACGAAGGTCAAGGCCAAACGTGTGTTTCTCTGCACCGGTTCTCATCCGAAGTCCGCGTCGTTACATCAACCAATCAACCCCGAACTAATCGTACTCGATGTGGATCAATGCATGCGTCGCTCGAAGCTGCCATCGTTACTTCCAGAGGACTGTAAGTCGGTTGTGGGAGTGGTGGGCAACTCCCACTCTGGCATTTTATGCTGCTGGAACTTGTACGAGATCTCCAAATCTAACCAACGCGATGTGAAAATGTTCAACTTCCGCAGGCGGCCTCTTACATACGCCATATACACCAAGGATGGCATAGTCTTTGATAATTCTGGTCTGAAAGGCAAGACGGCAGAATGGGCGAAGAATGTCATGGAGAAGGATCTGGATCGTACCCGACTCGAAGATATCAATTTGGGAAAGGACGAAGACTCAGTCTATCGAGAATATCTCCCAAAATGCACGCACATCGTCTACGCAATTGGATATGAACGGTCATCACTGCCGGAAATATATATAAACGGTCAGCGGAGAGAAACGGAGGTTGAATTTGACATGCATTCCTCTGGGTTTCACTATCGAGGCGGAGGTGAGAGAGTTTTTGGACTTTATGGTAATGGCATTGCCTTCCCCCAGTTGGTTAAAGACCCTGGAGGTCACATAGAAGAGGCGGTGGGAGTTGCGAAATTTTTCGGCTTTGCAGAGAAGGTGAAGGAAAGCTGGCTTTATTGCCAGTAATCTCTGTTGGGGATAGATATATTACAGAACTATTGAAGGTCATATTTGGGTAGTATATGCTCTACACATCGTCAAGAATGTAAAAGTGCCAGGTCAAGTTATAGCTTACCAATGCACCGGCATTTAGTGCCTGGGACCATAATCACGTTTCCTATTAAAGGTTATACATAGAAAAGTCTTAACACAATATATGCTTTTGTTTCCGTCTCTTTCTGCTGTCTACCCGGGGAGAAAATATCTTAAAAAGACATCTATGTTGTAAACAGGATATCTGAGACTACTGAAAAGACTACTAAAAAGACCACTAAAGAGACATCACAAGGCCGCATACGCGGCCCTTTACTCTTGTATCTAATATACATGGATAACTAGCTACCTGATCTAATCCTGAAAGAATACCTCAATGGAAGCAATTTTCACAATATTCATCCAGCCACCACCCCCAGCCAAAGCCAAAACCACAACCACAACTTGATCTCCAACAGTCAACCTGTACCAAGACATATAGGACTCAGGGTTCAAAACCCCTTTTGTAGGTGAGAATTGATGCCTGAATGCCTTATTTAACACCGCATTTTACACCGCTCTATAGAGTGTATGGTAAATTTATTAATACTACAGCTGCCAAAAATGAAGCTTCAAATTGATCTCATACAAATGGAGATATCTCCATTTTTTGGACGGTTTACATATGCCAAAAATAAAGATTTTCATCAGCATACAAATAGAGAAATCTCCATTTTTCGGGCGGTTTCGCAAGTCCAAATATGAAGCTTTTAATCTGTATAAAGGGGGTTTTGAACCCTGAGTCCTATATGTCTTCGTAGCCTCTGCCGCAACACCAGTCTACCACGCTTTCATTTGCCAAGAAAGGGAAGTCGCCGGCTTGACTTGCGATATCTTGACCGTGTTTGAGAGAGTTGGTTGGGTGCGGGAAACGTGCAAATGGGTCTATCTTTTTATCCTGTGTTATAATTATTATGGTCCAATTGCGTTGCATGGTATCGTAGAAGTCTGAGATTACCTTGAATCAATTACATTCCATTCTAGCAATTCTCTAGAATATATTGTCATCTGGGAAACTGGGCACGACTTACATAGTTACTTTTAAAGATAGGAAATCAACTTGGAAATACGTCAAGCGAGTTTCCCGTCGGCAGACTTCGTGGGAGGTTGAACTAGTATGTTGAGTTGACTCATTCGCCAACGGTAGAAGATCTCAATTTATCAATTCAGAAAGCGACATTGGAGTTTATCGTTACAAAGCTTATTCAATTGAGAACCTTCAAGGTGCAGCTAAATTAAAACCATGTACATAGAGAGGCTAAGATGACCCCTTGGTGTCTCTTTTCATTCTCAGCCGATTCATTGTATCCAACAAGGAAGATGCGTCCGAAAAAGAAGAAACATCCGAGACGGGAGGTACGGGAGATACTGGTGACTCCCCAACAAGCTCCATGACTTCGTATCTTCTTTTCTCGCTCAGAGAGTTCGCACTCTCCATGAGCCTTTCCTTGATTCTTGCTGGTGCGGCCTTGCAGTAGCGCTTGAGAGCGACAATAACAACCTTGAAGCCCGGAGAGTCGACATTTTCAAATTTGCAAATGCCACGGTGATCTGCGGCAATACCGCATCTGTCCGTTCCATCCAATATTGGTGCGGCACTTTCGCGATCCACGATATAGTCCGTCGTATATTTCATATCGGTGCGCAACTGCTCCCATAGGAACATGATGTGATACCGTGACATCAATGGAGAAAAGTCCTCGGCGAGGTTTTGAATTGTTTCGGAGTCATCCTCGATTCCAGTAACTAGACTTGTTTCGAAGCGAGCGACCCTTTTAGGAACAATGAAGGAAGCTAGCTTGTGGATGGTGCCGAGCTGGCGTGCTTTGCTGGAGCCATTGTGGGGAGTGCCAAAAAACAAAATGCCGTAAGTGCATGTATAAATCATGTGAAGTCGAGCACTCTTCGCTGACGTTCGACCTTGGGATAAAGTGAGGGCTCTTTTGACTATTATACCCCCTAAAGAATGACATACGAAAATGATGGGTCTCTCGGTGGCATCCTCAAACTAGACACCGTCAGCTGAAAAAATTCGTTGTCTCTCAGATCCAAGGCAGCCATGGTAGCACAGTTTGAAAAATAAAATCCAGCAACATATTTTCCTAACAGTGTACATCACTTCTTACCTCTCTGTCATTTTGAAGCTCCTCGATAAGCGTCCCTGCATGCTGTAGGATTCGGTCTGAGCTTGTTGCCTTACCGCCCAAAGAATTTGTGTTGGCCGTATATCCCCAGGACAGGACCCGGGCATTCTTGATGTAGTTGGGAATAAGGTCGCTAGGCCAGCACACTTTTGAAGCTTCGTGAGTCCATGTTCGCCGAGCGTCACCTTGCAGACCATGAACAGCGACGATACTATTCGAACCAAATGGTCAGCGAGTCTTACAATTTGTCTAGAGGCCAGCACATACTCAATATCTATAGGCTGTTCGCTAGGTCTAAATAGTTCAATAATGCCATTATGGAGGGAACCCGTTCGAGGCATGTTTAATGGTATAGAAAGTCAAAGATTTATATGATCGTCAGATATCACAATAAGACTTGGCAGAAAGACGGTTGGGGCTTGGTTATAAGATCTTCCCTCGAGGCAATCTCCGCTGTACTTTTGTCGATCGAGGGGTCTTTAGAACAAGTAACGTAACGATCGCCACAAAAGCCACAGTCTATAAATAGTTCCGTCCCGCATCTAACCAAAACACGGCGCATAATTCGGTATGCATTTGCTGAAACATACGTAGTCTCACCTAGCTGCATGGCGTGCTTGAGAAATCATAGAAGCTCAGCCGTGTCGGATTTTAGGCATCCGAGGTGCATACGGATAGAGTCTGCAAGTAAGTCCAATGATAAAGGAAAAGGGTTGATCCATGTTTAATGTATATTCACTTGAATTGACGAGCCGCCCGTCTAGCTTCAATCCTCAATCATAGGGTATTCTGCGCTTGCAGCGTGATGTATTGGCGCCGTGTGATGCGGCCCGCATTAACCCCGATGCGAGCACATCCGCATATCAGGATGCAGATTAGCTACGGTCGAGCCTATAAATCAGCTTCAGTCTGTTAATGCTAACCATCCTTGGCTTAGTATGGGCGACTAAGTGTGTCACCCCTGTCCCTAGTTTGTGTACTTATGTGCACTAGCGACTAGCATTAGAACTAGTTAGGGAGTCCGTTTAACCCGGGTTTTAGTTGGCCAAGACACCCCCTCTTCTCGATGGGCGACATGTTTATCACATATATACTTTTTCCTATATACTTGTCATAACCTTTGACTTTCAGTGCGTTTGTGAGATCCTGCCAATAATTTCCAAACACGGTGGTCTCAATGACCGTAGAAACAATTTTCCCGGTATCCACTGACGGGAAGTGGGACGATCTATGTGTCGAGTAAGCTTTCAAACGCCAGTGATCGCGAATGAACCTCGCTAATTGAGCAGTATCGTTGCCGTTCATGGGTTAGATGAAAATGGAAAGACGGCTTGGATTCATCCCGGCAATAGATGTTTTTGGTTGCGCGACCTGCTCCCTAACGAAGGGTTCAAGGCTCGTATCTTCACTGTAAATTACAAAGCCGATGCTACCTCGTTCTTCAGTAGCAGTTCGGCCGATCGGATATCGCATCATGCTCAAACTCTTGTGGAAGAGCTTAACGCCGAAAGAGAGCATGATGATTCCGTACAGCGACCGATAATTTTCCTGTGCCATGGTCTTGGTGGCTTGATTGTTAAGAAAGCCCTTATCTATGCCTCTACTTGCACTTCAGCGAAGATGACGCATCTGCATTCTGTTTTTACTTCTACCTTCGGCTTGATATTCTTTGGCACTCCTCATGAAGGTATAGAGAAGGCCAGGTGGTCTCTTCTAGCAAAGGGGTTGAAGGGTGTTCTCAAGGATCGAAACCATCTCATCGCATCTCTGGACAAGAGATCGGAAACTCTCCAGACCATCTCCCAGCAATTCTCTCCTCTTCTGAAGAATTTCTACGTTCACAACTTTTGGGAAGAACTTCAGACATCGCGGTCCATTGGCTCAGGACATATTGTCAGTTACTCTTCAGCGGCCCCGCCATGGGATGATACCGGGCGCTCTGGACTTCCTGCAACCCATTCACAGATGTGCAAATTTAGTGACTGTGAGCAGCCTGGCTACAAGTCTACATGTGGGATCCTCCACAGGTTTATTAAACTAGCGGGCCCATTGATAGCTTCGCGACACCAGGAATCCCATTCCTTTCTTGCTGCGCGAAGGGCACATGAAGCCACGGAGATTCTGGCATTCGACATACATCACGACAACAAACCTGTCAGTTTCCAATTCAAGCCCGCCGCAGACTCTCAAAATCAACATTATCTCGTTCCACTCGCCGTAAGCGACAATTACACAGGAAGAGAGAGGCTTGCGCAAGGACTCCAAGAAAAGCTACTGGCGCCTAATATACGCCAAAAGCGCTTTGTGTTGTACGGTATGGGGGGGTCAGGAAAGACTCAGTTCTGCTTGAAATTCGCTTCGGATAATCGAGACAAGTAGGATCGACTACCTCACCCCAAGCGGATCGCTTGGAATAATTATGTTGAAAATGCTAATATATTCCTCCTTAGTTTCTGGGGGGTCTTTTGGGTTGATGCAAGTAGCCCAAAGGCTGCTGAGCAGGCCTTTTCGGGCCTTGCCCGTATTGGAAAAGTGGAGGAAAAGTTGGAGTCTGGCCTTTACTGGTTGTCAACGCAGGACATGCCTTGGCTATTGGTCATTGACAATGCAGATGATGCAGACTTTGACTACGCCAGATACTTTCCTTTGGGTGCTAAGGGGCATATTTTAGTAACTTCCCGAAATCCTGACTGCAGAGTTCATGCAACTGTTGGGTTTGAGGAGTTTGCAAACCTCGAGGAGGAAGATTCGATAACTCTACTTCTGAGGTCCGCCATGGTGAGCGACCTTCATGATTCAAACGCAAGAGCCACCGCTCGTCCCATTGTGCAAGCCTTGGGTTGTCTACCACTCGCTTTGATATATGCAGGTGCCTCCATTCGCCAGAATATATGTTCATTGGAGGACTACCTGAATGTTTTCAATTCCTATAAGAAGAAGGTTTTCCTCAATGGGATCCACCAAGGCCAAGGGGCATATGCACACACGGTTTTCACAACATTCGAAGTCTCCTACAACAAAATACAAAGCCTCACAACAGATGAGGCGAAGGAGGCCATTGAGATACTCCACGTCATGGCATTTCTCCACTTTGATCAGATACCAGGCACGCTTTTTGAGAAGGCCTGGGAGGGATTTCATAACCATGGAAAACTTGATACTCTCAGCAGTCTCGCTGACGGGATCAAACAAATTCTGGGAGATTTGGTTACGCTGTCAAGCGGATATGGAGGTTGGTTTACGATGTTTGCCGAGGGACGGCTGCCTCGTATTTTCTCTCAGACTGAAAATGCCTGGGATAAACTCCGCTTCCGCAAGGCAATTCATCTACTTCGGTCGTATTCCTTGATTTTGCAGAATGTCAATCTCGGAAGCTATTCGATGCATCCAATGATTCAATGCTGGGCGCGAGAACGACTGCAAGGAAAGGCCCAAAAGATTTGGGGCAACATTGCATCTCGGGTATTGGCTCAGTCGATCACTTCAATATCAGAAGATTCAGAACTCGTATACCGACGGTGTCTAGTGCCACATATAGATTCTTGTTTGAGAATTGACTACTGTGATTCCCGCAAAGGTCTAGAGTTCGACGACTCAAATATGGATCGATTCGAGCGATTTGCCGCTGTTTACGCGGAAAGTGGTCGATGGAACGATGCTGCCGTCATACAAGAAAGAATTCTCCACACCCATGGCGATTTACTTGGAAGAGACAGCTTTGAGGCTCTAGATGCCATGACGGCGCTTGCCCGGAGCTACTGGAACTCAAGTCAAGCAGAGAAAGCCTTGAAGCTTCAAACTTCAGTTTTGGATCTCAGTAAGGGAAAACTGGGCCCCTTTGACCCAAGGACACTTCAGGCTATGGACAGCCTGAGTCGTACACTTTGGTTGTGTGGTTCTATCTCGAAAGCCGACACACTGGCACAACAATCATACGAGGGATTGGCGCAAATAATGGGGCCGGACCATCCCTACACGCTCAGTGCTATGCATAGCTTTGGTCGAACCCGTTTGCATCTATTGGACCTGAAGAAAGCACAGAAACTACTTCTGCGGGCATGGGAAGGGAGAGCGAAGATGCTTGGCGCGGCCCATCTGGACACCCTCGAGACAATGCAGGATCTTGGGATGACTTGTTTGGCACTAAAGGAGATTGAGGAGGCTGAAAAGCTAGTATCATTTGTTCTTGATTGTAGGAAACGACTCCTCGGTAATGAACATGCTCATACTCTATGGTCCATCAACGATCTAGCCAAGGTATATTGCGCCCAAGGCTATCCGGAGGATGCAATAGTGCTATTGATTCCGACGCGAGAAATAGCCACGCGAACCCTGGGAGTAACTCACATTGGCACAACAATGACAATTTTTAACTTGTCGCGAGCATATCTACTTTCAAACCAATTTCACAAAGCAGAGATTATTCTAACTGACCTTATTGAAACGGAGTCCAAGGCTTTAGGTCCAAAGCATCCAGACGTCTTCTCGGCGAAGATGGAACTCGCAGAGATTTTGATGAAAATGGGAAATGTACACAAATCAGAAGAGCAATCCCAAGAGGCAATTGAAGGGCTTTCCATACTATTTGGGCCTGAAAGCCCTCGCACAATTCGAGCCAAGGCGCGACAGGCTGCAATATGCAAATTGGGCGACGAGCTTCATCCTCCTATGATTTCCTCATGCAAAACTACGGAAGTCTAGCTCAGAGCAATATGAACATGTTGCCTTGCACTTTATATTTTCATGATTCAGGCTTGACATTAATAACATATTCACCTTCGGTATGATCAAGGTTGTCAGCGTTTTCCTCTTCGCATTTTGTATGACAGACCGCTGGGGTAGTCGCCCGCTTCTTCCCATCCGCTTCTCAATCAACGTTATCTGCCTTCCCTATCCCTCTGCCTACCTTGGTGTATCCAACCTGTACGGTGAAGGGGACCCCTCACCTACTGCGTGGGTCGCTATTGTGGCCATCTGTTTCTTTGTAGTCGGCTACTGATTTATATAGGCGCCTGCTTTCTCTTCAATGGCATCGGAGACATGCCCTACCCCAATTCGGGCAACAGTTATAAGCATTGCTTATGCCGATCAAAATTTGTTGAACTTCGGCATCACTATGAGTTTCCTCAATGTGACTAATAGCCATGCATGCCTTTGGTCCGTTTTGCTGCAGGATATTCAGGTGTAGAATAGTGATGCTCAGGGTATTTAGGTGCACAGGCTAAAAAGACTAAAGAGTAGGGCGGTAAGGGGAATGTCCCAATGATACAAAAAAAAATGAAAAAACATACAACAGTGAGGATTCGCTGGTGGTCACCCACCCAACTACTAACTCACCGGCGTGTGGCTTAAGTACGGCTGAGCGGACGGGAAGCCCTGTTTTCCACACCCTATGGTCGTATGTGATTGGTATAGCATAGACACAGTATATAGATCAGATTTTTCAGAAGAAAAAAGAAGTAGAAACAGATATGTAGCCAAGTAGCAGGCATCAACTCCCACCTACAAAAGGGGGTTTGAACCCTGAATCCTATAAGTCTGCGTAGACTGGACGACTAAATGACTGTCTGGCAATATAATCCAATGGAAGAGTTATGTCTAGGTGGCACACTTAGTCGCCAGTACTCAGTCTTCAAAGAATATCTCAATCGAAGCACCTTTCACAATATTCATCCATCCACCACCGCCAGCCAAAGCCAAAACCACAACTTGATCTCCAACAGTTAACCTGCGCACAAACTCCCCCTGATCATCTGCACTAACAGCCCTACGTCCAGCAAAGTCAAGATGCTCGCGATTACGTTCACTGTCCGCATACCAGGTACATTCGAACCGATGGGTTGTTTTCGAGCGGTGTTTGTTCCTCGCCCACTCTCGACGCAGGACAAGCTGGCCGTCCCGCAGGATAGCAAGTTCGAACCAGCTGTCACTCGTGAATGAGCCCTCCGGACGATCGGAAAACCAGCGGTCATCGCTCCATCCCTGATCGCGCCCTTCAATCACAACATGGACTCGTGGCACAGGGAGCTTGATAGTATCGGGGAGTGTCTCGCTGATCAAGTATTTGTCTTCACGCACAATCTTGGGGACGGCGTCAGAGTACCAGGCAGTATCTCCGTGGAGGCTCCAGGGGCACGAATTTAACTCTGCGCCGAGTATGATGGACCATGAAGTACGGCTTGAGCGAGTGGTTGGAGTGATGGTTACTGGGTTGGGCGTTATAGTTGACCTATTACTCGGCTGCACAATCGCGATACAACTATTACGGCTGGAGCACCAATCCACGGGCATACGGCCAAAGGTGTCTTTGATGGTCAGGTCGGCGTCTGCATGAACGAGGAGCTCGGCGATTTCCGGCATATCGCGCTCCGCCGCGTAGTGGAGTGCTGTCTTTCCGAGCTTGTCTTGGGAGTTGATGTTGGTTGAACTCTCAATTAACAGTTGTATTGTTCGAAGTAACTGTCTGTCGACGGCCTTTATAAGCAGAGTTTGGCCATGTATATCTGTCGGCTCGAGGAATGAATATTCCAATGTCGCTATTTTCGGCACTATCTCAGCCATAAGATCGGCAGAGCCGGTTTCGATGAACCGATGGAGAACGATGGGCTGGTCCTTTTTGCTAACCAAGTCCAGGATGCCATCTGCGTCTGTATCCGCCACGACTTTCACCATCGCCTCGCACACGGCCTTGAAAGTCTTGGAGCGGGAGGCATAGTCATGATCCGCATGGCTAAGTTTGGCTGTAGCATGCAAGAGTGGGATATTACCGTCCTTGTTCTTTGAGGTCAGGAGTTTGCGAAAGTCAGAATATGAGACATGGGCTGCAATGGACTGAAAGTGCACTGCCCTATCCCAGTCCAGGACAAGGTGAATGATGTTCTCACCCATATTGCCAGATATCAAGGGATCCGCATGTTCAAGTAAAACCTTGAGGATCTGTGCACCATCAGGTCCATCTGTTCTATGAGACGCAATATGAAGAGGCGTATGCCCGGTGCGTTGTTGGATGTTTGGGTTTGCACCGGCATTGATGAGGACTCTCACGGCGTTAAGGCTCTGCCAATGGGTGGCGACATGCAGAGGAGTATCCCTCCAGTCAAAATAGCCAGTCTGTGTTAGGAGACCTTTATCAATTTGTGCGAGTAGTTTGACAGATTCTGGCTGGTTTCTAAGCGCTGCATGGAATAGGGCGGTGCAGTTGGAATGATCTTGGTGGTATAGTAATTTGCGCCTCTGATCCGGAAACCGGCTCAGCGCATCAACCACCAGTTTAACAATTTCATACTGGGATCCATTGTCACCAAGGAGGGCTAGGTTGAGTATTGACTTTCCATCAGTGTCGTAGTGCTCGACGATAGCCTGGAGTGCTTCGTCTGAGAGCGATCGCAGAATCCGGTCAACCACTTTAGGCAACCCCTGCGAGGCGGATTCAAGAAACGGGGATCGGGGTCGAGCAGTCTTGTCCGTAGGGTCAGCCCCATGTTCGAGGAGGATCAAAGCGATCTCCTCCCGGCAAGTCTTACAGGCCAGCCATAGTGGTGTTTGCTCATCGTTATCTTTCGAATTGACGTCGGCTTTCCCAGTTCCAATCAACAACCTCACTACAGACATATGGCCCTGTTGGGCGGCCCAGGCGATTGGTGTCCGACCGTGATCGATGTCCTTTGAGTCAATATCCGACTCACTCTTTTTCAGGAGCTGGTCAACTACAGTGTCATGTCCAAGGTATGATGCCACCATCATAGTATTTGTGAACCTTTGGATCGCAGTGGATGGGTCGGCCATCATGTAGAGGCGGGACCAGATATTGAATCTTCGGGATGAAGTATTGCAAACTTGGAGCACCAGCTGCAATAACTCCTCTGTCGCTTGCTTTTGGGCTTCCCGGAAATGGGCCGTCCAGAAGGACGCAGCATATCCAAGAAACTCAAACCCTGAAAGTAATTCCCCGAGGCTGACCTCATCTGGCATCTGGTAGTCATCAAAATCCGAGAATGTGAGCGGAACAATACAACTTGTTGCGAGAATAAGCTCTGACTCCACGGGGTGGAGAGAATGTTTCCATCCATCGAGGACCTCGTGGCTCCCAACAAGAAACTCTTTTGCTGTCTGGTGGATCAAATAAATCCTTTGACCTAGGATAGTAACAAAAAGACCACACATGTCTCTTACTGTAGACTCAAATCTTTCCTCGTCATCAAGATCAGCTTTGAGATCATCGTATGACTTGTGCTGTAGTTCAACCGTGAGAGCAACATTCAACTCCTGCAGAGTGAGCGGCCTGCTGGATGCAACCACAATGGAAAGTAACTTCCGTGCTTGCGGTCGTTCCGCATCATCTATTCTGGAAAGAATTGCTTCATATGCCTTGTCGACTGTCGGTGGAAGAGATCTGACGATGTCTTTCAGCTTCCTACTGGTAGGGCGAATTGTTCTGTAAAGTATGTCGAACACAAGCGTTGCCCAGAGATATGTCCGATGCGTCATAGACAGAAGCTCAGTTTCAAGGGTGGCTTGCTCCGTAGCATTGAGTCTCAGTTCCAAGGCTAATCTCGACAACTTCCATTTGATCACTCTGTCTATCTCACGGCCAATGGCTTCTGATTCTTGTTCCCCAGCAAGTCGGATTGTTGGGAAATTATGCGTGAGATCTGCGAATCGTCGTTGTATGTCATAATAAGGACGGCTGGTGACAAGAAATTTGAGGCGTGAACCCCTCTCTTCAGAAATTGCTTGCTTGTAGAACGCGCTGAGTACGTCGATGATCTGGTACCGCCCGTTCTCTGCGCATTCATCGAGCCCGTCCAAGATGCAGATGATCTCTCCAGCCTTTGGGTCAGAGGCTGCCTTGAGAAGGATGTTCCAAAGCTTTTGGAAGAGCTGAAGCAGCTTGCTGCCCTCGGCTCTATAATCCTTCATCGCATGTTGAATAAGTGAGTTTCGCTGCGAGAAGAGTTGGTGCAGAAGGGCCGACAGTGCCGTAGTAACGCTGGTCTGGTCTTCATTGTCATCCTTGAAGAAGAAGTAACAAACGGCACGGGATTCGGTAGCTTCGAGTTCTATTTCCTGGTCAATCAGATACTTGGCCAGAACCGATTTGCCACATCCTGGGTCCGCGGAAACCCAAAGAAGAGTCGAAGAGTCGCTTTTATGCCAATGGTGGAAGTTCTCGTGCTGTAAAAACCACTCGCAAGTCTCGTCAAGTCTGTCGGGATTTCGGTCTTTGTACTGTTCGTAGTCTGAAGTTCGTAACATTTGTAGACACTCACGACTGTCCTTGGTTTCTAGAATGGATTTAGGTCCTTGCTATCTACCAGGCGACTAGAATGCGTACCAAAGCTCGGTGTCAGTTCCACATCTATAGCCTTGGTCATGAGCTCTTCGAGATCATCTTTCACCATCTCGTAGCCTTTGTCACTTCTTCCACTGAATTTAACCATTGTCATATGGTTTCCATCCAAGGTCCTTGCACGCTGACTCGGATGGTCAAGAGTCGAAGAGTCAGGTGGGACAATCTTGTGGTCTGTCAATATTCGAAGCTGTAAGGGGGGTAATCATCATACTCACAAGTTGATTGAGACCTCCCCATCGGATACCAGACATTCCTTTGGATTCCTGGAAAGTGCGGACAGCGAGAGCGGCTCTCCGCTGCTCCCATTGCACAGCAAAGGACTCGCGGCATAGTTCAAGCTCGGGTCCAGTCGGCAACAGTGCATGTACAACCTCAGAATTCACATCCATCCCTAGAAGAGAGCTTGCAACACGAGCAACCCCCTCCCCTAAGGATGCCCACTCCCTGCTACCCCGATGTGGCGTTCCAAAGAAGAAAATTCCGATGGTCGAGCTGTAGATTTTCCGTATCGCTTCATCGGGGTCATGTTCGGATCGTCTAAGAGCCTCCTTGACTAGGATTCCTCCAAGCGAATGGGCGACAAAAATCAAACGGCGAGCTGGCACTTTCCTCCTCTTCGCTTCCAGTACATACAAGAGATTCCTCGCATGAGAGAAGATGTTACCCTGGTTGACCGCATGGTACCCTTGCTGAACATTTGTGTTATAGCCAAAGGTCATTATCCTAGCCTGGGGAAGATCGTCCTTGAGCAGATCCCCCGGCCAGAATACGCCGGTTGTCGCCCCATTTTCCTCATCCTGCGTCGCTGAACTTCCCGCCTCCTCTTGTCGTTTGCGAGTATGACCTAATAGTCGACTTAATCCTCGAGATTTGCTCTTCTTTCCAACCTCCGACGATAAACTATCTGGTGGAGACGGGGAGTTTGGGTAAAAGGTCCAAGTCTTGCGGGGATGTCCTTGGAGGCCGTGCACGAAGATGACGCTGGCAAAATTGTGATTTATGTCAGTAAGTTAGGTAAGGTGCGGCACGATCCGAGGGAGAGATCCGAAACTCACTCTGCTGCCGCATCCTGCGGGTCACTCAACACGGTCAGCCCGACAGGACTTACAGTTGTACCCATTATCTTTTTCAAGAAAGAGACCGCGCAACGTCTAGAAAGAGAGATCCGGCGATAATATCGCAGTCGGACAGGGTCTGTTTATTCATCTAACAAGTTGCGAGGTGTTTGGGATTCGTGCGGGGATAGAGAGAGAGAGAGCTTACGTGGCTTAGTTTTTACAGAACAAAACCAGCGCGAAGCTTAGCGCCTGCTCGTATAGAAGTGGATATGGATCGACATCCAAAGAAGGTTCCGGCCGTCTAGAACAAGAAGTGGAATGAGGCATGATGGGACTAGTCTGACACAACTACGCTAGACCTTGGCTTATCTCAGCTCAAGAGATCTGGACCTACTACATCACGACAATGGCAGTTGGCGCCTATACCGCTGGGTAGATAGAAGCACAAAAAAATAAAAAACATACAACAGTGAGGATTCGCTGGTGGTCACCCACCCAACTACTAACTCACCGGCGTGTGGCTTAAGTACGGCTGAGCGGACGGGAAGCCCTGTTTTCCACACCCTATGGTCGTATGTACAGGACATACTACTGGATAGAATTATAGCCCTAAATAATGATGAAATATATGTTGGTCAAGCCAATTCCGAGAATGACAAAGACTAGCTGGTACAATCAATCAAAACAATCAAATCCCTTTCATATGTATCTCCATCTTTGATCTTAGTTGATTGGTCTCCTTTCTTGTAATCTTTGTCTAGCTTTTGATGTCGTCTAGACTTATAACAACTGATCCCATGCAGTTTGCGTTCCTGATATTGACTAGCTATGGATTACTTTCTCCACGAAGGTTCAATAATCGGGTATGACGAGTCTTTTCTCCATCAGTCCCTAGATAACGTGTTGACTTGAAACTTTTCAACTATTGTCAGCATCTTTATAGTTTCAACTTCGCAAATGAGCTTACCTCCAGTGGAGATTCCCTAGGGCCAGGCCCTTACGAAGATCAATGAACTCCAGGACTTGTCGGTCGATTTCTTCCCCCCAAATAGGCAAATCGGCTAGAATAGCATACCATCGTTTATAGCAATCATTAAGCCTCTCGCCAATTTTATCCACAGCATCTTGAGTAGATATACCTTGTTCCATAAGAACAATAATCAAATTGTGATCGGATCTTTCTTCCTAGACAGAAACTTAACACGTGAGAACGTATCCGGGGTATCACATGCTTACCAGGTCTTTTCTATAAGAAATAAGGTCGTTAACGCTGGAAAAAATAAATTAGTCTTCTATCACCACTTCTGCCTCTTAGGCCTTCCTTACAGATGTATCATTTTTATTGAGAGAAAGCTTAACTCTTGAAGGCATGGATGGTCTCTAACATGTGGCGGAAGATTAATGCCGAGAACAATTCTAGAAAATCAAGTTAGTATGCTTGACTGTACTCTATCTAGTGCTATTAACTCGAAGGAAACTTACTCGCATAGGGTGAAGGTTGCTGTTGCACCGATAGTCTTCCTTCGCATTTCCAAATAATGCTGTACATCGCGTGAATTTGGTCGCAAGTCATGTGTATCTTTGACTTGTTGAAGTTGCCCACGGAAGAATTCTCGGTGTGTCTCTCTTATCCGATGTTGCGCCGCTGCCATGTTACTCTAACTTTAGTAACTAATGCAATAAAATAGAGTTTAAATTAGTATACTTGGCTTAGCATACCTTGAGATGAGAGCTAAATTGTTCTATTAGCTTGCACTTGCTTATAGTAGTAGGAGATCAGGGTAGTACCTTTTTTATACGGTCCCATACTGTCTGAAACACGTATCCAAGGGGATCCTCGCAAGCTGAGACAGATGGCCGTGTTCCATTCATGATTGCCATGGTGCTTTCTATTTCCTCCTGAGCTGCAACTGGGTTATCCCTCAGGTCTCCCTCGTCAAACTCTATAAGTGATAGAATATTAGCTAAAGCTTGCCCATGTCTTCACATATCTTGTGATGGCTAAACCACTCACGATCATCAAAAAGAAATACCTAACATTATAGCATTAGTATAATCTATCCTAGCAGGAGTATGGAGAGTTTCATACCCAAACGTTATAGTCTACCAGTATTTGAAAGGCAGCTTCGTCGCAGTATGGTACGCATATCGCAGGCATATAAGCATAGTCAAGGTTGTAGATCTTTGCTCCGTATTCATCATCTTCCTGAAGAGCACTACTCATAATGTTAGCTTTACTCTTCTCCGTCTGAATTTTGTGCATACTTAACAATAAGGCATGTATATTTGGTTTTCGCTCCAACGTAGTGTGGGTTCACAGCTGGTTTGGTAGCCATAATAGAGCAAAACAAATCTGGCAAAGTAATGGAATGGTTTTCACCATCGATTGCACGGCTGCCTGTTTCCAGGCACATATGCGAGTTTGGATCAATTGGCGAAGGCTCATCTGGCGGTGTCCTCCCCAGTAATTCCTCAGTGACAGGCCCTTCATGTGCAATCATCTCGCAATTTCCAAAGGTTTCAAAGCTCTGGTGGAAGGAAAACTGATATTAGAGTCTCAGCCAATATCAGTCGTACCAGATATTGACTAGACTACGGAGGATACTCCCGTCCTTTTAAAGCCATTTTACAAAGCTGACGTGCTCATCTTCTTTAAAGTTCTCGTATCTCTTCTAGGCCCTGCTAAAGAAAAAACTTGTTGTAAAATTATATTCAAGTGTATGCAGCGTATCGTTTTGGGTATTTGGGGCGTAGAGGATTGCCCACGGGCCTTTTCTGTATATTTTTAGGTGAATAGAACGAGTGCTTTAAGACTAAAACGAAAAGATTTGAACAGACAGGATCTATAGACAGAGTAACACAAGGGGAATGATTGGATATAGCAGGTTTCAGGTTGCACACATGCATTCATATTACACAGTCGAACGCAATAATTGTGTCACAACTTAGCTCATGTTTCTCTGTCTTACACTGTGCCCTAAAAATGGTGCGAACACAAACCATTGTTGTTCCTTGACGCCACGATAGGGTGGAGGGAGACCATGGAGTAGAACAGTAGTAAACATTCTGGCTACGAAGGAGAGATGGAGAAGAAGAAAGTCTCTGCTCTTCAGTCTATGCAGCAGCGGGGTATTTATATCAATGCTAAAATTCGGGACTTATGAAGCCGCACAAAGACAAGGCCACGAAATGCAAGTTAAACTCCATTTTAGGATCGTTGTCACGCGAGGCAATTACGCAAGAGCTTTTTATGTCGACGGCTAAGAATAGTGTGAGTAGCCACTTCCTGGCCTGTTCAGAAATGCGCCGACAGATACTGATACTCTGAAGTGGCTTACCTCGATGCTTCAAATATCCGGACCAATGACATCAATGTGGTGAATTGCCAATTTTCGTCCTTAAGCCTGTGATCAAACACTCATCGCTACTCGAACCTGATTAATGACGCTATCAATGCGCGCGATGTGCTCCAATATCTTATAAAAGATGTACCAGTGAACCGGGAAGACATGATCAAGATTATCACCCTAGGGGGCAACGACCCTCCGTACATCCAAGATGATGAGCCAATATTATTAGTCTCGATACTTCTTACTAAACTGATAGTTGAGCATAGTTTGAAAGAACCAATATTCTTAAAGTGCGTTAAAATATTTCTCTGCTTCGAAGAATCATCTGCTTGCCGTGATTGAAGGTCTCAAACTGCTCTGGTTTTTTATGCTAATACTGACACTCTCGCCCACATATTGTGGAAGACATAAGCAGTGCAGGCACTGGAGTTCAACCTCGGAACGGCTCGCGCTGTGATGAACCAGCTTGAAGAAATTAGTAAGATGTCAATCGAGCCCGCAGCTGAATGAGACACTGAATCGCAGTACTTCGGCAATGGAACAGCAGAGTTCCCGTGGCTTCAATAAATAAACTACCGGGAGGACAGGATCGCGTTAGAGCCAGTATTGTGAATTCCAGGAAACACCGAAGGCTAGGTCCCATTCGCTGAAGAAAGAAAATTTCGTGGGGAAGGAATTGCGGTCCCTTCTCCCTCCCTCCCTTAAACGTTCGTAATGCTTAAATTTGTCTAAGCTCTTGAGATTCTACCACATTTACGACTTGACATATTACAACATCTATAGTGAAAGATTTTCGAGTAGTTGGGCAACCGACAAGTGCACTATGAACAAGAACACCCACGTTGTGAAAGTATGAATGTTTGGGGAGAGGAACTAGATAAATTATGTGCACTATCGCTCCAACTCCGCCATCTGACGAAGAAAAGCTCCATTCTTCTAGCTTGCAAGGGGTCGGCACTTGATCTCACCACCTAAGCTTCGGTTCAGAGAACCCTTTCGAATAATGTTATCAGGATCAAGAAATATCTGAACACCCAGTCATATTTAAGCGGAACGATGAACTTCGGTTAACTCCACCAATATCCTCTTACCATTGGTAAGTCCAACCGTTGCTAGTGTCACAGTAGACTCCTTTCTCTCCAATCCCGTTTGCCTATCCTTCAAGACAAAGCTTGAAATGTGGGCGACAGATCCACCTGCCCCAGGCGAGTCTTGTCCCTCACAGCTCGAAAGCAATTCCTCATTGCTAAGGACGGATAATACATTCTGAGCTCGGGTGGCGGCAACAGCTTGTATGTAATCATGGTAATTCATAGATGCGCCGTTGATGCTATTTATAAAAGTCAAAAGCTGCATATCTGGGGATTTTGGGGAAATCAAACATACCGAACTTTGAGGTTGGGACTAAAGCTCTCTTGAATTGCTTTCGAGGACAGCTCATCGTCGGACTGAAAGAATACCGTCTTCAACAACTGGTCGATCCATTCTCCCAGGGCACTGGCTTGGGTTGATGACATATTGAAGGTCGATTTCGGAATCTGCAAAGATTATCAGATAATAAACATGAATATTCACTATGCCTACGCACCAGGACACAATCGCTCAATGATAGGAAGCGATGGGATAATTATGTTGGATATATATAGTTCATCAAATGACGTCAATGTTCCGCAGCAATCCTAGTTCCGCTGCGGAAGACTAGCCTCATTCGAGTTCACGGATTCTGCTTTGATCAAATAGATTTAAGAAAAATGTGTAATTTTAATTCTCTTAATGCCAATACTTCAGTCCGCGAATGAATAGTCGCAAGGAATGACGCGGGTCCATGGAAGCGATAATGGGCGGAAGCAGGAGCGGAAGCCACAATAGGTGGAACTGCATTAGTGTTATGATGTATGATAGATATGAAGCACATAAACGACAAAAAAGACACCAGGAAGACTCCAACTTTCCATTATTTCTTGAGTCATCTTGTCGCTCAACTCCTTTCGATCTCAAATTCCCAATCATGGCTGCATGGAACACATTTGTTCCCACCATTCACCACACGACATATGCTTCGATTTCCGAGACAAATCCGCGTCTTCGATGCGATGGCCGAGTCATTTTCATCACGGGAGGAGGCCGCGGTGTTGGACGTGCAATTGCAAAGTCTTTCGCTATAGCCCAAGCTGAGGGACTTTTCATCATTGGGCGAAGTGAGCAAGATCTACAGGAGACGTTGAAGGAAATCGCAGCTTTGAACCAAGTTTCTGAGGGCAAGATCAAGTTAGCGTACCATAAAGCAGACATATTGGACCCAGAGGCCGTTTCCGCCGCGTACGCTGCGGCTATTGCTACCTTTGGTCGAATTGATGTTCTGGTACAAAATGCAGGATATCTAGATGACCACCTCTCCATCACCAAATCGAACCCGGACGACTATTGGCGATGTTTTGAGGTGAATGTGAAAGGAGGGTTGAATGTGATACGCGGCTTCCTTGAAACTGACCCGAAAGCTGGTGCTACAATCATCAACATTGGATCTGGCGCCGGCCATATCCCTTACATACCAGGGTATTCCGCATACTCGGCATCGAAACTTAGCCTTGCAAAGATTGTGGAATATGTCCAGCATGAAAATCCTCAGTTGCGTGTTTTCAATATCAATCCCGGTGCCATTGCCACCGATATGCAAGCGAAGGCTGGTGACTTGGCTGCTACTGACGAAATCGGTATGTACCTCCACTTCCATGTTCGCCACCACTCATTCTAATAGCAATCCTCATCAGGGCTGCCTGGATCATTTTGTGTGTGGTTGGTATCTACTGAAGACGCGGATTCTTTTAAGGGGAGATTCCTCTGGTCCAACTGGGACGTCGATGAGCTCGTAGAGCGTGCAGATGATATTCAGTCTCAAAACCTCTTGGTTCACGGGCTGAATGGACTTTGAAATATACTAGACAGTCCCTTCGATTTCGTGAAACTTGTACCAACCAATTTTGAAAGGGTACGTTGTCAATTTCTTGGATTGCTTCAAATCGAGCAAATTTATAATGCCACGCCACGATTTCACTCAATAGTAGGGCTTCCATGTTGTAGTCAAAGCTGCTATGATAATATGATAATGCTGAAACTATTAGTGAACAGTTTAGCTTTTCTGAAATTTGTTGTCTATATGTTACAGCTAATTATTCTTATCCTTTGATAAACTAGAGGACTAATCAAGGGAAGAAATATCTATGAAACCTTCTAGTATTGATAGATTACCCTAGTAAGAAGATAGTCTAAGGCCTCTATCTCAAAGACTGAATTATTAAAGGCTAGCTGGTTCCGAATCTTGGCCCACGTTGATTAATTCGTCACTCTTGGGACAACTTACCACTTCAGAAGCCATTGCATCTGTTTATTTTACTTTGTACTCCGTGTTTGAATCGGTAGCCTACACAGGTGGGAAAGAAAAGAAGCACGGTAACCCACCATGTTGATCGATGACTGACATTGTTCTTATTTCGAATGATACTTATCAACGCAGAGTCGAGTCTGCCCGAATCTGGTGAGATATAGCGATAGCTTCCATTGTATCACTGAAGCTCAACCTTGAAATTCGTCAAAGCACTGCAAAAGAAGGTCAAGCAGACTAAACATCAAATTGACTCTCCTTCTCTTTCTTAGCCTTCATCTCAGCTATTTCCCTTTCATCAAGATTGCAAATGATATCCAGCACATTGGTATGCCCATCTTTCTTGCTAGTGCCGAGATAGAAGGACACGGCCGTGAAGTATTGTTCCGGTGAAGAAACTCTGTATGACAGGGCATCATCCTTAATTACCTCAAGTACTGTCATATTACCGGAGCCACCAACGATGTCATTTTCCACATCTCCGCCGATGTGATATCGCGCCCACACAGCATCACCGTACCTCCGATCGCGAATGGCATCGATATATAAAGGAGCCCAAGGGTCATTTGCCGATCCGAAACGACCTTGTTGAATATCACGGATTGGATAATCCAGGAATAGCTGTTCCGTCAGTCGATCTTCTGGGACTGTTGGATCCATAATCTTATCATGTTAGCTCGTCTTCAGGGACTAGAAGGCGTGTATAGGTTGCTGTTACCTCTCTAGACCTGGCATAAGATATGCGACAAGATGGGAAATTCAGTATCTGAACGGTGCGAGTGAGAGGAAAAGTCGTGGAAGAGTCCGCTGCGAGGGGTCAACGCCCAACTTACCGCTTTTGTGTTTAGTTATCTCGTAGTTACTAGTCAACTCAGGCCACAATCCGCTACTAGGTAGGAAACCTACTAGTGCCGCGCGGTGAATTAGCTGACCACGAGAAAATCATCCGGCCATCCCGAAGGCTTTTTTTAGTGATCCACGGGTCGCACGTTTTTCTCAACCCCAGTGGCCTGGATAAGAGCTTTAGAGCTCGTTCACTAAGGTTCGCCAAGCATCTGCGATAGATGTTGAAACAACAGTGTTGATGTTTATCACCTAATCTCCCAATAGTCACATGATCACATCCATAGTACTAGACTCTTTGAGTCCATTCCTCTAGTTATCCTCTTCTCTTGCATAGCTTCATACAATATCATCATTGTGCTTTCATGATCTGTCTACTCTGGTAGAGTCGAACAAGCAGAACACGAGAGTGGCTACTTAGCCCAATCAAAGATCAAGGTTGTACGGGTGATAAACTGGAACCTAGCAACTAGCTGAACAGGTCATTTAGATAATGCTTCATTGATTGCTAAAAGTACGTAAAGTGGAAGATGAGGAACTCAGGCGGAATCTGCCACTCCAGACCGCCCAATTCAGAACTCGGGTCACCTGACACAATGTCAAGCCAGTAAAAGGATCCCGAGCGGAAAGCTTATTTGACTGTAACAAAATTTTCCATTGCTATTGCTGTCTACGGTAGATTTTTTTCAACTCTCTTAGTTGGCTGTGAGTTTCTCAAAATGCCAGCTCCTTACCCAAAAGCATGTATAAGCTGCGCAAAATCGAAGCGGCGATGTGACATGGCTTCCCCCCGCTGTTACCGTTGCAAAGTACGCTCACTGGAGTGTCAATACCAACATACGCCTATTACTCGAGAAACAAATACATCGGTTTCAGAACAAACCTCAGCCATTTCCACTGCATTCGAGGGGCGCTCCGTTAGTAATGCTCTCCGCGGTAATGGGGATGACGCGGCAGAGGGAACTGGTCTTGTCTTTGAAGATACTTTAATGGATATGTCACTTCCATCATTCCCTGACTACAATCTTGACTGGCAGGATATTATGGAAAACATTCAAGACTTTGCCGTTCCCGATCAATTAAGGGTGAACGACTCTCCCAGTAGAAGTGTATTGGCAGGGGAGATTTATCAAGCTCGAATCATCTACTCTGTCAAAAGAATGAAGTCTCTTCCAAGTTCCTTCGTGTCAGAAGGAAGAACATCTTTCATACACACAAGTCTGTATGAACCATATACCCCTCAGGCAATCCAAGATATTCTAGGTCTCTGTGCCCTGTATGACAGGAAGACAGAGGCGAACCAAGGCTTAGTCCATCGAATTATCACTCAACTGGCAGATCGCCTCATTGTAGATTTTGCGCATCTTTCTGCACTGGAGCAGCTTGCCTCGGTTCAAGCCATGACCCTGTTACAGATTATCAGGCTATTTGATGGAGATATCCGCCTACGGGGCGACGCAGAAAGAACAGAACCTCTTTTCGTCGAGTGGATACGCCAGCTCCAGCATCAAACACAACAACTTTTGGGAACTAGAGAGGACATGGCGTGTCAGATTTCTAGCGAAACAACAGGGTCGTGGCAAAATTGGCTATATGCTGAAAGTCTGAGACGAACTATCATTATGGGATATACGCTGCAGGGACTCTACTGCTTTCTCAAGAATGGATGGGACGATTCGCACCATGAGTTCGGGATTTTATCCTTTTTTGCGCAGAAGGCTCTTTGGGCTGCAAGTTCCGAGCCTCAGTGGAAATCATGCCTCAATAAGCACGACCCTCTCGCAGTTCGATTTAACACCTGGGATGAAGATATCTCAGCTGCCAAACCAACAGATATTGATGATCTTGGCATGACAATGATGGTTTTGGTGAAAGGTGTAGACTACTGCTCCAGTTGGGCTGGAGATGATAATGCTGAAAAGTTCGGGCTGGTTTCGTGAGTCGAGAATAGATTGAAATGGTGAAACTGTCCACTCTTTTCAGGGGTTCTGAGAATTTCCTGTAGCCGGCAGAGAGAAAACGACATTTCTGGGTATAAACTGGGATGATGATCATATCGATAATCTACAAGAGACATGGGAATAATTTCGAATTAGATATCCCTCTAACTCAAGACCAAAGAGACCAATTACATATTCCGCAGTTACCAATAGATGGAGCCCACTTCTAATCAAATGGAATGTATTATGCGAATAGTGCAAAACCAGGCTACCTCCATTGAACAAATTTAGATCAAAGTCCAGCCGCCGTCGGAAATCATGAAGACGCATAAAAAGACGGAATCAACCCAATAAACGAGTGATACCAGATAGCCATCGCAAAAAAGAAAAAGGCTGACGCGAAGGAAAAGACGTGAAAGTCGTAGTTCTCATAAACCCCACGCAAAACCCTGTCTGTGCCTATTGTACGACCCGAACGCAGACGCATGTCATCCTCATCCACGAACCTCAAACCCAAAGCCATCCCCATAATCATGAAAACAGAGTCATAGGCTCCTAAGAACTCGATACCCCCGCATCGGGGAATCGGTCTTTCAGCGAGACCATAAGAGCCGGCTTATCCCAAAGGAAAAAGACTTTCTGGTCTACCCAGTTGGTGCTCTCTGGACGTAGGGTTAGATCAAAGTGAAAGAGGAGTTTACAGAGGATGAGACAGATTTCGCAGTTTGCCAGACTGAGCGGGGAGAATGTGTTAGTATTAATGAAGGTGTGATATGGATAAAGGGGGGATGGTAAAGAACGCACTGTTTTCCAAGGCAGACGCGTGGACCAAGACTGAATGGCTGCAGGACATCTTTCTTATCATTCTCGAAGACCGGGTCAGATCCTAGCCAGCGCTCTGGCATGAACTTATCTGGGAAGGCAAAGTTGGATTCGGAATGGTAGGAGGCGTAGTGGTGAAATGCCACAGTTGTCTGGTTGCGATTAGTATATAGATTAAAATTGAGAAATATTCAATTGAAACGCATAACGTACATCCTCGGGGACAACATGGCCGTTCACGAGGGCTCCGCCTTGCGGTACAATGCGCGAGAGACTCGTCACAAAGGGCGGGTAGATACGCAGGGACTCCTCGATGACAGCATTCAGGTACTTTAGGTTTTCCACGGTGCGGAAGGTCATGTCACTGTCTTGTTTGAAAGCCGAGCGGATCTCGGCGACGAGTTGGTCCATGACGTTTGGGGTTGAGCACAGGTAGAAGAGACAGCCAGATAGTAGGGTCGCGGATGTCTCGCTACCTGCCACAATCAAACTATCATTTCCAGCATTAGCACGCTTTACCAATTCCTCAAAAAAGTAAAACATAAGAAAAAGGAAGGGGAAAACTTTTGAAAGCAATGAAGATCGCTCACATGAATCCATTAGAATGAATCTCTGCCCGAGACATGATGCGCTCGCTCTCGCGATACTGCCCCTTCTCCTCACTGAGTCCATGCTGGATAATGGCAGACATAAAGTCTGGACGGGACATATTCGACTCCAAGCGTCGGTCAACCTTCTGCGAAGCCAGATCAAAGTGTTCCTGTCCGACGCGCTTCATTTCCCCGGGGATGAAGAGGTCCAAGACACCCTTGAGCAAGGGGAACTCATTTGCAGCTCCAAGATAGGCAAGAGCCTTCATGGAGTTGAAGATCAGCTTGATCCATGGGTGAAGCTGGCTGTCCTTCAGGCAGTCGAAAGACTCGCCGAACATCAGGTCACTGGTGATATCAAAAGTGGTAAAGTTCATCCAACTTTTGATATCGACGATGGAGGTCCCATGCTGGATTTCAGATCGTAGTTTGGTGATCAAGGTATCAACATAGCCTGTGATAAGACCTTCTTGCTCTCTTAGAGCCTTTTCGGAGAAGGCATGGGCTAGTAGTCGTCTCTGCCTTGCATGGGTCGGATTATCGATCGCACAGAGCACATGATCAACCCCATTCACAGGGGCGATATAGTGGCTCCGATTTTTGGGAAAGCAACCGCCAGGTCTGGCGCCATAGATATCCCGATAGGCCTGTGCTGTGCTGAAGGCCAGCTCGTCGGGACTAATACGCAGGACGGGACCGTATCTCTTGTGCAGCGCCAGAATGTCCAGGTGGTTATAACCACGGAGGACAGAGAGATTGTACGGGATGCGAGATATCGCCCATAGCTTTGGACCGGGGAAGTGACGTAGGGGCGACCAGCAAAAGGCGTAGATGACGCTGTAGCTGACCCAGAGTAGGAACTGTCGATCGCATGATTAGCGTGAGTTTCTCTGCAAACTAGTCTGTCAGAGGGAAGGACTAGTTTGATTGCATTGCTCAAAGCTGCTGTGTTTCCCCGGGGAGATATCTTGGAGATGACTGGCTTGTAGGGTGTCCTGCATGAAACAAAGAGTTGGGAGCACGGGGTAATGTAACTTACCAGCCCTCCTGCAGCCGCACCCCAAAAGGCAGGGCCTGATGTTGACCCAGACATGAGATTTGAAGTAAAAGAGGTCCACAGGGCCATGCACGTCCCTAGAGCCATATTTAGTTCGGGGTCATTTTTTCTTTTCGGGAGATTTGAGTTCTGGTAAATGTTCCTTTTGAATTGATTGGACACTCAACCGAAATGAGAAACGAAGCTAGTGTTGCACCAGTTGAATTGTGGTTAGTGGCAGCAAGGAGAGGGGGATCATATCCGGGGGCCAAGGAGTACGGAGAGACATCATTACCGCATTATCGAATTCTGTATTTTTATCTCCGAAAATCCTCAAATCCTAGTCATATTACCAATTGAACTAGTACTGAGACGGCTTCCGACCGTAAACAACATGTAGCTTGCAGTACGTATGCACCGCGGGATTTTTGATATCTCTGCGCACCCCCGCCAAGAAAATCTGAGTATCATCATTCGACCATCCCAACACACGAGTGAAAAGAGCCAGTGAATAGGATTCAACCGCCATAAGAAGGGAACATTGGTTGTACCGACCAATTTCCTTTTGCACGGGATCCCTAGCCCAAACACTCGACGGAACCTAGGACATGGAAGTCAGTCAGGAAACAAGCAAACAAAAAGCAAGACCAGGGAAGAAGGGCAGGGTCGCACCTTGTACACCTCATCTCTCACATCTTCAAAACCAGCCTCAACCAGCCGCTGCCGGTGACCTTCGGCGATATTCATAGGTCGGTGAAACGCCTCACTAGCCTGAGTCAGTCGTTCAAGAAACTCGCACAAAGCCGGCGCAAGACGAATTGAATCATCGTCCGACTTGAGCATGACTTCAAACTCCTGCAACTCAATCCATCCACCGGGACGCAGATGCTCGTAGCTCTGGCGCATCAACCGCGGCCAGTCGGCGATCGCACCGCCGAGATCCCGGGCATGGATGAAGTCAAAGGGCTGACTTGGATTGTACAACCATTGCGATTCAGCGTCGTCCACTACGAAGCGGAGGTTTGGTGGGACCCATGATGGCTGGATGGGACTTAGATCGGTGCCTGTTACCTGGGCACTGGGGAAGCTGTCTGCGAAGTCGATAGCCCAGATTCCGGTGCCAGTGCCGATATCGAGAGCGCGCTGGATGTGGGTGTCCAGTGGGGCTCGGAAGAGTCGGCCGTTTAGCACGAGGTTCCGGACGTGATGGAGGAGATCTTGTCGATCTTGTTCTGGTTCGTCGTTGGGAAGGACGTAGTGGCCTTCGCGGTATGAGTGGTAACGTCTTCCATTTTCGTAAGCGTAGTTTTTCACGTCGGATAGCAATGAGGCTGTGTAGCTGGATGTGTTGTCTGATGGTCCATCACCGAAGACTGAGTCTGAATCGCCGGCTGTTGATGCTACAGATGATGTATCTGCATTATCGTCGTCATCTGGCGATAAAGGGTCATCATTGTTGTCTGGCGATAAAGAGTTCACAGATAGAGATGGCATTGAGGGAGTGCGGTCAAAACTATCGTGATCCACTTCGGGGACAGACATAATTACTGGGTGCATTGGAGCCGGTGGTAAGGAACGCGGTGTTGATAGATCCCTCGTTGAAGACGAGGATTCAATTTGAGTGGATGAGGCACTTGGCCCAGGTACCAATGGGTTTAGGTCCTCGCCATCACTATCCTCAGAGCTTTCCTCTGGAATTGGGGCCAATGCAGGCGATGGAAGAATACACTCTTTGCGTTGACTGATATCAGGCTCAAGCGCAGAGTCCAGCAATGGCAGTTCCGGTATACCCGGCAATCCAAACGCTCGAATTATCGGCCCTGGAATTGAAGAGTCGGGCGACAGTCGCCTAGTAAACTCCGAAGCATCTTCCATTGCCGACTCCATTTGATCAAAAGATCGTTTTAACGGGATACAAGGGACAGGCACTGACTCAGTCTCCGGAATTGGAATTTCCGTCATTTCCGTGGAATTTGGCACATAGTCAGACTCGGTCGACAAGATATGCGAAGGAGCAGGATTCCCTGTCGAGGCTAGGTATCTGTGAGAGGACAAGATATCGGTACCCAGGTCGGTTCTCGTGTTGCATCGCCGGTCGTCCAAGCACATGGGGTAAATACAAAGGAAGTCAATCATGTCGGGAAGAGGTAGCCCTAGGGAGCCAACCTATACAGCAAACAATATACGATCACAGTGAACAATGGACTACTTAGGAAGATAATAGAGAGGAAAAGACTAAATAAGGGCAAGTTGGTCTAAGCAAAAGACTTGACACCTGGAAGAGTCTTCCTTCCCCGGGGTATCACAAGAAATATCAAAAAGGAAATAGGGCCGGAGTATATGACCAATTCTAATATCTACCGCGGGAGTTTGCGACATACAATGGGGCTTTTTGCCAGCAGAAACCGAAGAATTTCATGAATTTTTGCTTCTGATAAACCAAAGGTATTTATACTAATACATCTTGCATCTCGCCGTAACGTGGTGCGCTACCACGGAGGAAGAATTTGACTAGCACCTTGAGATTCGTAAATTCAAGTGCAATCATCACAGAGCACGCACGCCCCCAACAATGAATATTGATGAAATCAGAGTCCGCGCGCTACCGAGCATGAAGGGGCCTGCAACACTCGTAGAGGACTTGAGAATAGGCTATAGTATACATTCATTCAGCACTCCGGCCATGCCTAGATGACTGTTAGATATCAATTGGCATCTTTAAGCTGGGGGATCATGCACACAACCCGGCGTTGATGTCTGTTTCGGCCATGGGGGATTCGTTTCCATGGTCTTTCCATTTGCTCAGCAGTACTAGATCTCATCTCGTTGATGTCTATGGGCGCATCGATGGATCTTTTGTAAATAGAAAGAGAAAACAGGGTATACGATATTGCCGTGGGCTTGAAAGAGCTGGCTTGGACATTTGAGTATACTCGCTTGGGTGGTCCTTCTGTCCAAGCCGGAATGCTTGCTGCTTTCCCCAAGATCGGTGAACTCATTCGAGGTAAGATGTTAAAATCACTTCATTGATAATGACTATATATAAGGCAGCCTGAATGATGAACTGAGAGACGAAGAGAAGATGGTTGATATCATATGGAAGATGACTATTTGTAGACGCCAAAGACAAACAAAGACCTCTTCAAGGCGGTAGAAAAGGCGGGAATATGATTTCCCCTTTGGGGAGATTATCTATGCAGGGAGCCGAACCCTACATACATGTAAATAATCCCGTTGATCTTTAAATCTTTTCTCCGTGTGTTTACCTCTACGGACATTCGTTGGGATGCCTTCTAGTTAAGTGCTCTATATATTGCCCACTCCTGGCCAAGTCGTGTTGCACAGACTACTAACCAGATTGGATCGGCGGGATTGATATCCTGTCGAGGGTCGGACAAGGTGAGAATGATGTATTCAGCTACCCGGTGACCCTTCCAAACACAGTTGTGCGATGTTTCATGTGGTTTAAGGGTTTACTATCATTGGAGTAAAGTATACGTGCAGGAAGACCTCACTGAGAGTTGAATTTGATTTCTGTAAGCCATATAGATCTGCATTGTAGTTGCAATTGCGGCTGGAGCATCGGGGTATTATCTCATTTGTCATCATTCATGCGCCCGGATCGCCTGGAGTCGAGGGGGTTCTGTCTCTATCAATTAGTCCCTACCCGAGCCTCGAGGAAACCGTGCACCCTTTCCTGGTCCAGATCCTTCTCCCTTTTCGGGCTTGACCTCGAGTCCGGCGTCGAGGACAGCGGCATGCAGAATCCGCCAGTGGGCCTCCTCGTTGAATTCGCGCAGGCTCTCCAGAGTGGTACGCTGCACCTCTGCCCGCAGGTCGATCTGGTTCGACACCAGCAATCCCTTCTCGAGGTCGATGCGAGCGTTCAGCACACCGTCCTGGATGAGGCCAACCAGCTCTTGCACAAACGGCGACGAAATATCCGTGGGGCGCGCTTCGCCGCCAACGACTGTAGGGGCAAAGATCTTCGCCATGGAGTCGAGTGTGACACGGCTGAAAGGAATCATGTACTGCTCGATTGATTTGGTGCGGATGCGTTTGTACAAGTGGGGGATGTGGCGCTGAAGGTGAATGTCGAGTAGGTAGTCAGGGCGATAGGCTTCGAGAATGTCAAGGCATTGGCGGAACTTGAAGTTGCAGAAGAAAGCGATGGCGCGGCGGATATGAGGCTCCAGTTCGAGGAAGTTGCGGAAAGTCTGGCTTTCAAGCACGTTTTTCTGCAGCTCGTCGCGGGTCATAGAGGCGAGAGCACAGAGACCACCGTAGACAGCGACATCGTTGGGGGTGATGACTTCATTGTAGTTGTCCCCCAGATCCGGCGGGATAGACAAGAAGGAGTTTGCTGCTTCGAGGTATGAGCCTTGGTGCATTTGTGACAGAGCTGAAGCGGCTGTGATTTTAGAGAGGTTTTTGGCTGCGTCATCTGGCTTTGACTGAGAGTTGCGCAGTCGGTGCACGTTTGACTGCACAGACAGCCAGTCGCCGCGTTCGGTAGCAACGTTGACCATCTTGAAGAGCATGGAAGTGATGTGGTTGGGAGTGGTGCAGTAGTCTCTCATGCGAGAGTAGGCTTTGGAGGCAGCAGGCAGGTCACCAGTCTCGTAATGATGGTTGCCCAAATCCTCATGACCCATCTATAGAGGTCAGTGTCACGCATCTCCAATCCCAATATTTTCACTCCTTACCCGAATGCTTTCTTTAATCAAATTGTTTTTATATCCCCGTAGCTCATGTTCCAATCGCTCAGTCTGAGTCTGTACGTATCGACTGGTTTCCTGGACCCAAGCGGCGTCAAGCGAAGCGTCAGGATCATTCGGGGCTACTTCCGCCAACGCGCGAACCGCCCTCTCGTATCTCGAAACGTCTTTGCTGCTTCTAGCTTCGGCGATGGCTGCCTTGAGGGCGTCGGTGGAGAGCAATGGGGAGCATGTGCCGATGAGGTAAAGACGGTCGTAGCGGGTGCGCCCTAGCTATGCATTAGAATAGGAAGTCTACCTGGAGACAAGAAAGATCTCTCACCAGTGTAGTTTGCAATATAGGTATCAAGATCGAACTTGGGGGGCTCTGCCAAAATCAAGCGTGTCAGCGTTATCTGGCACAGCAACATAATCGCGGAGATAGCCCCGCGCGGAGATCAACATACCTTCCACTTTCACTGGTACCCTTGTTCGGGGAGTAGCAACAGCTGTAGTAGCTTCCAGAGCTGCAGCATCCATATCTGCCCGAGACGGACCAGAGGCATCTGGAAGCGTGGTATTCATCTTGCCGGACTGTTCAGATGATGGGATGCGGGCAGAACTGAGACTGGCGAATTATCTTGCAGAACTGGAGCTTGATTGACAAAGCTAGTTTTGTGGAGTTTTCTGGAGGTGAAGACAGCAGCTAATTTAAACGCTAAGAACAATATGCTGTTTAGGGCAGAGTGTATGAAAGGTGGGTGACAGTCACTAGGTTGATCATTGTGATGGGTGATTGATTATCCGGCAGATCCCCACCGCCGAATACACCGCCATTCACAAGTCCTTCGATGAATACGATAGACAGAGAGGAAGATCTACATACAGAGAGATAGGGCAAATGGAATGTGGTTTTTTGGAGGTCACCTTAGGCGTTTTGTGTGAGAAATCTCCTCGCATAGCCCAAAAAAAACCAATAGGCCCAAGGACGACCTAGCAAACTGGAACTTCCCCTCGAATCACAACAGTATATGTCCATGGGACAGCTTGGCTGCTCCATATTGCTACTCGTTAAGTCTTTTGGTCATAAGGAAGCATGTAATGGAAGTATCGACCCATTGGAGACTTATGGGCTTGGATGTTGATCGCGGTGCCTGAGGCACCGAAGATCATCGGTCGAAGCCCGTGGACCTGGACTACCTCGGAACTTGAGTAATCAGGAAATTAAGCATCGAATCAATCTATTGGCCATATAAAGCGGCCCGGGACCCGAATATCTTGATTATAATTCTTGTTTTTGCCGACTGCATAAACAGATATATAATCGACGAATCTCGGCATTGAGTAATCACAAAGACCGAAGTATATATAACGAGCCTACTCGAAGACGTCAATCAACCCCCACTCAACTCTTAACAACATAACCAGACCACAAATCTCCCCAAAGCTCTCAAAATGTCCGAAACAAAGCAAGTCGCCCTAATCATAGGCGCATCACGCGGAATCGGACGCCAGATCGCCATAGACCTAGCAAAGAACGGCTACGCCGGTACAGCTACATCCTAACCCACATATACCGTCTAAACTAACCCAAAACACAGTAATGCTATCTGCAAAGACAACTTCCGACGCATCAACAGTGACACCATTCCCACCAGACCCGAACTCATCGCAGTCCACCATCAACACAGTAGAGCGCGAGATCCGCGAAGCGGGCGGCCACGCCGCAACGGTTGCCGTTGACGTGCGCGACGCAGCACAGATCCAGCATGCTGTCGAAGAGACGGTGCGCGTTTTCGGAAAGCTCGATGTACTTGTGTACAACTCCGGCGCGATCTGGTGGTCCTCGGTGGAGGATACGCCTCTTAAGCGGTTTAAGCTTATGCAGCAGGTGAACCCCGAGGGACTTTATGCGACTGTTCAAGCAGCTTTGCCTTTCTTTGAGAAGGGGGGCTGGAGAGGGCGCATTGTTGTTGTTTCGCCGCCTATTTATTCGAGGTTCTTTAGGGGGAAGACTGGTTATGCAATGGGTGAGTTTTGTTTGATCCGTGTCTGCTGGAGACTGGCGTCGACACGAATGCGTTTGACTATATGTGCTGATATGTGATGCGTTGTATGTAGGCAAGGTTGGAATGAGTGTCTTGGTTAAGGGTCTCGCCATGGACTTTGTGCGTCAAGGCCGAACTGAAATGGCGGTGACGAGTATCTGGCCCGCATCGGTATGTACCTTGGTCTAGATTTTATCCCGACCTAGAGTACATGAGGGGATTGCTGACTGCGTTACTTTCCAGTCGATTGAATCGGCAGCTACAGAACATAATAAGGGATCCGACAAATCTTACAAAAAGGATTTAAGAAAGCCGGTATGTTCATTTTTGGAGATGGTGTACTATCAAATTTTTTGTTCCTTTCAATACTGATACGCTGCGACAGACAATATTCTCAGATGCTGTTCTGGCTATGCTTCGTGCCCCGCACCAAATAGTGAACGGGCTCCTGGATACAGATGAGGACTTCCTCCGGGAGAAATGTGGAGTCTCCGACTTTTCCAAATACTCTGTAATCCCAGGATCGACACCGCGGCGGATTATGCCAGCCAAGTTCCCAGTTCTAGAGGTTGCAGAGCAAGATGATGAAGGACAGCGAATGGATAGCACGCAGGTGCGGGCAAAGATATAATTTTGGTGAGGATCAGAGGTCAATTGAACATCTCGCCCATTTAAACCCAGAAATTAGTTTGATATAGTACTCAGAAACTCGAGAATGTAAATAACTCATGTATGCATTAAATAGGGTTGAATAATGTTCTATAGAGATGTAAACTACCAATGTAGGCAAAGTAAAAACAAGAAACAACGAACAAGGGGCCAGCAATAGATACTCCGTAAACTCCCGAGCATGAAAAGAAAAGAAAAGAAAAGAAAAGAAAAACAAACGCTCAATGCTAATGCAGCCAGAAAATGCAAACCCAAGAAGAAACAAAAGACTAGCCAATATTAGTAAAGTCTCGAGCAAGAACAACCACAACTCCAAGTTTCATTATCCAAACCAACTGGACCCTTGAATCATACTCCCAAAGCGATTCAATTGAGACTTGACCCTTACACTCTACAAGAGAGTAGCAAAGCCAGCAACGAAGCCACCAACCAAAACGCAAAGTCCATAGACATGATTCATATCAACAGAAGCCATGCGCGGGGCAGCGCCAGTAGCTCCGTTTCCATTGACATTGGTATTGACAGGGGTCTCTGATGCAGTAGGGGTAGCGGCTTTGGCGGTCGTAGTGATATTAACACGCTTGGGATCCTGGGCTCCACATGGGTTGTTTACTCTGCAGTTATTCTGGCAAGTCGAGTCACCGTTGCATTTGGTAACGCATTGGTTGTTGGATTCTGTGCAGGTGTAGTAGGGAATTGTCTGGGAATATTCAGTGGCGTTGGGGGTGACACCGTTGCTGCATAGGCAGTAGTAGAGTAATGTGGACTGGGGAATTGGGGTTAGTTGAAATTCTGCTTTTCCTTGGGGAATGCATGCTATGGGAAGGACTTACGGCTGAGCAGGTGTTTGATGTTGGTGAGCCAGACGCTCCTGGTAGTTGTAGGCAAAGGAGGGGACATGCGGATGTTTGGGAGCTACACCATGCCTCTGAGGGAAGAAAGAGATGTTAATATAATGCTTTTACGTTTAGCGAGAGGATGAAGGATATAGACTGACCTCTTGTAGCATATGGAACTGATGTCGGGTCGAATTGACTGTTGACTAAAGTGGCAGCCGAGGCGAGGATGAAAATTGTCTTGGAAAGCATGGTGTCGGTTGAGATTGGTGGTAATTGAGAAGATCAGAAACTGGCAGCCTGCAGATACTAAAGTTTAGTGTTAGCTTTTTGTCTTCAAGAATGCCAGTGACAGTCTGACACACACTCTGGAGACCAACTATAGAGCCAGCGATAGCTACCTAGGGTAGATGGAATGAAGGGGGAAAGTGTAATGGAACTAGGAAATGCCGGAGAACCTACTGAACTTGAATTCCTAGACTCTTTCGAGAACAAGGCGAGGAATGGAGAGTGATGAAGTTGTTGATGATCTAAAGCCAATAGCAACAGGCTACTCGAAGATGTCAAGGTATAGGGGTGCAAGTACGAGGAGAAAAAAAAAGTAGACAGCAAGGGAGGAGTGGGGAGCTCATAAAGGGAAAAAAAGCAATCACAGGATTCAAACTGCCTATGTATAGAATGTACTAGTTGGTTTGCATGGTGGCACGCACTAGTGCCACCCTCGCGGTTCTACCGCATCGAATGCTTTTTTTATTTGTTATTTTTTTGCAAGGCCAAGGTATTCCCTGTCAAGTAAGTTCAGTAGTAAGACTTTTTTTTTTGGAAGTGAGGTGTTTATTGAGGGGTCCGCTATAGGGGTTTGCCCTTGAGATGTGTCGATCCGGGGATATTGATCTCGGATTGTAGGGACGTTTGTACTGCCCAGGTGGACAGCTCACTGTGTGTCACATCTGTCATCCGGGTCCCCGGTCCCCACTAGACATCGTGCTTTTTTTTATCAAAGATAGAGAAGTATGTCTCAGTCTGAGTTGTGAGAATTAAAGATTAGAGGACGGCGATCAGGCAACGCTTACCGTATTGGGATTAGGATGCTGCTTGGCTTTGGAGTAGTCGATTGATGAAATTCCGAGATTGAGATGAGTGACAAGTTCAAGCTAAAAAATAGACAAGTTTGAAATTCTCATCATATCTTTGGAAATATAATCAGAAGTACAATTAGAAATGTCAATAAAAATGACAATCGAAATGGAATTGGACGATTTCCCCGTTCCCTTAGCTAAGCCACTAATCCCGAACCAGCCATAGCCCGTGACCACCGTTGTCTCATATCTCGACTCCAATTGATTTTCTTTATTCTAATCCTCTACACTTTATACATTCTCACCTTGCCACCACATACATTTCCCAAGGTTAGTCTGTCTCACCTCGGATCGCTTGTACAACTCCGCCCAACTCCGACCCATCCTTGCATCAACCCCAATGTCCAAAATAGCCCGATTCCCTACGAGCACTTTATACTTGCCACCCCGCACAGGGAGGGGAAGACCGCCTCGGGCTATCCCAAATCGAGCTACATCCATCCCAAACGCAATGAACCTCACCAGCAAAGCTAACGCAAACCCGCCATAAAACAGGCCAGCACCTCCATCCCTCACAGCATCTAATGGATGGAGCCAGCACCTGAGGAGGCCGGATCGGCATCGAAGCCGCACCACCCCTCCTCCCCACACTCAGATATCCTAACCCCCGCACTCCGACCTGAGACCGATAGCACCAATGACGATCCCAATTCCACCCTTACAAACACCCACAACGGCCATGGCAGCTCCGCCTCCTCCACCTCGACAACATCACGCCCCACCTCCGCTGTAGTACCACCCTACTGGCGTCGACACGAGCGTAATACCTCGCACGCATCCCTGTCATCGCTTCATGGCGCGGCTCGCATCACCCTGGAAGATCACACCGCCGACCCGAACTCCGAGACGAGTCGTGGGCTTTGGGCGAGTAGTGTTGCTATCGATGATCATGTTGTTGTGCGGGGTATGACTGGGGTGGGGTCTTATGTTGTCTGGAATTGCCGGATTCAGACACTTGATGTGAGTTTTGGATAGTGCGAGAGGATGCGGTTGGAATTATTTTCTAATGGTTCCTCTGCTATAGGGTGGTCCGATTGTTATTCGGATGAGGTATGTTGCTTATCAGCCCCTGTTCGAGGGGATGTCTAGCTGATACGTGGATTTGTTATAGATACTCCGAGTTCGATGACCTGCGTCAGCGGTTGGTTGATTCTTTCCCGCATGCGAGGAGTGCATTGCCTGCATTGCCGCCGAAGAGCGTTATCTGTACGTTTCCGTACTTTTCCCCTTTTATATTGCCGATTGGCTAATAGCCATTATCACAGATAAATTCCGACCCAAGTTCCTGGAATCAAGGCGTGTGGGGTTGGAGTATTTCCTAAAGTCAGTATCTTATCTCATCACACCTCCATTGCCATGCATTCATTGTCTAGTACAATCACTCACACCCTCCTAGCTGTGTCCTTCTGAACCCGGAGTTCTCGGGCTCTCCTATCGTCAAAGACTTTCTCTTCGGTCGGATGTGTTAATTGGATCATATCGTCTTCACTGGGACATGGCTTGGCGTTGGGAATCGCATTTCACATTGTATTATACATCATGATTCACATATTGACCTGATACTGGCATTGAAACAACCTCGAGCATGGAGTCCTCATCCTCGGCACTGGGTATGTCTCTTTCGACTATTCCAATCTACCCAGTGAGAATTTGCTGTACAGAATTGAACAAATCTACAAAACCCGGTACCAAGTCAGCACCAGATACGAGGAAGGCTTAATACATGGAAAGGAGAAAATTACATGAATAATCTTAAGAAAGCTGAACAATGACGCTAGACCAAGGTACAAAGATCCCAGCAAGAACACCAGGCCAAGCAATTAGAACAGAACGCCTCGAGTATGATGTAGTGTCCATCGCTGACATAGCAACAAAAGGCAAGGAAGATGTTTAACCCGCACAGGGCGAATAGTATACAAGAAGTTCCTCTTCAAACCCCCTACCCTTATCCTGTCCAGCCGAACCCTCCTTCTTCCGAAGCGACATAACAACCTCACCACCAGCCTTCAACTTCCGAGTCAACACGAAAGCCTGAACATCCGCCCGGAATATCTTCCGCAGACTGATATTAGCCATATGGGTCATAGCAAGCACATGTCGCGGACTGGGTATGCCCGATGGGAAAACAAGATAAAGATCCGAGTCCTGGGTGGGATCGGGACGGAATTTGTCATGGTATGTCTTCTTTCCGCCAATTGGTAGACGGTGGAATGCATGGCCGTACAAGCCTCGTGTGAATTTCTTACAGGGCCACGGCATGCCGCTGACGTCTTCGCGAGTCAGTGATTGGAGGGGTTCGACGCCGAGACCGAGGTATGAGATGCCTGCGCGTCGGAGGAGAGCCATTGCCATGACGAGGAGAAGGTCGCTGATACCATTTACGCTGCCTGGGGCCGCGATGTAGGGGTCGACATGGTACCCGCCGGAACCAAGACGTCGAAGCGCGGCGAAACCGTTGACTGTTCCATCTGGTGTGCGGGTGTAGATGAATGTCATCAGAGCGGGGAGAGCGAAGGGGTCGTAGACGGTTATGAAGGCTTGGGGACTGGCAGAGGCGTTGCGCTCGGCGCGCCAGGCATCGTAGAGAGTAATTAGGCTGGATTGGAGTTCTTGATTTGTGCCGTGAACGGCGGGGGCGTAAACACCCATGGTGATGCCGCCTTTGCTTTTGTTCGTGAGTTGACGGCTTTTGGTCAAGATGCGTCTCCCACTGTTCTCGAGGATCACTTCGTTGGTCTGGGGGTTGAGTACGCGTTCTGTGGCGAAGCGGATGGTTGTCCAGTTGTTTGGATTGGCGTAGTGTTTGAGGAAGGACTCGCTGGCGCCCATAAATGCTATGCTCAAGTGATGTTGATGTCGGTAGGTCGCAAATTCAGTTAGGAGCTCGGGGATTTCGTCTTTGTTGCATAATGGGTCTCCGCCAATTACTGCTACCCCGTTGCGGACCTTAAATGACAATGCGGCTGTTCTTGATTTGTTCACGAAGAATCGGTAGCTGTGATCGAGGATTCCCATGTGTGCCACTCTGCCATGTTGTGCAGCTATCTGTTGGATGATTGTCATGGTTTTGAAGTCGTCGAGTTTAAATACCACATCCTGGTCTCGACCTATTTTCGCGTGCAAGGAATCAGTGCTTGGATGGAGGACGTGGGTGGTTGGCTCAAGGATATCAACCTTGGTTGGTACGTGTGAGAGGGTGACGAAAGGTTCATGACTATTCACACTCGTCGCCGGACTGGAATCGGTTGCAGTATGAAAGCTTGCGGAACTGGAACAGGAAGAGATCGCGGGACGTGCTACGATGTTATTGCGCAAGTGATCCATGAGGGAAATCGACGAGGCCCCACTATTATCGTCATCATCGTTGCGGTTGGATGTTTCGTAGAGTTGATCAACCAAGGCGTCTCCTATATCTTCCACAAACAATGTCTTTGTCGGCTTGGCTGCGACAGGACCTGGAGGGTTGTCTTTGCGTGCACGCCGTGATCGCTTCTTCTTCACTGTTGCGGTTACCTCGTGGGATTCGGTAGATGCGGTCATAGTGATGTGAGAGACGTGTTTGGTGTCGGAGACTTAGATTGACAATGTAAGAGCAGGATGGGTGAGAAACAATCGAAATCAAAACAAACTAAAAGTCGAGCGAACAAAAATTCGTCGGGGGGGGAAGTGAGAAACGTCGAGGACCAACGGACCAACAATGTGTATGACATCGCACTTTCCCGAGGACGCAGGTACACAAGTACATCCATGGATGTACCACTGCACACTTCTAAGGTTCATTAGGCAGAGACATTTCCATAGTTTGTTCCCTTGGAATTCAGTGTTACCAGACCCTCTACCCGGGGTATAGATGAAGTTCACCAATCATTGTCCAGCAATGGGGCGATCTACCGATATCAGCCTTGTGGGTCGGCAGTTTGTCCTATCACATTTGATAAAATGAGAACTTTCCATGGTTGAGAAAAGCTTGGATAAAGTGACGTGAGTTCTAAGAGTTGTTCCGTTAACTTGCCTCTTTTGTCTCCGCCTTCATAATATGAGGCACGTGGGTCTCAACATCTCGCCATCTTATCTTTGTTGACCATTCATGGCAAAGCCGCACACCATAAATGGCCAAATACGGCTAGCGGTCTAGCAACTATAAAAACATTGCAATTTAGCTAGGGGTGTTTGGTCTAAAGGTTAGTTACTGGATCTTCACAAATTCCCAGTAACGAAGTGAATATGACAGGGAAAACGAAAGAGATGGGGTATTCTTAAGTACAAGATTGCTGGATTAGTAGCGCTTCCAGTCCCTGCATCACATCGATTGGTGCTGTCACCGTCACCGTCACCGTCGCCATCCCCTCTATCCTAAACAGGCCCAGCAGCTCCAGAATTACCCTTACCATGTCCGTTCTCGTCGGCGTCTTTGCAAGGGAGAACATCCTCAGGGTCGTGGTCGTCGTTGTACTATGTGGGCTCACCGAGTCGCTCGAAGAACCACCTCGGTACTGCCCACGGTTGATCAGTCTCGCTTCCTCCAGTAGTTCCGTCGCCTGGACCAATATGATGTTGGTCAAATTGACCACCCGATCCGTCTGCTCGATGCAATGGCGCATGTCGTGGGCCTGGCGCTTTGTACGCACACCGATCACGTGATCCTAAATCGATTAGCATCCAAGTATCCAGAGGAGCAGGCCTTAATTACTGACAATGTGATCAATCCAGACTTGTGTAAGAGTGGGGTCTGGAGTCCCCGGCGCGTAAGGCGCATGCATATTGATAGTGCGGGAAACAATGCAGTCGCACTGGTGGTAGGTGGTTTCAGATGTTCCAGAGCTGCTTTTGTCATGATTCATGGCCCATGAATCATCATTTATACATACATATATATGGTCTCCGACTCGTATCAATGGTCTGCCACTAATAATATCAGGGGTCACTTAGCCGTTATATTCTAAAAGACCCCAGAAAAGACCTTAAAAAAGACTGATAGAAAGATAATAACGATGTGGTTTTTATAGTAGTCCTACACTTTATGTACGGCGCGTACGAGCAATTGAGATATTATAGGTGCTTTAGAGTAAGGCATATATCGACTTCATGAAACTATTCAAACTTGAGAAATAAATCTCATGCTTATAAGGGCTTGCACATTGGTTGGCGCGATGGCTTATATACTCCTGATTGGTAAAGCAGTATATACGCTAGACTCGAAACGACTAGCGTGTTAATGTTGCACGCTAATCCAATTTGGTAAACTGACATCCCGCATCAGTTTCGACAACATGTCTGCCCACTTTACGCTTGTCTGACATCCATTCTTTCGAACATTCACCTCTACTGTTTATATTCTTGTACATTACAATAAAACCAAAAATGATTATAAATCGCCCAGCTACCTTGTCCGATATCCCACAAGTTCGGGATATCAACCACTGGTACATTGTTAACAGCTGTTCCACTTTTGCGACTACCCCACCACCGATATCCTACTATGAGGACATCCTTCGGGATTTGATGAGGCGAAACCTACCATTTTACGTGGTGGTGTCTGACACACGGAAGACGCCGGACGGAGCAGATTTAATTCTTGGCTACGCGTACTTGTCACCTTTCCGTGGTCATTTGTTGTCCTATGCACCGACCGTTGAACTCTCCATTTTCATGCGCCAGGACCAACAGCAATATGGCTATGGAACCATTATTCTTAGAAAGCTCTTGCGTCTGGTGCAGGAGGGTGAAGTTGAGCACCGCTGCGAGGAGAGAGTGGGCGATATCCCACGGATCGGGTTTGGTAGCTCCATGGGTGTCATGAAGACTTCCCTCGTTCAGAATGTCATTGCGATCATACCCTATGACACTGAGTTTCCAACTGACGGGGAGAGACTACGGAAGTGGTACATGAAATGGGGATTTATCGAGAAGGGGCAATTGGAGAACGTCGGGAGAAAGATGAGTCGTTGGTGAGTCGTTTATTGTATGGTTGGACTGATGGATTTGTTTAGCTGATGGCTTGTTATAGGATTGATACTCTGTATCTTCAATGGACAATTCCAGAGGAAACGGAATAGTGAGTGACTTGGAGTCAGCGAACATTACTCAAATCAATGGACAAACAAAACATCTTGCACAGAGATGAGAATGAATCATATGCAAAGACGGGGATAGTCAACGTTCTCATATATCGCAAATGTATGGCGCATGGCCGATGTAGTTCCCCCATATATCAATTAGCTTCGTATCGACCTTCTGTGGCTTTAATCCGACTGTATCGATCATGATGGGTGGTGATCCAATATAAGCCACGATACGGCAGAAGGAGACCTGGGAGATGATAATGCCTTTCTGTGGAATGTAATAATGAGGTATCTAATGGTACCACTGGTATTCCTACAGGCTATTCTCTGTTTCCTACGGATATTTCTCGGAATCGACATTTCTACCCGCTCCACCGCCTCACTTTGAATACTACAAGAACTAGCTATAGAAAGATGAAGAATACCTGGGATCGTTCCTTCTCCATAGTAGCATCATTCATTACTACACCGTATCCATACAGCTGCTAGCAATGACAAATACCAGAAGCATAGCTGTACTGAAAGTCCAGTCTCATTGCTCTTAACACTCTTCAAATTCAGTTAACCTGGACGTGGCATAAAATATGGTTTCTTCATAGGTGGGGTGAAAGCCATATGGAGCTCGCTGGTCAATCATGTATCCACCACTGCGGCATTTCCCACGAGCATTCTCTGGGTCGTCTTCGTCGTTGTACTCCGTGAGCTCACTGGATTCGCTGGAGAAATCACGGTGGTGCTGGCCAAGGTTGACACAGCTAAGTGCTTAGGTGCTAAGGTTGGGTACTAAATCATAAAGAATATGCAGCAAAGGAGTGGATTGTTGACCAAAATGAAAGACGCTGAATATCTCTGTGCTCAAAACCGCTTTATCGCCGCAAGAATTCATTCGGTGGTCATCACTCTCCCCCGCTTCCTCGGATAACGTCCCCGGGATCGTACTCGTTATTGGATTCCGTAAGCACCTCGGGTTTGCCAGAAGGGCGATTACTGTCGTATTCTCCGCGGTTGATGGGTGGCACGTATTCCAGCATTTCCCTCTACTGGATCAAGAAAATATCAACGACCCTATCTACTTGTTCAATACAACGTCGCATGTCCTCCGTCTGACGCTCAATTTGCACACCAAGCATATGACACTAGCGGTATGTAGCTTCAGAAGTTCCTAGAAGTTGAAGTGAAGAGTTAATAAATGCAATGTCAGAGGTTGGTAAGTGAGAAGTGAGAGCATTGTAAATAAAAGGTGAGAACACAGCAAACACCCAAGGATTGACAACAAAAACAACTTACCCAACCCATTCTTAGAAGGAGGCTTGGTCACCCTGGTGGAGAGTGTCAAGGATATGGTCAACAATATCATCGAACTGGTCGCGTCGCATTGACCACAGCTTGATGAATTCCATGGATTCAATGTCTTCTTCCTCGTGTAGCAGCAAGTCAGTGATCATGAGGTAGGTTTCATCAGCTAGCTCAAGGTGAGGACGAATGGATCTGAGGAAGGTAGAAAACCCCTCTTCCACATTTAGCATCAGCCAGTTGCGCACGAGCTGGGACCATTTCAGCCAGCTCTCATAGTTGATGTGGTCCGGTGTGGGTCGAGGAAGATGGTGGCTAATTATAGCCAAGAGGTTGAGGTTTCCAAGGATGAGCTGGATATGGGTTATCCAGGATTGAAGGTCCGAGAGTTCGGATAGCCCGTCCACATTTGGGATGGCGATTTCTCTGAATGATGGCAGGTTATCTGCTTGGGTTCGCGGTGGGATGATACGTGAGCCATCTCGCTGATGGCTGGAGGAAGACATGATAGCGGAGAGATATCATGCAATTTGGATAAAATGATGATAGATATGAGAGGAAAGAAAGGGAAGATGAGAGAAATGGGAAAAGTTATTTAAGTGAGAAATTGTGGTCACGATAAATGCAACACATTAGAATGCGCTAGTGGCCTACTGCCTCCAAACTTCACTCAGCGGACTTTCCATCGCCAATAACTACTGTCTCCCTGGTTCCTTCCTCTCTAGCGCGCTGTACAGTCGCAGAGTACTTCTTTCCTGCAATGAGCCACCAAACAAGCTCAATGAACAAGAATCCGCCTACAACAACACATGTATAGTTCATGTTTGTTACTGCATGGTTGTTAGCACATATCTTCGGCAAAATACGAGGGAATTATGGAAAGTCGCGAACATACCGGTTACAGGCATCTGATACGGGAATGAGAAAAAGATAATGGCAAAGACCAGCCACGCCACAGAGACAATGTTCACGGTCATTCCGATCGTCTGACCCATAAAGAATGGGCCACGGTGCATGGTTCGACGGAATAGGATAACGTTTGTCAGAATGGGCACAATGTAGGCCAAATTGTTGATTGTCCTATATCCATGTCAGTATTGTACGCATGCTAACTGTTTTGCAGTATGTGGAAAACATACACCGCAGAACTCATCATTGCATTGAAAGCTGTGCTGGATCCCAAGTAGATGCATCCGAGAAGAGCGACAATCACGGTAACACAGAGCTGCGCATTGAATGGTGATCCCAGCTTAGGGTGGACACGGGCCCAGACCTTCGACAAAGGCAGGCCATCATCACGGGCAAAGGCCCAGAATACTCGTCCGGTACCTATCGAAGAGTCAGAATGGGTTGGTCTTGCAGGAATAAACAAGCACTACTCACTCAACTGCGAACCGATGACACAGGGTCCAAGAGCAATCCACACCATGAATACCAGCGCAAATGCTCCACCTCTTGTAGAGGTTGCTTGCCAAAAGAGTTCAGCAAGGGGAAGTCCAGTGTGTGTGGCAGCCAAAGTGCTGTAATCTTGAACTGAGTACATCAGACTGAGCAAATATGACAGTCCGGTCACGAATGCAATTGACATGGTGATAGCTATTGATATACAGTTAGCCAAGCTTTGACGCAAGCAATCCTATCACCGAACTAACCTAGACCCAGAGGGGCGTTTCTTCCGGGCTATAATAAACTGGTCAGTACAATACACAACATTTTGTGTCTCTGATCCGCCTCAACTTACATTGGGCATTTCTTCTGTGATGTGCTATGGTATGGTCAGCTGCTGCGTTCGCCTTGGCACCGTGGGAATGAGTATAACTTACCGAGATCCCATCCAGACCTCCAAGTGAGTACATTGGATTGACCAGTCCAGTGATGAAGCAGATAACATTGTTGTCCCAGCCGGTCTCGTTGATCCAAGTGCGGAACACAAACTTGCTGTCATTATGAACTGGCGCTTTGGCGGCCACGACAACCATGGTAACGAACCAAGCCAATTGCAGATAGACCACTACCACTCGTCAGTTATTGTACCACGCAGGAAAAAAGAGCCAACGTACATGAAAACTTGTTGATCGTGGGAATAAACCGATTTCCGAACATAACCACACCCGCAGTCACAATATTGAGGATTTGATATGCGACGAAAGTCATCCAGGGTTGAATGACCAGGCCATCATGGTAAAGCGCAATCAGTGCCATGGCCGTTGTGGCATAAATCAAATTGGTTGATGCAGTCGTGAAGATCCCTATGTTTCATCAGCTCCATGCCAAGACTTTTGATATTGGGGGCCAACCCACATCCGAACACAGTGCACCAGCCAGTGGCAAAGCTGAGCAAACTGTTATAACGTTTAGGAGCAATGGCAGCAATCCAATGATACATTCCTCCTTCTGTGGGGTATGCCGATACAAATTCTGCGAGGGAAGCGCCGACGAAACATTGAAGGATGAAAACGAGGATGAAGCCATATATCACTAGAGCCTTGTTATTAGCTGGCTTTCTTGCGATCGGCATGGAATGAAAACTCACGGGCGCCAGGGCCACCTGCATTAATCGCAGTCATTAAACCCAAGCCGAGACCTATGATCGTGTGAGTCGAGTACTGAGCCCTTGGAGGATCCCAACTGACCTGTCCATGAAATAGTACAGTTCGCCGCCAGTCCAATCAAACTCCAAAGCGAGAAATGACGCTCCAACTCCTGTTTATGTCCTGTGTCGCTAGTCAATACCATACCTCTCAACAGCACGGAATCAACAACCTACCCATCTGGGCCAACCGTAGCTCATCCTCATTCTGCACCTTGATAAACTCGGTCCCTTTCCTATTGTCATGGTCTCCGACCGACGAAGCAGAGGTAATTTCAGTACCACTCATGATTGACACAAAATCGTATATCGCTCACAACAGGAGGTGCGTTTCAAAAAGAAAAAAAGAAAAACGGGGTGCATGCAACTAATAAATCCTTCATGACCTAAGTACGATCATGCTACCTCGTGATAATGCAGCTCTTATCGCCAGCCGGGAAAACCGAAGGAATCACCGATTTCGCCGACGAGATAGCCGGGGGGTGCGGGAGACACGAACGTATCAGCGTGGTGAATTTCCGCCCCAGGCTCGTGGCGCCCCGGTTATCGCGAGTTTTGCCGGTGCAAAGTGTGGGGATGGCGGGAATCCGCTCTAATGTAGCTTTATGCACCAGCCCGTTGCAACCCCATTTGTGCTTGGCGAATTATAAGCTTGTGCCAAGAGCATGTGACCTCTTTTAAAACCGTCTGATTCATGTTTATGGAATATGCTCTGCTTGCCTCGGGAGAACTTTAGAAGTGCTCAGGGGGAAGGGGGCATAACAACATAACTGACAGATCTAGGACTACTGCGGTTTACCTTTGTATCACAAGAACAAGCTTAAGGCCATATGGTCCCACCGGTGGGCCTGACGATAATATATGATTACGCGCGTAATTTTCGACATTACTTTTCACGATAAGCGACGATATCAATTAAAATATCCACATTCGCATGACTATCTCATGTAGGTAAGCGCGCAATCTTCTCCCGACCTCGGGAGTCCCCAGCCGTACAGCGCCTGAAGTACATAAATCTGATTCCATGATACGTCCATGGTACATCAATGGTACGATTATGGTGTTGATCGTGTATCCATGGTACAGATGGAATTTAGCGATTGCAGACACTGTACAACTATAAGAGCGAATAATGTATATATTATTATGCGAATATGTGGAGAATAACATATTGAGAGAATATGTGAAAACTTAAGGTCTCCACAATAATGTATGGAGGCTCATTGGCGACCAAGATGCCGGGGAAAGCTATAAATTAGGTGTATTGGAAAGAAAACTACAGTGTCGACTAGAGACTGCGAATATGCATTTTCTTGGCACCACGGTTGTGATATCCGAGGTCTTGGCTATATGCCCCCGGCTTTCAGGTACCTCTCTCTCCTTTTGCCCGGATCCATATCAACCGAGAATTGTATGCCAAATCGGCCGCGAGACTGACAAATCCCAGAAAAGCAAAAATGGGAGACACGCAGGTTCGGCGAACGGTTGCCTTATAACGATGGGGAATACATATTCATAGGAAGTATACTCCGTATCTTCCTAGTTATTTCTGATTTCTCGGAAATAAAAGCGAACCTTCTCATGAATGCTGATTTACGATCTGCGACTAGTGAAAAAGATTGCCCCATAATTTTTCAATGCCCCTCCAAACAAAGATAAAAAGCCCCTCGAGGGTAAACTATTGAAGACGAGGCTCAGATTTGCAGATCTCTTCAACAATCGAATCCAAATTTCAAATATACGGGGCTGTTACATCATCGAGCTATTTGACTTTGTGATCTTTCGAAGGAATCCATTTCGGGAAACCTGAAGATCGACCGATCGATCAGATCGGGGGACCTGGAAATTGTAAGGTTGCCGATCATTTCCCAACTATTGGGACAGCCGGGCAGCTTACGCTTAAAAGATGGGATTCAGTTGCCCTCGTTTCATCAAAACCATGGGCGAGTGTTGGAAAAAAAGGAAAAGCCTCGTGGGTTCGCGATCTAATCATGAATGATCTCATTGCTTTTTCAAAGGACCTGAAAAGGCCTGAGCTCCTAACCGATCTCGATTCCGATCCCTCGCTTGAAATAGTCAGGTCAGGCCGCTATGGAACCACCGTGCATCCCAGATAATCGTCCTCACAAGAGACATTCCGCCATGTCTTCTACGCCCACTATTGTTGAGCCGCACGACTTTGGCGCGCAATTCATGACTTCAGCCCAGAGTTCGTCACGCTCGCATTCTCCAGGGCAAGTGCCTTTATCGCCGGTGTTTGGTCAGCCGGCTATTGGAAGACCACCTATGGGACAGCAACAGCGATCAACACCTAGGTTCAAAACTAATGGTGTCTCTGAGGGCATTTATAATGGCGAAGAGTCTGTTCGCAAACCCTCCATCGATCAGGTGTCAGTCACAGATTCAGTTGGGACCCTAGATTTGGGCTATCGCCCTATAGACCAGTCACCGCCACACCACGAAAACCACCCTTCAACCTCAGCGGGCCGTCAAAACTTTGACGAGCGATCTCTCAGCGCCCTTTCGCTGGACCAACAGTCTATCGGGACCCAATCGCTAGGTCACCATTCTATAGGCGGGCCACCGCGTAGCTATCTTTCGTAAGGCCAAAGACTCCCAATCGTCCAGTTCCTGGCTAATCATGCAGATCACCAACTTCATCCACCCGTGATGCCCACTCGTCAGCGTCGAATAGGTCGATACGACGTAACTTCGTTATCAACGAACTCCCGGTCCTTCAACAGAAGAATCCTAACGAGGGCTCCGAGCAATTCAACCCTATCATTGAAGAAAATGAGGAATCATCTTTTGATCTGGTCGCTCCATACGAGGGCGAAGTAGCCCCACTGCATACCCTGGAGCAACAAGCGGACCTCATGTTCTGCTCCAACCATATGCTAGCGATTCTGAGCAATCCGCGCTACCTCGCGCGTTTCCGCGAGTTCCTCGCCCAGGAACGTCCCGGTTCACTTTCGACCCTGACTTATTATCTGAATGCTTCTAAGTCTCTCAAAGCAATTGAGTATGCTAATGCGCTCGTACGTCTAGCTGTTGATGTTCCTACCTCCGGTATTGAAACAGCAGAGCATCCCGTTGGCCCGACTGTAAATTTGGCCCTTGAACAGCGCGTGCAGGCAGCGCTGGACGCTTTGACTGCTGAGGAATTACCTGCTTTCATTACATCTACCTGTATCAACATTACTGGCAAGGTAGTGGAGGAGCGCGTACGCGGAACGTTGCCCGATAAGTTCCAGGGAACAGCAGATGCACTGGCTGAGGTATTCTGTCTGACCGACCCATCGCGGCCAGATAATCCTATTATCTTCGCTTCTGGGGGTATGTCTATAGCTCTTTACACCGTTGATACGAAATTGGCTAACGTATCATCCAGAATTCCACCGCACCACACAATATGGCATAGACTACGTCCTCGGACGAAACTGTCGGTTCTTACAAGGACCGAAGACGAACCCCAACAGTGTTCGACGAATTCGCGAAGCGCTCAAAGCTGGACGACCTCACTCCGAGCTTTTCCTGAACTAGTAAGTACCTCCAACTCAATTCAATCTGCAGAACTAATCCGGAAAACAGCCGCCGTGATGGCTCACCATTCATGAACCTCCTCCAAATGGCTCCACTATGCGACAGCCGTGGTAACATCCGCTACTTCATCGGCGCTCAGGTTGACGTCTCCGGTCTCGCAATGGAAGGCGCACAAATGGAATCTCTCCAAGACATCCAAGCGCAGAAAGAAAACCCAGGGACGGGCGGCCAAATAATCAAAGAATCAAAAAGCGAGTTCCAAGAACTTAGCGAGCTCCTCAGTCCACGCGAGCTACAGAATGTGCGCGAGCACGGCGGAACTCTCTTCCAACCGGTAGTCAACGAAGATCCCAACCACCGTCTATTCCTCCAAGACTCCGACACCGAGAGCGAGATCCACACCCCATCCCAATTCCCACAAAACCCCACACCAGGCCCGGCTCCCAGTCTATCCTTGACTGGTGTCTACAAAAACGTATGTCCTTCATTTCCCCATCCCCAGATATGTATATAAAGACTAACGAAACTTATCCCAGTACCTCCTCGTCCGCCCGTACCCATCCCTCCGAATCCTCTTCACATCACCCTCCCTCCAAATCCCAGGTATGCTCCAATCGTCATTCCTAAACCGCATCGGCGAGACAGGCCCGAAACGCGATAATATTGTCAACGCCATGATGGCCGGGCGAAGCGTGACAGCTCGTATCAGGTGGATGACCAAGTCCAATGGCCAAGGCCGTAATCGGTGGATTCACTGTACGCCCTTGTTGGCTAATAATGGTCAGATTGGGGTGTGGATGGTTGTTGTGATTGATGAGGAGGAGGAATATTCGGTTAGATGGTAGGGGAATTGCCGACTAATTAGATGGTATTGTTAAGTCTGGGATTTTGTATATATTATATTGTGATTTGCATAGAACTGGCCCTCGAGGATATTTATTTGAATTCCACCTGCACTTGGGTCGACTAGGAATAGATTGATGTTGGTTGGAAAGGTAGCTAGGTCCCGCGAAATCTACCCTGAGTGTGGAGGATTGTGATGAAACCATAAGCGATATGCGGGGGTCTTATCACCAATGTGATATATGTCACGGCGGCTAACCTCTGAAATCAGAAAGGATTATTGGAGGTCACTTGAACAATCTTGTTGTATCTGAGATCCTATACCGGTGCCTTTTCGAGATCGAATTATTCGAAAAATAGTCCGCTTTGAAGAACAGGCCCCCATGTGCACGGGACCATGAGTGTCTCAGGAACCATGCCCTATGCAGCTCACAAGATGCTCTGCCACACGAAATACCCGGGCCTCGTTCGTACCTTCGAACTCTCGGTACTCAAATATATCATCAAAGTAGGAACGAAGAGGTTGAGAAATGGCACTTCTCAAACGGTCGTTCGAACGGGCGCTAAGCGGGACGGAGCGCAGCGACAGCTCACTTCTAAAGGAATCAGGGAGTCCCTCAGGGGCACGACTGCTGAATCGCAATGAAGTTCCCTCGTGGTATGCCCATAACCCGTACATTCGGACAGGGTATAGGCCAGTGGTACCGTCGACTTCTCGGTGCATTAGCAGCCTGCTGTATCTTCACAGCGAGACTGTGAATGTTTACTCCCATCTCATTCCGGCGACCATAGCTTTGCTGGGCAACGGGCTTCTCTGTGTTTATTTTTCTACGTCTTTTCCGGGCGCTACATGGACCGATCAGCTTGTTTTTCACATTTACTTGACAACTTCGGCCATTTGTTTTGGTATTTCGTCTGCATACCACACCTTTCTTTGTCATTCTGCCCATTTCACTGATCTATGGGGTCGCTTGGACTACGTTGCTATCGTATTCCAAATCCTTGGTTCGTTCATTTCGGGGATATATATTGGTTTCTACTGTGAACCACATTTACAAAAGCTTTATTGGTCAATGGTTTGTTGGCATTTCTCAAACCCTCTGTTAGCATTGAACTAACTTTGTGTACAGATTGGCTCTCTGGGCTTCCTGACCGGATTTGTAGTGGTGCATCCCAAACTGCAGAGCCAAAAGTGGAGACTATTACGATCATCATCATTTGTGGCGACGGGACTTTCGGCATTCGCTCCTATTATCCACGCTGCTAGTATCTTCCCTTATGGACAGCTCGATCAACAAGCCGGACTACGATATTACTATCTTGAAGGACTAGTCATTGTCATCGGGGTATTGTTTTACGCGGTACGTTAAGTTCCCATGAGCTCACAGGTTGCAGACGCATTTCCCAGAGTCTTGGAAACCCGGGACTTTTGACATTTGGGGATCATCTCATCAGATATTCCACATCTCAGTGGTGGTGGGTGCGACTGTTCATTTGTATGGAATTTTGGTTGCTTTCCAGTGGAATTATGAGAATCAGCGATGTAAGATTGGTTGAGATGTGATATCTGTTAGGTTACACCTACAGCCTTCCAAGAAATCCTTGGACTTGACACTCGGCTCTATCTCTAGACATGTATGCATTTCGTATCAACTTAAGGCCTTGTTTGAGTGCCAGCCGCATAGTCGTGATCTTCCTGTAAGGGGACTACCACCCCCTCGTAAAACCGCTCTTGAAAGTCCGTGTCCTCAAGATTATAAGTAAACGTATCAAAATGACAGCGAATACATCTCAATACTGCTTTCGCGTAACTATCGGTAACCTATATAGTGGCCAGGGCAAGGTTGAGGACGAGCGAGTGTTTACGCCAGCGCTAGCTAGCTGGATATGAGAAAGTGATGGGGCCAGACACACATCAACCGTTGCAACCGTCAATAATCTCGGAAACCTGTATTGTGCCCAAGGCAAGATGGATGAGGCGGAGCAAATGTTTAGGCGATCGGGAGCCAGGTTATAGAATAGTATTTCTGTTGTGTAGTATTTGACAGTGTTTTTTTTTCACGATATTACTTAATCTGTATACTGTAGTGGGGGACCATCCATGGATCTCCTCAGTACGCACTGGCCTTGCCTATACTCTCTTTACTTTTACAGTTTTCTTATATACGCGTTGATGGAAAGAGGTGAAAAGTAGCAGATAGACACAGATTGAGAATACACACTCCTATACCTCTCTGGATTCGCTTCTTGGGCGAACGTCCTGGTTCTCTTTATATGCCCCGGTGGGTATGACGCTGACTTACGAGTGCTGAATCGACCCGTATGCCAGATAGTATACTGCCTAGAGCGTTCCCCTCTTCAAGATGGCGGTTCTATGTATCAAGGAGTGCTCGCTGAGGCCTTGTAAAAACCAAAGAAGGGAAAGTGTCAAGACGACGTGAGACTTGTTTGACTTCTACGACCTTGCGACATGCCATGGGTGATCTCAGGTGTAGTATTGCGGTTCTTGTAGTAAGCACTACTTGAAAGTCCGCAGCTTTCAAAAGAGGTTACTACGAGATAACAAGCCCCTATGAACTTGGAGACCGCCGATTCACGTGCATTTTTCATCACCCCAGCATCTCCCAGAACTTCACTCAAGATTACGGTACAAAGGCCAAGGGATTTATCTCCCAATTTTAATTGCCTGGCTGCGACAAACATAACCAAGGCCATTATCGGCGCATCGTTCGCCTTTACTCCTTTTGTGCGGTCTCTTTCTGCTAGTTTCGTGATTTCCACCGGTATTGGCGCACGGAAGAACTTCACGCCTTCTGGGTCTCCCAATTTAATAATTATTTGGTGATCTTGGATGAGATCCGAGAGTGCCGCGTGTTTAGTCAATGCCATTCCGTGGTCATCAAGTGCGACGGTGATGAGTCGTGGACACCCGGAGCATTTGACATTTGGGGATCATCTGACCAGATATTCCATATCTCAGTGTTAATTGGTGCGACTGTTCATTTGTATGGGTTTTTGGTTGCTTTTCAGTGGAATCATGAGAATCAGCGATGCAAGACTGGCTGAGATGTGATATGTCAGGTAGCTCAACATCTGCAACCAAGGAGACACCTTGGCGGCACTCGGCCCGCGTATCCCAAATTTGGAAGAGATCAGCTATATTATACCCGTGAACATCCATAATATCTCCATAATATCTCCCTGACATAAGTACGGCATAAGTACACCGTTGAAACTAAAGCCGGATGCACCCGACCGCTGTCATTTCCACTTGCCACGTTTTTTTCTCTTTTAGCGCAAACCCCAAAATGGCCGAAAGAATTGCTGTTGTTAGTTATAAGACTACAATTTATCTTCGCATATCTAACACTGTTAGGATGTCGATTTCTATACTCTCACCCAAGACTGGGAACCTCAAGACTTTCAGTCGTGAGTCGAATTGATTTCCATGCCGTTTTGCCTTTTAACCGTCTCAGGGAAACAACATCTATTGCATCGTCAATTGCGAAGGGCCGATTGGAAAATGGCAGAAGGTGAGTCTAGTAACCGAACAGTGAAGACATGCGCCCTCCCTAATAGTATGATCAGATACCAGTCTATGAAGGAAGATGATTATTGGTCGGTCGCGATACTACACTACGGAGGACTAGGCTAATCATGTACAGGAGTCCTTCCGATGACCAGCAATTCGAGGCTTTTGAGATTGGGTAGATACTCTTTTCTTCTCGTCTTTCCATCTGGCTCAAGCAACAACTAATGGGTGATATTCAGTCACATGGTGTTTCTCGTATTGGACAATGGTCGAGAAAACCCTCTCCACCATGCTCCCCTCGGCAAATCTCCCAAGGTGAGAAAGGAGAAAGCGATCTTGAATTTGGATATTTACCTTTCGCTAACAGGAAACTCCAGCATATTCTAGACATTGGAACTGGGAAAGGAACATGGGCTATGTAAGTTCCCACCCATCATCCTCAATCGAACCCTGCTTACATTCACTCAGTGATATGGCAGATAGGTATTCATCTGGTACACCCTCCCTTTCTTTCCCTTCCTCCTATTGTGTCAGTCTAACGGATTTCAGCAACTGTCCGTGGCGTCGACATCTTCCCCCTCCAGTGACATGGATGCCACCCAACTGCCTACTCGAAGTGGACGATATCCTCCGTGACTGGACCTGGAGAGAACCATTCGACTTTATCCACATGCGTCTAATGCTAGGAGCATTCACACCAGATGGGTGGGATCAATTGTACAAGCAGTGCTACGAGTGAGTCGAGGCTCCCTTCCTCATCTCCAATCTTTCTGTTCAACAACAGTATCTAACAACCACGGTATCCAGCGCTCTTACTCCAGGCGGCTGGATCGAGCAGATCGAACTAGACGTACGAGTGTATAGCGACGACGACACCCTGAAAGAAAACGGCACTCTAGCTACATGGGGGGATAATTTCATCGGCTGCTCCGAGCGAGCCGGCCGTTCCCTCCTAACGCAGGAGACAATGCGAGGCGCAATAGAGAAGGCCGGTTTTGTCGATGTGCACGAAAAGCTATATAAAATTCCCTTAGGGCCGTGGCCGAAAGATAAGGTTCTCAAGGAGGCTGGTCAGCTTCAATACGCTCATTGGCTTGCTGCGTTGGAGGGGTGGGCTATGTGGCTGCTAACTAAGTATGGTGCGCCCACTCCTTGGACACCGGAGGAGGTCCAGGTGTATCTTTCGAAGGTTCGAGCTGAGTTGAGGAATCCTCGTACACATGCTTATGAACTTGGGTGAGTTTCTTATATGAGTATCGTGAGGGTTATCTTTCGCTGATTGTGTTTAGTCGCCGAGTCTGGGCTAGGAAACCTACGGTCGAGGAACAAATGGCCAATTTGGTAATTAAGTCTGAGTCTCCCCAGGTGAGCCTTACACCAGCCATGATATCTTGAATCAGACTGCGTTTTATTTCTGCGTTTACGGGTCTAGCTTGTGCGATAGCGAGTGTTTATTTTTATGATTCATTGTACTAGTCTCTTTCGAGTCCTGTTAGGTATCTTCGCCTCGGGTTATGACATTATTTTGCACGTTTATAGTAACAGAATGCATAACTATCTTGATTTATGAACCAATTTGTTAAAATTTCACCCCGGATGTTTTCTTCACGATCATCTGGACAGCTTCCTCAAACTCAGCTTCTACAACCAAGTCATCCAACCCGGATTGTTCGACCTACAATCTGAATTAGCTAATACTATAACAACGTAAAAGATATACTTACCAGCTTCAATCCCTTTTCACTATTAGTACCCTGCAACCGAACCACAACGGGACATTTAAAACCACCCATCTCCGTAGCAGCACCAACTATCGCCTCGGCAATCATATCACATCGCACAATCCCTATCATCGATTAGTTATTCAATTCCCACACTGTTTACACGTATACTCACCTCCATAAATATTAATCAAAATCCCTTTAATCCTCTTATCCTTCAACAAAATCCCAAAAGCCCTTGACAAAGCCTCCTTCGTCGCCCCACCCCCAACATCCAGAAAATTCGCACATTTCCCTCCATACAAACTAACAAGATCATTAGTCGCCATCGCCAACCCAGCCCCGTTAACAATATTCCCAATATTCCCGTCAAGTCGCACATAAGAAAGCCCCAATTCCGCCAGCTGATACTCCTCCTCTTCTTCCGGTGATCGTTCCTCCAACGCAAATATCTCCTTCTGCCTATATCTTGCTGAATTATCAACCCCTAATTTAGCATCCAGACAGATAAACTCGCCATCTTCCGTGCGAACCAGTGGATTCAATTCAACAAGCGTCGCGTCTTTTTCTTTGAATAGCTGGACCATCTGCACAAGGATCCGGTGTATATCCTTCATCTCGGTATCCGAGAATCCCAACTCGGCTTGGACATACGCATGGATCTCGTCGGTTATGCCTGTTGAGAGTCCGAACCAAAGTTTGTGGAGATTGTCGACGTTCGATTCGATGTTTGTTCCACCCGATGAGGAAATGAGTAGGACCGGTGAGGTACGCTGCCGATCGAATGTCATTGCCAGATAGTATTCCTGTGCGATGGATATGGCTTTGTAGATGTAGAGCTTGTCGACGCGAAGTCCGTCTTCTGGGGTTTGTGCTGTTGTCAAGTAGGAGCCGAGCATGTTGGTGGCACTTTTGAAGGCATCGTCTGGTCTGATGTTGTTAGATTTGGGTTTCGGTTGCTTTAGTTTTGGTGGGAACTCACGAGTTGACCATTCGGACGCCGCTTTTGCCATCACTGTTGAATTTGCCTTTTCCGCGTCCGCCTGCGAGGACTTGAGCTTTTATCATTGATGGTGCATCTGATGGGATTTTAGTTTTGGGTAGATGAGCGATTTTGGAGATTGTGTGGACTTACTGATCTTGGAGACGACATTCTTGGCTTGCTCTGGAGTTGTAACTAGGACTCCTGGTGGAACTGGTAGTTTGAACTGGGTTATATTAGCACCGAGTGGTTGCCTTGCAGGAAGGGGTATCTTACTTCTTTGAGTAGGTTGTATGAATGGTGTTCGAGCAGACTTAACTGTCGTACTTGGGCTCTGAGGGGCGCATGGTTCTGTATGATGGTTAATATGTCGTTCCTGATTGCTGCTAGGAGATTTTACAAACATTTTGGAAGGTACGGACGATCGAACGCCAGGTAATCATGGTGGGTTATGTATTTTGAATGCTAGGATATCAACCCCGGAGAGGTTCTGGGGCTAGATATATGTTGGATTGATGACATCAATATATCGATTTTGGTTAACTAGTTCCTTTCCGAAAGTTTATTTACGAGCCTGACCTAATGACTTCTTTGATTTTGTTCTTGAAACACAATATCATATCCTTAATTGCAATAAGTTAAATGGGATTATATGGCCAAATCATCAAGTTCTTGCCAGTCTGGCTCAAGGTCGAGGGCAACCACGAGGATGAGGGGCGGGAGGTGCGGCACTGGAGAATGGGATAAATGTAACCACAGATATTAAGAAGTTGAGAATTATAATAAAAAGATTTTATCTTTTGTAAGCAAAATTTCAAGTTCTTTTGCCATGTAAACGACCTGTGAATTACTATATTGAGTTAGTTTCGCTGTCTTGGGTTGAAGCTCGTTTGTTGTTGGGTTGAAGCTCTTCAGGGCGAAGGGAGGCGAGGCACGCGCAAAGAAGTCCGTGATAGGAATAGAACATAATATGGCGTTGCAAGAGCATCACCGAGGTTGAAACATGAATTAGGAACCAATTTGTAGCAATTTTAGATAATCCAGCCAAATAATATCATGTTTGATGCCCACTTCACCCGCGCGGATTAGTCTCCCCCTTACTGCAAGCTGTCTGAAATTGGCAACAAGTGAATACTAGAATGAACTACCTGCGCAGATACTGTTACAGCTACTAGCAAAAAGGAGGAAGAGAAAGAAGAACCATTGTCGTTCAATCTAGCAAAAAAGCAGGGTATTTATACCCGAGTCTGACAAACAATCTGCTCAGTCTGGAAGCAAAACAAGCATGGAATGGTCCAAGGTCCAACAGATACGCACTAACACGTTACTAGATTCCCTTTGACTTCTCTAGCCAGATCGTGGACTCGATACCCGTGGAGCCCAACGGGCGCCTCATCTCGTCGCCAGGGCCATCGGACTTGACAGCGATGACAAGATCAGAGAATCCAATTCCCCTCTCTTGCATACGCTTGATGTCTCGTTCAGTCTCGGCAGCACGCACAACTACCGTCGAACGGGTATGCCCCTGGGGCACACCAATGTCGATTATATGCGAGGTTTTCCCGGCGGCAGGTTCGACGTTGGAGCCTAGGATCTTGGAATAGACGCGGACATATTCGGTTTGCAGGTGCTTGGGCACGAGGATATCACAGGCCGCTATTCCAACGGCACCGCAAGGATGCGTCGTTTTCTTCTCGTCCAGACTTGGGACCCTGTCTGTTCGCGGAGTGATATCGTGGCAGAAGAATGGGACGTCAATTCTGCCGTCGGCGAAAAGCTCTTGACCGGGCGTTTTTTCACCTTTGGAGAATTCTGGCCGTGTGACCTTCCACTTGATCTCCAAGCCGTCAGCTTTTTTGCGTGATCCTGCAATCGGCGTACCGAGTTTGACACCAAGACCGGCATCCTTCTCGGGCCCCGAGGACAATCGTTCATTGACCGTCCCAACCGATTCCTCGGCGGAGTGGGTTGTATCGGTGATTGCAAAGTCAATCAGTCCTGGGGTCTTTCGCCCCCAGAATCTCATCGGCAAGTTCTCATCGTCCAGAGACGGTGGTGTGTCGTACCAGTTGAAGAACTCCAGGTAGCTGCCGTCAGCGAAGATGACTAATTTGTTGCGAGATGGTTGGCCATCGTGGGAACCTCCAGGGGTGACGGTGAAGTTGTCGGTGACCCAGGCGGGTAGGTTTTCAAAGAAGGGGGTATCGACAAGAAGAACGATATGATCTTGTTGTGTAGAAGTCATGATAGAGGCTTTTGATTGTGATTTATTGTGGAGTGTAATGACTTTATGCGACAATCTGATCAAGTTTGGGGAAATGGAGGTCTCGAGAAGCCCATTAAATAGGACACAAATGGACAATATCTAGTCGATACTCTTAACAAATATTTTCACCTAGTTAGAGATGTCTCATCAGTGGCTGGATAGCTAAGACGCGGAAGGACTTTGGGGAACATGCCCAGGAACTTTGGGCTCGCAGCGAGTCATTCTCTCAGATCATCGGCACATGATTTGGCCCGAGCACGAATGGCCGCAAAGATCCCCGAATATGCAGCTTCCAAAAATTACATAATTCATTTTGGCCCCAAATCACTTTATCATATAATATATTATATATATAATATTTTGTCTCTCCGACGGTGCGAAGGATGCACTGTTCGTGCCGAATTTACCAGCCGACAAGAGACAATAGAACTTGGCTTTGGCACGCTTGACAAGATGTTCGCAATATACTCTAAGCCTTGGTGGAACGATATACCTCATAGCTCTGTCATCAAGAACGGACTCATTCAAACGGAGACTCATGATGAGGTTGATTTGCCTCATTCATTTTGGGCTTCATTTCAGAATTGAGCGAAATCTCTGTCGATCGCAACGGCTCTGTGTCTCCCGATGTGTATCGACTGCCAATCGTTAACCTTCTGGTCTTAGGGGTACGAGAAAGCATCCCGTACGTGGCCTAAATTCTGTCGGATAAAATCTGTAGTATTCGGACCTGTGAATAACATGGGTAGGGCGAATCAGAAAGCAAGAATAGTGACCATACATATCTTGAGATATAGACAGACTTGAAAGAAAATGGAACATTGATGTTAGATTGTCAATCCCAAAGTAGAAACGCGAAAACACCGAGAATGGGAAATGGCGCGAAACAATAAACAAACTTCGCCCAAATGGAGATATGGAAATTCCCAAACAAAAGACTGTATATCTTAAGCACGAAATGTAAAAAATAGTTAAATAAAGGTCTCCTTTCCGAAAATACAGTCTCCGCCAACAAAGACAAAAGAATGAGTATAAAAACCCAAAGACCCAAGAAGAGGGTGGTACCATCTAAGAGCCACCCGCTCATGTAGCCAGGACCACGTTCTGCCGACATGCTGATAACCCGGAAAGAAAAATTGGCTAGGGCTATAAAGACCTGATTGGATATTTTGGGGTGCGAGACCCAATCATTGTCGGGGTCGTTCAGGTCCATGGGGTTTCGGTTTGGGTCAGAAAAGAGTCCGGGTACGGTTTGGTTGTCAGAGAGAAGTGATTCATCATCTTGTGTAGGAGTCGTCTCTGGCGTGGGAGTCGTCTTGTCTTGTGCGGGAGTCGTCTCTGGTGCAATAATCGTCTCTGGTGCAAGGATCGTCTCTGGTGCAAGGATCGTCTCTGGTGCAAGGATCGTCTCTGGTGCAAGGATTGTCTCTGGTGCGGGGGTCGTCTCTGGTGCGAAATGCTCATATTCTACGCGAGTATTAGGCCTCCTAGTTGATCCTAGATAATGATCACCATATTTCACTCACCTTCCTGGAAGTACTCAACTATTGTGATGAGCGGTGGAGCTAGTAATACCACAGAAGCAATTTGACCATACGACCAATCATTGAAACCAGTCAACGAACCCTCGAGGCCCATCTTTTCCGGTCGATATATGGTCAATATCAATCGAAAAATACCAAAGACGAAGGCCATAATCAACCAGAGAACCTAAAGGGTAAGTTAGAAAACATAGCACGTAGTCAACAAACTTCCCGTGTATGAAAGCTGACCTCTTTAGCAGTAGAATCCAACACATCCACGAGCACCCAGCACGTGGTGTAGACAGATAAGAGAGGAATGTAGAAAAGCATCAATCTCAAACCCCGTGGGGGCCTAGATGCTTGGCTCTTGTCGTGCGTAATGCTCCAGTCATAGACAATGCGTAGCACCCTTCGTATATGTCTTGAAAGGAAAGTTCTGGCTTGCTCAACACCAACTGAAAGTGTATCGTAGACGCTAATCACCCTCAAAATAAATCCAAGGATTAACAAGATCATTGAGTAATTCATGGACAAAAATGCCGAGTTCATCCCCGGACGAGGGCGCATATAGCAGATTGCAGAGTCACTAAAACTCGGGCGATCGTTATTATCTGCGTCAAAGGCCCAGTGATAGTTCCCGGTAAAACTAATCCCGACGAGTAATATTATCACCAATGCACCCACTGCTAGTAACCTTAATATCCGCTCGGTAGGGTGGTTGCGGAGATAGTCACGCAGAAGCGTTAAGCAAGATAACTGAGTCAGGCAGGAAATCCAGGCTAGCTGAACGATGACTTGCCAATGGTAGGTTGACAGCCCGCATTTAAGCTTGAGAATCCCGCTAATTAGGATACTGAAACCTATCCCTATTTGCATATCGCTGAATGCTCTGATACACTATTTTTTTTTTCGAGGTTATTCTTAGCCATTTCTGATTCACTAATCGGATCTGATGAAAATTGACCCACTTTGAGTAAGGAGCTTGAGAGTTTTTTGCTGCCATTTGTGACGAAACGTGCCTGCCAGAAGGTTGCTTTGATCTGTGCTAAGGTGTTTACGTCTATCGGGTTAGGTCGAAACGGAGTTGGAGTTTGATCATCTTTTCGACACGGTTCGCGGGTTGGATCATGGACGGTGATGTAGTGGACGCAAATGAGGACTACGGCGAAGCCGGCAGTCACGATATTGTTGATAATAATCTAAGTATGTGAGACGCGCCCGTGGACGAAAGACAGATCTATGGGGAAATGCATACTCCAATCCCAGTGATATCGCTGTTTGGAGAAAATGCGGGGGCGGGAGCTGAGCAGTTAAAGCTACAAGAAGACATAGCGTGGCCGGGCGTGACAGAGTAGCGTCTAATTGCTTTCCCGTAGATCCATCAGTGTCTCTCTATTGTAGATTGTTGTTAGGTTGAATTTATCGCGGCATGGGGCTTTTCTAGGTATCCTTGCTTACCCACGTGATGATGAGCCTGAGTACTCCGTATAGGTATAGCTTCTATGAGGCATGTTTTCCTTTCCAACTAACATCAGTATACTAGTCTACGTACTCCTAGTCGATCCAAGTGCAATCATTTCCCAAACCAGTGTTTTGGACTGTGCCGTTTGCCCGGCTGGCCAATGGTAAATACCTCATGAGGCCGGAATTTGGAATAATTTTAGGCAACCCTAATTTTGCTTTTCCAATAATGCCCAAGGCGCATTGGCTTACGGGGTCTGAGGAATAATGCGCACAATTGGCCACATTGGGGCCATGGCACTGCACTGCCATCGCATAATCTTTAAGAGCCTCAATGATATGCACAAAAATGCCCAAAGAGTGCAGGTAAAAGATCCCGCTAAGGTCCGTGCGTCTAGAATTCTTTTTCTTACAAGACGGTCTGATGCAGCGTGGCGGCGCCAATGGGGATATGCTTCTTACGCAGGGTAAGGAGAAGTGATTGGATAAATCGACTATGTTCTTTCGAACATTTTTCTTTGTTAGGCTCGCGATTGCTCTATTGATCTAAAAATAACCGAGGATGTTGATCAACCCGGGTGGCTGTAAGCTCGAGTATTAAGCCTCATGGATTCTGTACGAATCTAGCAGCTTAGACTCGACCCAGCAACAAGTGTAGCGAAAAGGTATCAAGGTGGCCTATGGGTGAGCTAGTCAGTTCATATTCACTCTCAATGAATCATCTGATCAAAGCAGCCGCTGCCAGATAGTCCGCCAAAATCACCGCCAAGTACTCTATATCTTTTGAACCTTTGTACGTGTTTCACGGGCACTCCTCCGTGTAAGTATATTGCCTCAAACTGACAAGTTAGCCCCCGCTTCCGTTGTCTGAGCCCAGTCCATCTATCGCCTGGGCAAGCTCTTCACTTGCCCGAAGCGATGGGGCGCATCTTATCCTGAGGTCCATGATATGGGACATGCATCCCAGAGCCTCACACTACATCATTGCACAGCAATAATACCCGATAGAATATAGGCCTGAGTCACCGGAGCATGCACGTGGGCTATGTCCAGACTTCAGATGGTCAACTTGTGCTATGGGTCGACGCCCCAGTGTATCAGGGACCATTTCCTCGGGCGCCCAGGCGGACAAGCGAAATGAACCCTCGGTGTTGATTCGCGAGGGGAAGCACTATACAAGCCTCGGGGACAAAAAGTCTTGGCATATAGTGTAATGGGGGTATAGCCGGGATGGTTGATAAGGTTAAACCACAGGATAGAGTTGGCAAATTGGACTAGAATGTACAATGTGGAAATTATCAAAATGAAAAGTCACAAAGTCAAGACCCTGAAAGTCTCAGTGATGTTTTCTTAGACTATACCCGAATGGGAATAGTATTGCTGTGTGACCAGCCTCCAATAAAATATCTCTTCCCTCTGCCCAATTCAGACATATATTCCTATAATTCAAGGCAGCATTGATAAAACAATGAACTTACATTGGCTCTCAAAGATCGCCAGGGGTCACAACCAGTTTGGTTTTGGCCTATCCGACTGAGGCTTAGATAGTGTGAGATCGCCCCTGAGTTCTGCCCAGCCCCCCAGTGGGCCTAAATTAGCTCACGCAAAATCTACTGGCAAATCAAGAGGCTAAGAAAGCACATCTGATCGCCCGAATCTGACGTTGAAATTTATTCAGTAAATATAAGAAAATGGGGATTCCCGGTTAACGTTCCTGCAAATCATTCTACACACCATGAGGCAGTCGACGCCCATTTTCTGGGTTGTCCAGGCTTGTCTAATATGGCTGACATTGGTATCAGCATCGTCTGCCATTTCTGATCTGTCAGACTCCGATGTCTCTGCGCTGCAAGCCCGTGACACAAAGCCGTTTCCGCTGAGGATTTTGCCCCTCGGTGCATCTATTACCAGAGGGTACAAATCGAAAGATGGAAATGGATATCGGAAATGGCTTCGAGAGCAGTTGCGTTATGCTGGATGGGAGGTTGACATGATTGGTACCCTGAAGAGTGGTACTATGCATGATAATGTGAGTTACCCGGTTGTTGCTTTTGTCCTCTCATTAAAGAATACATTTTGACTGTTTGCCAGGACCATGATGGACATGTCGGCTGGAGAATTGATCAAATAGCAGCTCATGCCAAGACGATCATCCCCCAGCAACCTAATCTAATCCTTCTCAAGTGGGTCTCAAATGGCTGGTGCAAACATTTCTGTGACACTAACATATCCCCCACAGTGCTGGCACAAATGATGCTCTACAAGATTACAAAGTAGACACCGCAGGCAAGCGGATGGACTCTCTCCTAACATACCTCTTCGACAACATCCCCAACACAACCATCATCCTATCAACTCTCACATACAATGGAAAGGGCCCCGAATTGGCCACAGAAATCAGCACACAGTATCTAAAACTTGCAGCGGATCGCCGAGCACAAAATGATCGTCTCGTCATCGCTGATATGAGCACCTTCATTCAGTGGGACCAATTCGTGGATAAAATCCACCCCACAGCAGCTGGCTACAAGGAAATGGCATCGGTCTGGTGGGCGGCCATTCAAGAAGCAGAGAAAGAAGGTTTCCTCAATGCGCCAAAATCCACCTCTACGTATAATGGTACAATCAGCAAGACCCGTGAAAAGCAGCTCGATGATAGCACCGGTAACCCGAGTCTGCCTGCATACACAGCACCGCCTCAGCCTACCATAACAGTTAGTAACGGCTCGACTCGATCCGGGCAGTGGCATCTGTGGGCTGTTGGGGTCCAGATGATTATGAGTACGTCCCCGTTTCTCCCTGTACGTCCTGGGCAAGACTAACCTATCTAGTGTGCATCGGGCTCTCTTATGTATGATATGATGGGAACCGACATCAAAAACAATCAAAAACAATTTAAAATATATCAAACCATCCCAAACCCCAACAGTCATGTATAAGGCTACCTAGGTAGGTACCCAGGTATACCGATAAACCCAGTAACCGCGAATTGGAGTGTAAAAAAGAACCCTAAACTCTCACGACAACTCCCAGCCCATGTCTCGGCGTTGGGATTAGGATGCGCCGATGGAATTACCTGTACATCAGGATACATTTCTAGCAGATTGGGGAGATAGAATACAGTTGGCATATCGCAGAGCGGCGTGGCCGGAGATTAGAGTGGAGAGTTGTTTTTGGCGTGTTGGGGTGTCATTGGTGTGAGTGGTTGCGATTAGGAGGTCTTGATTTGGGCGATGTGCAGGCATGGGGTCATGTGTTATGTATAAGTGTTTTAGGGCGGCTTAGGGGGAGGATATTGCTGTGTGGGGAGACCGGCGCTGACTACGAGGAGGGGTTGGGGTTCGGGCTAAGTACTTGTCTGTGAGGAAGCGGAACATTTTAGGAGTTTCTGGTGTCTTATAGAGTTTACTTCAGGTGTTGTTGTAGTATTATGGTAGGACGGTTGATTTAGTTATGTGTTTTGACGGGTAGAGGTTCTATATATATTGAAGGTCCCGAGGAATGACTCTCACATCAGCGGGGGAATAGGGTTAATTAGGCGTCCGGCTGTTCCTGCATGAGTGTCTAGGCGTGTTAATTGCATATAAATTCCATGTCCAGCTCAAGTCGGATCAGATAAAGCATGTGAACGGGGAGACGTGGAAATATATTCCGACTTGAGACCGAAAGAGATATGTGAGTGACAACAATAAGTCAACCCTGGTGTGCTTCCAAATGTGGGTTCACCCCGACGCTCCACCGACAAGGAGAGAATTCAATTGCCTTAGAATATTCTCTGTGCCTCTCCAAACGTCAAGTTGGACTTCCAAGCCGAGCCGGGCCACCATGACGTCACCACCGGAGCTACCTTGGAAGCTCCAGGACTATTTCAAGCTACACGTTTCTTCCTCTTGACAATCTCCTTCTTACAGATATCCAAACACCTCCTTCTCTACACAATCCTGATCAAAATGTCCGAATCCTTCGCCATCCTCCGCCAACGCCGCTCCGACGAGCTAGCCAAACTCGCCGACGAACACCTCCAACACGATCTACAATCTGGAGACCGCGACAAGCTCAATGCAGCTGCATCTTCAATTTCCCTGTGGACGACAGTCGGCTCTGCGGTCGGTGTGAGTCTCGGTCTTCTAGCCGCCATCCGACTACGCGGTTCGCGGAAGGCGTTCTTCTCTGCTATTCGTGCGCAACAGAAACCTACGAAGGTTATGTTTGAAGATGGAAGGACTGGTATGTTTCTTTGGGGTGCTTGAGGTGAAAATGATCGATGTGGCTAAATCGTGTGTTTAGAGGATATTCCTGATCTCACGCCGCTGTTGAAACCCACTACTTTGGGTGATGTCGCGACTTATTTCTTTGCCTCGGTCGGTGGATTGCTTTTGGGTGGAGAGCTTGGTAAGATTCCCTTTGATGTGATGGTTGTTTGGGATTGTGCTAACTTGGAATTGTGTGTAGGCTTTGCTGGCGGTGCGGCGAAAGGAACGAGGACTATTACTTCGGATCCCGAGAGCAAAAAGAGAATCGAGACTGCCTTTAGGAGATTCCGGGCTGATGTGCTGCGGAAACAGGCCGATGCTTTGGATAAAGGCGTACAAGAGTACGTTCTGATCTAAGGGAATAAAATAGATATTGGATCTTGTAAGATTATTTATTTCATTTATGTCACAGTTATGATATATGTACAATTCAGACCTCCAAGGCCTTCAAGAATGCTGGACTCTCATAGCCCTGCGAAACCTTCGAAATCGGCGTAAGATACGCCTCAGAAGACTCCTGACCCTCCTGAATCTTCCGAACATAGAACTGCGCAACCTTGAGCCACATCGCCTTCTCACTCGCACTAGCCTCAGACCCCTGCCAAACCCAGACCCTGTTTCCAGTATCATAAAGGAAAACATCATTCCCATCCAAATCAGACCGGTCAACCCGCTCTCCATCCTTAACAAGATCAAAAGACAGTTCCCCAGACGCATCACTGAGTCTGAAAAGCTTGCGCGAACGAGCACTTTCATCGACACCCCTCTTCGAAAACCGCCCAGGTCTCGACGCCTCCAAGGTAGACGGAGCGACATCCCTCCCACCGAGCAAATCAACAAAGATCTTCGACCTAGATTCAAGCTGAGACAAAACCTCAACATCAACATGCTTCGCCTGCGTCATATCATTAACCACCTGCGCAGCCTTAGCCTTCTCCATCGGACTACACTTCTTCCCCTGCCAAACCCAAATCTTATCCCCCTTATCCAAAACAAACACATCGTTCTCATCGAGACTCTCCCACCTCGGCTCGACCTCATGCACAATAAGCGAATCAACGCGCGCAATACCAGGATGTTTAAAAACACGCAGTAAAGTCAACACATCCGCCCGAGCCTCAGGCTCAACATGCGTGAATCCCGAGCGCACACCACCCGACCGAATCCCATAGTTCCGGAACAAAGCGAGGAACTCGTCGGAGGGGTGTTGCTGCACCTCGCGGTGCTGTGTCGCAGCTCCATGCAGGAACTCATCCAGCTCGACGGTCTTGTATGCGGCGACGCCGGCTTCATCTTGGGTTGTTTTGCTGCCGAGCCAAAAGAAGATATCGCGGCCGAGCTTGTCGTCGCCGACTTTGTAGGTGTGGAGGACGATGAAGCTGTCGCCGTCGTAGAATTGGCCGGTTTTTTCTTTCGGCCAGGGGATTACTTGGAAGTTTTCGATGCGCCAGATTAGGAGGCCTGGGGTTTTGGGGATGGTTTGCCAGGCGGGTTCGGTGAGGGATGAGTTGTACTTGACGCGGTGGTCGAGGTCGGTGCCGATTAGCTCGACGTTGCTGTCTTTGATGTCGTATTCTTTTGGGTGGACGAGGCCATCATGAGGTGCCATATTGTATGTGTGTGTGTGTGTGTGTGTGTGTGTATGTGTGTTGTGTATCAAAGTAGAAAGAATGTTGATAAACAGGCAGTGGGTCCAGGTGGCTGAGCCGCGGGGCATCGCTCTTTGGGAACAATTGGCCAATGACGTCGGTAATGTTCGAACTATTTTTAGTCAGTGCAAGGTTCCAGAGCTTTGTATGTTGATATGAGGCTGAAAGCTATAGGAGAGACAGGGGAAAAGGTTCTTGGTATAGGCCTTTGAGCCGCCTTGGTGGCATGTCAAGAAATGTATTTTTGTCACATTGTGACTTCAATTGTGTCTGATTTACATGAGAAACTACATGGACACTTGCTAGAGACAAAAGTATAAGGTGAGCTCATACAAACATCAAACAACCAAGATTTAGTTGGTCGGACAGGTCAATAACATCCTGCCCTGATGAAAACTTTTGAAATTTTTGAAATTTTCAGAGCGGAGCCAAATTTTCATACAGAGGACACGCATGTGTTCCCCCTTTGCAATTGCCAGTGACACCACTTGTGAGATATGTAGAATGCGACCAATAGGTTTAATCTAAGTCTAGCCTTATGGCACCCTTGCATCAAGTTGGGCACAAGTCTTTAAAAAAATTTACAGAAAAAAAAAGAAAAAAAAACCAAAATATTTGTGTAAATCAGTGCACGAGATGATCGGCTCTGAATTGAAATTCCAAATGTCCTAGAGGTATATGAAACATCGAGGGAAAATACTATCTACTTCTGGAGTAACTCTAGTAACTGCCTTGTGACTGATTTCTCATGGGCGCACAAAGGCACCGTTCATCAACGCTAAGCGTCAAAATATCACGTTTTTCTCCGCATAACCATCGCGCACTTTTTCAAGGTCACTGATCACGTTTACCAGCGGCCACCACCGGCACCGCCACCACCACCGTTGAAGCCAGAGCCACCGGCGGGGCGAGCGTTGGCGAGGTTGACACGGATGCGACGACCATCGAGACTGGAGCGAGGTTAGTGGATGTGTTGGTTTTGTAGGGGAATTGGAAAAAAAACGTACTCCTGCTCGTTAAGAGCGTTGATGGCGGCCTCGGCCTCCTCAGCGGAAGAGAAGGTGACGAAACCGAATCCGCGGGAGCGGCCAGTCTCACGGTCAACCATGACGATCTGAAGAGAGAGAGAATGTTAGTGGTCTGAAGCGAAAGGGAAAATTCGGATTTTCACGTACAGAGTCGACAATGTTGCCGAACTCACCGAAGGCCGCGCGCAGCGACTCGTCGCTGGTGTGCCATGAAAGGTTTCTAGTAACAGTCAGTATCAAGAGTCACGAATAGATGGAATTTGACATACCCGACGTAGATCTTAGACATTTTGAAAGAAAGTGGGAGTCACGAGGTGTTGATGAAGAGAATTAAAAGATGCGGGGCATCTGAGGAGATATAGGGCCTTCGTGGCGGTGAGAGGCAAAATTCATTCGCCCCGCATAAAAAAGTTGAGAACGTATCGAAAGGAGGCGAAAGAAGCAAACTCTACCATATTGCACTTGGTACATCGCATATTTTCTAGTTTCTTCTGATTCTGAGCGTTCTTTCAATTTACTATTCGTCAATCAAATTCCCCCCACATAGGTGGCCATATGAGAGTTGGTTTTGCCTGAACGGCAGAATTATCGTAGCGACAAATCCTCTGATATCTGGAATCCAACAGAACTATCCCCTTGGTATGGAACAGACTACAACAGTAACCAGGGATGCATAGGAAGTAATGGAGTCTGAACGCCACCACCTAGACTAAGGATATGAAGATGTACAGAAGTGGACAGATTTGGCAGAAGTGGATATGGTTAAATCAATCTTGCATACCACTTACATTTGAACTTACCTGCATACTTAAAAATAACCCATTCTAGAGCGTTAGCTATCAATCTACCTATCTAAAAAGAGCAAAAAAAGACAAAAACATACAACAGTGAGGATTCGGTGGTGGTCACCCACCCAACATTGGCGTGTGGCTTAAGTGCGGCTGGTAGTTAGGTAGGTGTCGCTAGGGTGAGAAATGGGTAAGCGCTACTTTAAACTGGCGCGACTGGGGGTAAGAAGGGTGAGTATATTATAGATAGGGTGAGAACTAGGTAAGGAATTACTATCGGCTGCGCGACTACCGTACTACTACTAACCCTCTTTAGTTAAAGAATTGCTAAATATTATTAGATTATACCGTTCCTCTAAAACACTTAGTATCTTAGTATCTACATATAGCTATAACTAGAAGTAATAATATACGTGGCCAGATAAAAGCGGGGTTATTATTATAGGTTCTTACCTCTATCTTATCTCTATCTCGAGTCTCTCCAGGGCTCTGTATAGCACAGGTAGAAATGATGATAAAAGGAATGAAAATACCTTCCTTGAGATGATAGCTTCGAAAATCGAGGGCTCATAACCTCTCGGAACTACTATGTAGGGCCAGGAAGAAAAGAAGGGAAAGAGTAGATTTCTAGAGAAAGGCAAACTGCCGACTACATACCAGCAAACAAGGGATTGATGCCTGAGGCATCAATTATGACCTCAGGCCACCACAACAACTATGTAGCTAGTCTTAGTTAGGGTTAGCGGGGAACAGAGCATTTACTGGTTAGTAAGCAGAATTGTAAAAAAAGAAATTAAACCCTAAGCCCTACCTGCCTAACTGGGTTTCTGCCAGACAGAAATTAATAAATAAATAATAAATAATAAGCTCACTCACCGCCTGTGGGACTGGGTAAATCCCATTATCACCTCATCCCATGCTAAAGCAATGGCTAAACATTGTAGAGACGAGAATTCAATACGATTGTCTGCCACCCCAGCTGGAGTGCCGCTATATCGGAGCCTTGGATTTTGAAATATTGGGCAATGGACCTGGCAGCCGAGGCAAGAACTCCCGTGGGAAATACTGCAGTGGAATCCCTGTCAAGATTCCACAGCTCACAATGAAACATCTGGATCAAGTCCCTGACATAGCTGCTGAACTTAGACCTGAATAATGCATTTTTTTTACCTTGAAATCGGAATTGAACCAGTTTATCCAAACTCAGATAACTGAATAATCTTCTAAGGCGCTTTTAGATGGGTACGAGGTTGATATGCAGTTTGCCTGATTGATAAATATATCAATTCAAATAACGATCAATATGGCATGGACTCTGAATGACGCTCATTAAAGCCGAGATGAAGATTTGTACACTATTCATGAAAGCTATGTCTACATCATCCAATTCAATAAAATACGGGCGAAATGCGCATACATTGAGCAATTTTATTGAGACTACAAGCAAAGGCCTATGGGGAGAGAGAAGAGGAATCATGATCTGTTCTGTCTATCAAAAGCAGGGTATTTATACCCTGAAACCAACAAAGAAATGCTCCGTCTGCAAACGAATGGAGGCATTAATGAGATGACCGACATTGTCCAACAGGTTTCTATATTTACCTTTCTTATAGGCAAATGGGACATGGCGAGGTCTTGGGTCGAACGCTGATTCTTTGTCGGCACAGCCTTTACCACCTCAACGGAGAGTGATATCTGGGGTAATAGTAACTCACCTCCCTTTAACGGGTAAAAGTCGAGACAATCATAGGCCAATCAGGCGTCAAAGGTCGTTCAGGGCTTGGTACAAATTACGCCACAATAGGAGCACAAGTCTAGACAAGGCAACCCTTTTACACCGATGCCAGACCGCCCTCAAAAGAACCCCACTGTTATGGAGGGGTGAGGGGAGTACTGCCGCACTAAAAACTGTTTCTCGAGCCACGACGCACCATTTCAAAGGCGGTGTCCCATTTAGGAGGCGGTACTACTGTACCAACAATTTTTTTTCATCTCTGACTTTGCGATCCCCGCCAATCCTCTCGATATCGATACGCCGATACCACGATCATAATGGCTCCCACTATCGAGGCCGAAGAGCCTCACAACAACTTTGACGTACGTACCCTCAATATCCTACGGAGGGCTGAATGGCGAGCCTGGAAACTCACTTGTCCTCGCTCTCCGCAACTTGCGATCGATCACCGTGCAGGCGCAATTGATTTACGAACGTATAAAGAATGGATTGGCTAACATTTGACTTTCTAGACCATTCTCGTTCTCGATTTTGGCGTATGTATCGGGAGTCCCCTTACCCCTCTGCCCCTCTTTCGGCACCTTTCAGATACTGCCTTGCTCCTGAGACCTCTAAATGGCAAATGCTGACTCCCGTTGTTGAAGTCTCAAACGAGCCATCTTATCCTGCGTCGGCTTCGGGCTCTCGGCGTCTTCGCTGAGCTGCTTCCGTGTACCACTAAGATCGCTGATCTGACATGGAAACCTAAAGGAATTGTGTTCTCTGGAGGTATGAAGTCATTAATGCATGGTTTGTGCCGAAGTCTGACTGAGCTACTAGGTCCTTCTTCTGTCTACGACGAGGGCTCGCCCCGTAAGGTTTTCGTCCCCCGAACGTCCTGTTGCCTATACTTATATTCATATGTGTAGATGTTGACCCCGGTGTTTTTGATCTTGGTGTACCTATTCTGTGAGTGTACTTCCTGCCTATTCCTTAAAATTGCACTTGGACTAATACGGGAGGTATAGGGGTATTTGGTATGGCTTGCTTTAGCATCGACACCGGTACTACACTAATACTATTCACCTAGCTATGGCTGCCAGGAGATCGCATGGCGAATCGACTCAACAAATGTTGCTCGCGGAGAGACACGAGGTTTGTAACCTTTGGAACACTATCTGAAGTTAATTCTGACACTTCTCTCGCAGAGTATGGCCACGCCGACGTTAAAATCACCAAGGTTAATAGTAATGTCGACCGACTTTTCGCTGGCTTAGGGGAGGAAATTCCTGTGTTCATGTCCCACTTCGACAAGCTAGTTAACCTGCCTACGGTGAGTGAAATGAGTCCGTATTTCCGGAGCACTACCATTGACTTTAATAGGATTTTGTGGTCATCGGTGCCACCAAGAACTCAGAGTACGCCGGCATCGCCCACGAGCAGAAGCCCATCTTTGGTTTGTCTCCCTCTAAGCTGCCTTTGTGGCCTAGTAAGAAAATATGCTAATACAAGGCAATCAGGCGTCCAGTTCCACCCTGAGCTCGAACACGTTTGTCACCAAGACCCCAAGGCATTGCACTAGAACTCTCTAATAATCGGATATAGACTCCCCGCGGAAGCGAGATTCTCCGCAACTTCAGTGTTGACATCTGCGAAGCTCAACCGAATTGGAAAATGGGCGACTTCGCCGAGCTTGAGATCGCTCGTATCCGGGATCTTGTTGGTGACCGAGCACTCGTCCTTGGGGCTGTTAGCGGTGGTGTGGATAGCACTGTTGGAGCGGCCCTAATGCGTGATGCTATCGGCGACCGCTTTAAAGCTATCCTCGTCGACACTGGATGTATGCGTCTTAATGAGTGCGAGCAGGTCAAGGAGACGCTCGGAAAACACCTGGGTATTAATCTCACAGTTGTTGAGGCTGGCGAGCTGTTCTTGAGTCGCCTTGCGGGTGTTTCTGATCCCGAAAAGAAGCGGAAGATCATTGGGTCGACTTGTGCGTACTTCAAGCTCACTGATTGGTTATTGACAGGATACTGACGATATCGAAGTTATCGATCTGTTCGAGAAAGAGGCTATCAGGGTACGCTTGACCTTCTCTAATATTCATTCCTGGCTAACAGAACTCGCCAGATCGAGAAGGAAGCAGAGAACACCCCTAACTCCGGGAAGGTGGAATTTTTCCTACAAGGAACATTATACCCCGACGTGTAAGTCATTTTGAGCTAATTGCTAAGTCCAAACTAATAGTATTTCAGTATCGAATCTTTAAGCTTCCGCGGGCCTTCTGCCACTATCAAGAGTAAGCAAGTCAACGGAGTCTCGGTGGAAGACTACCCTGAAGTCATGCAAAAGAAGAATTACACAAAAGCTGACATTGGAGATAGCTCACCACAACGTTGGCGGTCTGCCTGAGGTAAGTAATACCACCGTCCCCAACGAAAGTCTTAACTAATCAGCATATAGCGCATGATGAACGGCGTAAGTCGAAGTAGCCCAGTATCGTTTGACTTACTTACTGACTAAAATGGCTCGTTTAGCAAGGTTTGCGTGTAAGTCTACTTTCTATCTCTTCATCAACGCAGAGAAGGCTAACGTGACTTCTATAGCTGATTGAGCCGCTCAGACTTTTGTTTAAAGATGAAGTGAGGGTACGTTAATCCTGATAAGGTGGATTCTATCTTTAATTATACTAACCTAAAATGTATAGGCCATTGGTCGACAGCTCGGCATACACGAGTCGCTAGTAAATCGGCACCCCTTCCCGGGTCCTGGTATTGCCATTCGCAT